TCGCCCGTACAGCGAGTGTCCGCGTGATTCGTCGCCACAGCCATTCTGACAAGAGGAATACCGAACGTGGTATGCCGGATGTGGATATATTCTCCCTGGGTTGCCGGTCCAGACAGGCCCTGCCTATATTTGTCCACTGTGTGTGTGTGTTTGGTGGACCGGGGTCTGTACCTGAGCTGCCGTCATGCTGTAATAATCGCGCGGGGCCTTGAGGGCGTTGGTTTTGGATACTAAGGGATAGGACAGCGCATGCAAAAGTTTGTTGTGAGCCAAAGCTGAATTTCCTTTTGTGTGTGCACTATTAAGCAACCGATTGCAGTGCACTGTAAAATAAAGGGTTTATTAAAGGTAATATCGGACTTGTTTTACCGTCGCCGAGAGGAAAGACGTACATTAAAATAGTCATTAAAATACTAGTTTATGGGGGTGTAACAGAAACGGAGAGATATCCTAGTAAACGTGCAAAGTTGGCCCCGACGTTGGTTGACGTTGGGTCAACGTTTTCCTGGGAGGCTGTATACAGCTCAGGGCTGCAAAGAGGGGGGGCTAGGGTTTGATGTCCCGGGTTAGTGAAGAATCAAAATCCTCTTCAAACTCAAATTCAGAGTGGGAACAGCCGAACGTGGGCAACTTGTTTGCAGTTGTCAATTCCGAAATTCCTGCGCGTGGTAACGATCAAGTGAACATACTCAGCAGTTGAACCGGCACGTCTCTTCTCCACTCCGCTACATGCACTCTCTCCCCCTCCCTCTCATCTCACAACTCCCCCTCCCTCTCTCGTCTGCTCGCCCTCGTCAACCCTCGGTGTGATGTTCCGCATCTGGTGACACGTCCGGTGACACGAAGCGTGTTCGGCATGCGTCTTCACCGTGGACGTTAAAAGACCCCGTCACGTCTTTCTCAAGAGCAGGCCACTGTGTTCTCGGCGTCATGGTCTAAATGTTAAATATTTACTCGGTGGGGATTATACATCACAACAGCGCCCCCTCCTGGCGAACCACAGCTTGGGGATAATTGTTTCCATCAGTTTCTGCCTGCAAACCAGCTTCACTGTTATTTCCATAGACTCGGTGACACCCATAGACTCAATGAGGCCCATAGATAGACTGAGTGGGACCCATCGACTCAGTGAGGCCCATAGACTGAAGAGAGCCTTAGACTCGCATATGAACCTACGAGGGCATTAATCTATAAAGTATGCCCTCCCCGTCTCTCGCCTTGAGATGCGGTTAGGCGCTGTACGCAAATCCACATTCCAGGCGACGTTTCAGGCAATGGCCCTTCTTCATAGCGCACAGGCCAGTGAGACGTTAAAGAGTTGGGAATCGGATTTTTCACCAAGGGGCCGTGATCAGAAGTACTCTGTTTAAACACGTTTCCTGATGAACAGTTTCTAAGAGACAACACCTTAAATAATTGTCACTCTCATGACCAGAGTAAAATTCTAACCATGCGGCAAGGTGATCGCAACATAATCTGAGCATAATAAGCACATGTTACTTTAATAATAATGATGATATACACGGCCCTGGTCTCCTTTGTGGACAGTGGCTCTCGCGTGGTTAAATAGAGGACGGTCAAGAGCCACGTGGTGTAAGCAGCTGCTCCGACACGTGCTTATCCAAACTGCCAAATCCGATCGCTCTTCCCATCCGAACTGGGAATTGCAAACGCATGCTTATCCCAAGTGGGAGTTTGCAATCAACTGGTTTGCCCGTCCAAACCAGAGAATTCGGAACCACGCCTCATCAAAGCTACGAATTGCAAATCCCCTATGTCCTCCATAATTTAGTTTTTTGGGTTAGATCGCGTAAATATATATGTCGTTAAAACCCGCCACCACCCGACACAGCCAACTAGTAAGGGTTGTCACGTAAACAGAACGTGGCCATATTCTTAGCTCTTTCGGTAAAGTCACGTCGAAACAATAAAGTAATAAAATATATTATTTTATTGTTTCCCCTCAACGTGACTTTACCGAAAGAGCTAAGAATATGAATTACTGCAGTCATGAACGCTTTAAATCAGAACGTGGCCAATTCGTCACTAGTACAGCACACCGGTGTGTTGGAGAGCCAAGCCACAACATTTACAATCTGAGTACGACGTTTCGCCAGTAATTACAACCAGCTTCATCAGGCGACAGCCAGATTTGTAGAGAAGTCTTCCTGTTTTGTTCCTTATATAGAGGCGTAGATGTGGTGATCACACTTCTGTGCTCTTGCGCAAAGTGGGGGGGGGGGGGGGGGGGGATTACTGAGTCAACGTACATTATGCGTGCGTAGTGGGTTCAATTGAGGAGCACACTTGATCTTGGAGGCAACACGTTTATTCACTAATTCCAACAAGTAACTCTCTACTTAACCGGATAACGACTAAGGGTGGTGACCACCACGAGTAACTATATACACTTGGAGGGGTGAACACCACAGGTCACTATATTCATACTGGATGGGATACTACTAAATCGGACCAGGACAACCAACACGCTGCATGGACCCACAAAGACGGAGGATTTCTTCCCAGAGATGAGCAACGCCGATCACCGCCGGGACTCAGCTTTTATCCGCTGCGGCAGTGGCCAGACCCCGCCCTTGGCCACGCCCCTTGTTCCAGATCCTTCTCGACGATTCAGGGCCCACATCACGTGTCCCTCTCACCTCTGGTCCTCGTTACCAACTCCTCCGGTCACGTGCCCCCTCGGGTTCACCCAGACTGTTGTATCCTCACCCAACCTCTTCCCTGGTATACTCCCTCTGATGCTAGAGAGAGGCACCACACATACGGTACCACTCACTCGGTACTGTCGCTACACTATAGTGACATCATTTATGTCACTACACGTGGATTATGCGAGCCCTTTGATCTTGTCCTTCCTGTCTGTTGCGCGTATTAAAATAGCCGTACCAACGGTAATCCCTATTGAAGTACGCTGCCCTTTATAGGCATGCATTTAAATCATGTATTATTTGATGATTCGCTTACACGCAACAATAAGGCGGTAGCTATCCGAACGGTTAAAATGATTTTTATTTCATTCAATTTCGATAAATTATCTAATTAGTCTTGGCCAGTAGTGGATAGTTTTGCACAGAACTTCAACATTATCAAAATCAATGGAGTGTCCTTGTTGGCATGCATGCTCTGCTATTGCTGACAGTTGTATTTGGGAGAATTTAATATTTCTCTGATGTTATTTTAGTCTCGTGCTGATCATTCGTCCTGTTTGCCCAACATAACATTTTCCACACGTGCAGTTAATCTTGTACACACCTTCTGTTGATAGCTTCGGTAATACATCTTTTGTACCAGATATTAATTTCAGTATTTTATGTACCGTGTTAAATCTGACTCAGATGTTTTGTTTTTACAAATATCTGGCTAGTTTATCAGTTACTCCTGCAATGTACGGTATTTTGATCGTTTTAATTACTTGGGCAGTTTCAATGCTCGTGTTATTTGATTTGGTTTTGGCATTCAATGCTCTGCTGATTTGTGCATCATTGTAACTGTTCATTTTCAGCGCTTCTTTAACATGTTGAATTTCACTTATCAGACTGTCACCATCTGGCACTTTCTTATCTCGATGAATGAGCGTCTTGATCAGAGCAGATTTCTGTGTGGGGTGATGGTGTGACTGCATTCAGATAGGCGTCAGTATGCATTTTCTTTGGGTCAACGCTGTGTTATTTTACCATGTCAACCCCGTCCAAGCAGAATTTCCAAGTTCTCTCAGCTTCCACTTCCATGGTGAACTGGATGGATGAGTTTTGCGAGTTGAGATGATTTCGAAATGCGTTCAGTGTATCTTTGCCGTGTGGCCAGATCACCAATGTGTCATCCACATATCTAAACCAAGCAGATGGTTTTCGTGTGCTTGAAGCTATTGCTTTTGTTTCAAAATCTTCCATGTACAAATTCGCTTTCACAGGAGACAAAGGAGAGCCCATTGCTGCTCCTTCCGTTTGTTAATCGAAGTCACCTTGCCACAAGAAGTAACTTCTTTAGACAGTGTTCAGCTACTCTTGGGATATCTTTGGCTAAACCTTTGTTCGTTGCCAGTGTCGAGTAATTTGATTGACTCATTGACCGGAACTCTCGTGAACAGATAAGTCACGTAAACAATTACGAGCATATCATTGGGGTTAAGCTTCATATCTTCAATTATATTTACGAGATGTTCAGAGTTGTTGATGAACGAAGAGGTCTTACCGATGTTGGGCTCTATTTGTTTCGTTATGTATTGTGCTAATTTGTACGTGACAGAGCCTATTGTACTAACTATGGATCTTAATGGGACATCAGATTTGTGATTTTTTTTTTATAGCCCATAAAGTCTTGGTGGTTTTGATGCCCTTGGTTTGATCAGGTATTGCTCTTCCTTGGGAATTGATGACTTGGCAATGATTGCCGCTGTTTTACGTTCCAATGTGCTGGTTTGGCCTCGTTTAATTTTAAGGTAGGTGCCTTCACCGAGTAAATCTTTTGATTTTATCAGTCCTCACGGGGCATCACAACAATTGATCGGCCCGTATCGGCAGCAAAGAATGTTGATATCTTTATTTGCTCTGAATTCTCTTAAGGCTTTTGCTTCACTGAAGTTAATATTTGTTTTTGTCAATTTGCTTTTCATAAATAATTTTGGCAACAGCACATTTATATATTTAAGCGATCTAACCCAAAAAAACCCCTCTATTATGGACATTGTTCATGAAAGCCGACTACTACTACTGCGTGTTAAACTCCCCTATCTTCTTTGGTTCTTTCGGTAAAGTCACGTAGAATGAGAATAAAATAATAAATTGATAAAATAAAATAACACAATATTATTATAAAACAAAATAATAAATTGATAAAATAAAATAACACAATAATATTATTGTGTTATTATCAATTTATTATTTTATTCTCATTCTACGTGACTTTACCGAAAGAACCAAAGAAGATGAATCCTTGCAGTCACGAAAGCTTTAAATCGAAATTTAAACTCCCCGATGTCCGTCCGCACTACGAATTCCGAACAAAGCGCCCGTCACTTGCTGGGACAATCCGAGGAGGGGGAGGGGAGGGGGCGCTCTTTCCAAATTACCATTTTTAAACCGCCCTTACCTGTCCGCACTACGAATTCCAGATTCTGCACCGGCGCGCTTTATCCGCGCTGGGAATTGCGAACGAGGGGCGTGGAGGAGCCGCCGCGTTGGGCTGCGCGCCGATTGGTTCGTTTTAACGCGGCCGCGGAGGCTCCTCCTTTTCCGGGGTATCGCGAGCGGCGGTGCAGCCGCTTCACTTCCGCGGTCTGTGGGCGCCCGCACCACGACTCTCAAACTCGTCTTCTGGGGGGGGGTCCTAGGGGAGGAGAAATGATGTGCGTGTGGGTTGTTCTCGCGGGCGGTTAGTGGTGGGAATATCTGTCGAACAAAAAAAATTGTTTTAAAAAAAATCGTAGCATAGAAGAACGGATAAATTCGCTCGAGGATTTTTTTTGTTTTGTGTGTTTTTTTTAAACGCATCGCAAAGTTCGCCTCGACCCGATCCTTCCTCCCCCCCCCACCCCACAGTGTGTACGGTCGCCTTTTTAAAAAAAAAATATCGTGAGAACGTCCAGCCTTCTCACACGATGGTCGCTCTCGAGTAGCAAGCTACTACCCACCCCCATTTTTTACCTTCAGAGGTACATGACGAGTTGCGGGACGATTGTGTTCCGTTATCGCCGCCTGTTGTTTGAATGTCCCGTGGTGAATGTCTACTGCGAGTCGGTGTGTCGCGTCGCTATGTGCGTGTTGTGTGTGTGTTGTGTGTGTGCGCGCCCCAATGTTACATTCCACGCTCGCCTCCGGCCGCGGTGAAGTATGGTCACATAACCCCACAACGACCCCGTGACGGCATGCGGGAGGCGATCTCTCTCGCTCGCTCTCCCTCCCTCTCTCTCTTCTTCCTTAACGCGTGGCAACTCCGCAGCGGCTGTACCTGGAGGGGCTCGCGGTGTGCTTTAGGAACCGCCTTCGGTGTTGTTCGCTCTCTGCCCGGTGGCATTGGACGCCTCGACGCACTTTTTAGTCTTTCAAAGTTCGACTTCGTCCGCTCGACTTCGTCCGCTCGACGTTCCGCGCGCGTGTTTTGGCCGCGCCAGTGTGCGTTACACGGTTATTTTAGGCGCCCAATGTTACGACGACTGTTCCTTTTGGTATGTGTTTGCTGCTGCTGCTGTTCTTGTTCTCTGTTATTACGCGCCACTCTTGGCTGTTGTGTCATTGTGACTAGTCGTATGTAGCGTCGTGGTCGCGGAGTTGGGTGCGATTCTGGGCGTTCGCATACGGTGGCTGGTCGTGTTTTTTTTTCTTACTGCTACGGCTGAAGTCTTGTGGTGTTTCTCGAGTGTTCAGTTAACAAGTTGCATCGTTTTGTGTTCACGTGGCGATGTTCGGGCAAATTTCGTGTTACCCTTTGCGAGTGCGGCGCCCGTGGTTGTCGCGTGTTGCGTCTCGTCGTTGCCGTGATTGTAGCTGCAACCTCTAAGCGGGAGAGATTTGTCTTTTATTAAGAGAGCTGCCTGCTGCTGGTGCCGGTGCCACCAACCCGGAAGAAATGGCGACTTGCGTGCGACAGAACCGTCTCGAGCTGCTGCTAAGAGCCGCGGGTACTGGCGGTGCTTTCTTTTTCCCACCTCTCCTCCTCCCTTAAGCATACAACCCAAACGTTGCTCATACACACTACCCCCCCCAGTACGGTATCCCACACACATTTGGGTTTACAAGGAGGTGCGTGGGAGATTCGGCCCACGAAGGGCCCCGGTTCATTGCCTGCACTAAAGACCTCTGCCAACAACTCTCCAGTCACCGTCTCGTCCACATCTCCATAATAACTCCATCATCTCTCATCTCCCAAGCATTCCATCCCAGTTATCTCTGAGACATCTTGTACATCTTCTGTACATCCCAACCAACTAATTTCTTTGCCTGCACTAAAGACCTCTGCCAACAACTCTTCAGTCACCGTCTCGTCCACATCTCCATAACTCCATCATCTCTCATCTCCCAAGCATTCCATCCCAGTTATCTCTGAGACATCTTGTACATCTTCCGTACATCCCAACCAACTAATTTCTTTGCCTGCACTAAAGACCTCTGCCAACAACTCTCCAGTCACCGTCTCGTCCACATCTCCATAATAACTCCATCATCTCGCATCTCCCAAGCATTCCATCCCAGTTATCTCTGAGACATCTTCCGTACATCTTCCGTACATCCCAACCAACTAATTTCATTGCCTGCACTAAAGACCTCTGTCAACAACTCCTAGAACAGCTTCTCTTGTCCACATTCCCCCCCCCCCCCCCTTATAAATCCATCGTAGTCCATCTCACAGCATTTCCATCCCAATTATCTCTCGGACATCTTGTTCATCTTCCACACATCTTAACCAGTGTTTCCTATTCACCTGAAACATACTTCTCCCAAATACCTTCACATTTTGTCGTTTCAGAATACTCTCATTAATCCGAGTCTTTGCATCACCTCTGTGGCTACCGATCCCAACCTACAACTTCCATTTCTCCAACATCTGCATCTACCGGACATCTTAAACTTCTAAATATACATCCACTAATGCCATCTCTCATCCTGAAATGCCGTGGGGTGCCCGACTCTATAACATCGCCCACATCTGCACCAAAGTCTGCATTTCCTCGCAGCACCCATTTCGGTTCCTCTCATCACTCTCCCGCCTGTGTTTGCACGTTGAGATCTTGTTGTTCCGTGATTATTCGTGTCATCCTGCCAGACCTGTAAGGGTTTGCTGCACAATGCTGCTCCATTGTTCAGTAGCTTCTGCTGCTAGATGCAGTGTGGCCAGCGCACGCGCATTCAAGGGTCGCAAACGTAACCCGACTGCAGCATCAATGCAGCTCGCAATCAGGATGGAGCACGTGACCCAACCCTCCGTGCGTGTGTTGTCTAAAGTCATTGCTTGGTGACGAAGAACAATTTAAAAAGTGGTGGTAACAGGACTTGATTTCAGCCGGGCCTGTCTGGTTCAGCGACCTGGAAAATCTTTCCATGCCTGCCACATCTCATCCATTACACCTCTCGCTCTATAGCTGCTGCTACAAATCACGTGCCTACCCTAGCCTACTAGCAATTAGGAAAATAGTGATGCATGAAACCACGTGTGTAGGTTTTATGTAAGATGTTTACTCTAGTCGTTACTTTTTAATGCTTGTAATACTTTGCATTCTTAAGTCTTCTTTAGAAGTATTCATCATAGTACTCGAGTATTAAGATTGCACATGGTGTGAGGCTAAGCTTGAGAATGGTTTGTGACCTTGGACCTGCCCCATGTGGTAGTTTTGACCTCGTGTAATAATCAGCACACGCAGTCACAAGCACATGATTCCCACCGCAGAGATGGAGCGATGAAATCCTGCTCTTGTTCAGGCGCTAGATGGAGCATTACATTGCAGGCCTGTGAGACTCAAAAGGGCCACATTTTCGGGATGCTTTCATCTAGTAGATCACGGCTGACGATGTGCAAACCGCTACGCTAGCACTCCACCCGCTCGCTCGCAGCTCGCCTGTGACCTCTCAAAGGTCAACTCCGAGTTTAGCGATCATCGTCGATCCTGCCGTGTGCCGCTTTTGAAGGTTTTGCTCGTTCGTACGCCTTGATAATTTGATCATTATTTCCGCACGGCGGCAAAGTTGGGAGCGAGGGAGCGCTTGCGCGTGTGCCAGGCCGCGCGTCCGCTCGGGTTGAACGGCTGCCAAGGCATTCCTGAAGGTTTCACCAGACGGTGCAGTCAACAGCAGCCTGGACAGTCAGAGCGAACGGGGACAAGGGGTGTTGCCTTACACGTGCGTGTGTTTGTGTATAAAACCTCCGCGCGGTACTGTTTACAGAGAGGTGGAGTGGTGGCGCGATGGTTTGCGCACTGTGCACCCGTGCTCGTGACTTCATCCGCATTATCCATTGCCGCCATCATCATCATCATCCATCACATTTTTTTCACAAAACCTACAAAGAACGGCGTGGGGGTGGAGGGGAAGCAGTGGGGATCATTTGTCGGAACAACAACTTATCTTGTGGATAGACTGCCTCGCACCGACATCATGTGGAATTTCCCATGCCACCTCAGGGATGCCGACGGAACTTCTACGTAACCAGATTCTTACAGATGGCTTCATTGCGACGGAATTTTGCAAATGCACCAAGATGCGGTCGTTGTTTGACCGCTTTGTAAATCCGATTTGCGTTTGTACTCATCGTGCCGTGTGTCCGCAGTGGAGGCGTCCGTCAACGGCCACTTCAGCGATGACTGCCACTCCGAGACCATCGAGGCGGCGGAGGCCCTGCTGCACATGGAGGCCACAGACTCCGTCACCGACGCGATGGGTGCGTGTCGTTTCACGCGAGACGAAGATGGGGGGTTTGGCCCTGCCCCTCCCCGTGTCGGGCGGGATCAGAGTAGGAGAGATGGGGTGGTGGAAAGAACGCTTGTGGAATTGAATAATAATTTGCTTATTTTGGATTGGTCATGTAGGTATGTCTATTTTTTTAACTAGAACCTTCCACCACCCGACAGAGACCAATGAAATAATGTTGTCACGTGAGCATATATGTCAGCAGATTTGATTTATATCGGCAAAACCAGAATGTTGGAAATCAAGCAAGACTTTGACAATTTCACACGACGTTTTGCTTTACATTGCACCAAGCATCATCATCTGTTCGCAAAAGCTCGGCTAAGCTCTCCTGTGAATGAGCTCACCTCACTCGGGTCCTTAAGTAGTTGGCTTGACAGCCATGTAGGTGAACGGTTTAATAATCTCGAGTTAATTACTGGTTGATTGGTTGGGATTGGCAGGTTAGATGAGTGCAGCGCCAAAATGAATTGTAACATTGGTCGTGGAAAACCAACGTATAATTAACTCTTCGTAATCATTTAAGGCTTTCAGACTACGTTCGAGAGTGATTATATATGCTCTGTCCATCTGTAATAGGAGATGCAATATGAACCAGACTTTTAGGGTGAAGTTTCATTGCTAGCTGGTGAAATGTATCAAAAGGGTTTACCGAAATTTAGGAGACACAGGCCAGGGTAAAAAAAAGGACTTTGTAAACAGGCAAGCACATTTAGTTTTCACACCTTGCCCATCGTTGGCTTCACTCCTGACGATTGCTATTTTTTCAATTTTTTTAAAATTTTATTTTACCAGGTTAAGGCCCACTGAGCTGTGTACAGCTCTTTTTCAGAAGCGACCTAACCACAAATGATAGCTCAACCAAGTGGCTCATCATGAGGACATTCATCGCAGCGAAATAATCCTAAACGCACGTTTCTAAATGTGGAGGGGAAAAACGGGAGGACGCGGAGAAAAATTAACACGACCACAGGGAGAACACGCAAACTCCAAATATACAGCAGGCGTCAGGGTTGGGATCAAACCCCTTGACCTGCATAGCAGGCATGGGAGTGCCCACCTTGCCACCGTGGCGCCATATTTTATTAAATAGTAAGATGAAATATTTGTGTGGACAGCATGAAATTATCCGCGCATGCGCGTTGGTTTTCCTGCACTCTACTCTTTAGGGGTAGAGTTGACACTCTTATTTTACCGTGACATTTAAAAAAAAAAAAACGTTTTTCAAATACTCATGCAAGCCCAAACTGTTTTGAGTTTTTAAAGAGTCAAAACTGGTGCCGCTGCATAACCTGGCTTGGCGTTTCACAGACTCCCACATCTTTGCGCCCGACGTGAGCGGCGACGGCGGCGGCGGCGGCGGCAGACACGTCGACGTGGTCATGGTGCACGAGGGTCACGAGCACGGTGCGGGGGGACACCACCCCCAGGCCGACGCGCAGGCCAACAACCGCAAGAAGAAAGGTTCGAAGCGATCGTCTCGATTCTGCGACATTCGCGCGCGAGGCTCGGGGCTGATGTTTCGGGATAGGAAACGTCGTACCGGGAGTTTTTTTTTTTTGCGCGCGACTTTTTTTGGGGGGGTTTGTTTAACGGTGCACGGAGTTGTTGTTTTCGGAAAAAATCCGCGTCAAGATTTCGTTGCGCCGCTCAATGTTGCGCGTGCGTGGTGAAGGGAGCAGTTATGTGTCCCGAGGGTCACACAAGCACGTGGTTTTAAAATATATTGGAATAAAAACGAGTTTTTTAAGTAATTGAAAGTTTTTGAAAGAATATAACAAATATTTTGAAAGACACTTTCTATGTATATTCTTAGCTCTTTCGGTAAAGGGAAACAATAAAATAATAAAATATATATAACAATAAAAATTCTCACGACGTTTCGACCATAACACAAACGTGACTTTACCGAAAGAGCTAAGAATATGAATTACTGCGGTCACGAAAGCTTTAAATCAAAATTTACACTTTCTATGGTTTGCAAGACCTATGGGTGTGGTCATCTTAAGTGCTCACAATCCGAGGCCTAAATAAATAATAACGTTGAGAAGAAATAAAAAAATAATTCACAAAAATGGAACGTTACACTGAGATTACAAGGCCTACAGACACACTTCAGTTTGATTAACGTTGGCAAAGTACGTACAATTATTTCTCGATTAAAAATAAAATTGCGTTTTGGAGAAAGGCTTTGAAGGAAGTATCTGAAGTCGACTTGTGCTGCGGAATATTGATCAATGGTGAATTTAAATTGGTTTAAACCCCTTTTTGTCCTGCAGCACGGAAGCCCAAGAGCAGCAGACCGTGCTCCCCTATCCTGCCGACTGACGGGCCGCTCAGGAAGAAGTCTCGAGAAGGTGCGTTGTGTACGCCCAGGGAACGCACGGTGCTTCCAGCATCACGGAGTCATTGGTCGTTTCTCTCGCACTTCATTATCATCATCATCACGGTCCGTGGGCAGATCGCCCGGAGGTGTCCGCTGCACATTTCTTCTGTCTCGTGCCACACTTAAGGGATGATAAATGCACAAACAGAAAATAAAAGAAAACACAACACAATCATCAATTAACACTGCCTTAATACATTTATGGAATAGACGACGTTTCAGGGCAATGCCCCTTCATGGCACCCAAAACAAATGGAGGGCCATTGCCTGAAACGTCGCCTATTCTACGGTGGTTTTAAGGCCGCAGCGTTGTTATTGATGAGTGTGAGTTGCTAATTGCGCTTGTGCACCACTGTCAAAGCAGCAGCGCCACATAGTTTGTTTTGCACGGAAATGAGTGGGTACTCAATGGAGGAGACACAAGCTGGCATAATTGGTTGGCAACGTGTGGTGCGATGGAAGTTCAACGTAAAATACATACGGTGCGGTGATGTCACATGCCATGTAGGGCGTTAGAATATCTCATCCGTTTAGAGTTTAACCAAGAAATCGGTTGACTCGCCGGCACATTCGCATTCACGTGGGCACTAAATCGTCGACCCTCGATGAGGCAGGAACAGCTGTGAATAAAGCCAGCGTGAAGGTATTTATATTTTCACAAGCTCCGTTGATCCGCACTTGCAAATGAGAGCAGGACTTCAACCTGGTCTCGTTTGCACGCGTGACAGGATGGGTCCTCTCTTCGTCCCTCAGCTGGTCAAGCAAAATAAAAACTTTAAACTTGCTGGGGGAGGTGTGAGCGGGGCGAGGAGGATGAAGCTGTGCGTGTGTGTTTGCCGCTCGGCGTGTGCGTGCGTTAGGTCACACGGTGTACCTGTGGGAGTTCCTGCTGTCGCTGCTGCAGGACAAGAACACGTGCCCGCGCCTCATCAAGTGGACCGAGAAGGAGAAGGGAATCTTCAAGCTCGTCGACTCGAAGGCCGTGAGCAGACTCTGGGGGAAGCACAAGAACAAGCCCGACATGAACTATGAGACCATGGGCCGCGCGCTCAGGTGCGTGTGTGACCCCCCCCCCCCCCCACGCTTTCCTAAATCTAATGCTGGATGAGGGCCCACGCCGCGACGGGTTGTTGGGGTTGTTTGTGGTGGCTACCTACGCACACCTGTGATCCAGCCGGTTGGTGGATCACCGTGCAGATGTTGCGATACTCCCTTCCCTTGGGTATCAATGAGGAGCCATATCCTCGCTCGCCAGGAGAAGGCGGCACCACCTGTTCTGTCCGTACGAGATAGCGTGTTTCCCCCTTGCATGCGTGGGTTTCCTCCCATGTGTAAACACTTGTTGGTTAACCGACAACACCTCAACGCAGCAGAGCTTGGGCAGCCGTGACGCCGCGAGAGTTTTGAAACCGCCCTGCTCGCGCTTCTCAACGCGCGCCGTCTCCCCCGACAGGTACTACTACCAGCGCGGCATCCTCGCCAAAGTGGAGGGCCAGAGGTTGGTCTACCAGTTCAAGGACATGCCCAGGAACCTGCTGCTGGAGGACTGCTCGGAGGAGGGAGGGTCCTCACCCAGCACCGCGGAGCCCTCCTCACCGCACCCCCAGGGCCGCCCGGAAGGGGCGATGCCGGGCGGCACGATGGGCGGACGGAACCGCCGACCCAACCGACCGGGCGGTGGGCTCTCCGCCAAGTCGCCCCTTGCCAAGGCTAAGCCGCAGGACCAAGTGATCGTGGACGGCAGGTGTGTGTGTGTGCGCGTGCACGCATGTGTGTCCGCACGCGCGTGAGAGAGAGAGAGAGAGCTGGCTTTCGTGCAATCTCCAACGTTAACCGATTATCAGTTCCGAGTGCTCGACCGATCGGATAACCGCGGAAATAGTTCTGGAAAAGTAGCCGCGTCTATTGACATGTACGCCGCTGGATGAGAGGGCAAGGGGCAGGGATTGGTGAGGGTGTCATCGGCCGCCTCGCACGGCCGACAACAACGATGGCGGTGAGCACTGACGTGTGATGGTGGTCGCTTCCGTTGTTTGTATCAGAGCGGCACAGGTGCCGGTGGTGGTCACCATGGGGGCTCAGATGCAGCAGCAGCAGCAGCAGCAGTCGGTGATCACGAGCGCTGCCGCGTCGACGCAGAAGATCGTATTCCAGACGATGCCGGGCCTCTCTGCGGTAGCGGCGCAGACGGGCGGCTCGAGCTCGCGGCGTGGCGAGATCGTGAGCCTCGCTTCCGGCACGCCGCTCCTCTTCCTCACCAACGGCGACGGTTCCCAGCCCGGTGTCATCACCACAACCGTCATCCGGGGCCCCGAGGGCAAAAACGAGAACGTCCTCCTACTAACGCCGCTCAAATCCCAGCAGCAGCAGCAGCAGCACCGCCAGTGCCACGGTGAGGCCGAACCGGGGGAGGTGCTCTCGGTCATCATCGGCGGTGGCCACGACGGCACCGGCGTCTCGCTGCCGATGACTTCGCTGTCGTCGGAGATGACGTCGCTGTCGGCGGACATCACGACCCTCCCCACGGAACTCACCTCGCTGCCCGAGCAGATCACGGCACTGCCCGCCGACGGGACGATACTCGCCGAGGAGGAGGAGGAGGAGCCGCACGTCGTGGTCAAGCTGGAAACGGACGAGCAGCAGCAGCGGCTGATTAAAGAGGAGCGGGAGGATTTGTCGCTTCCGGAGCAGATCACGGAGGAACCGACCATCCGGAAAATCAAAATCGAATACAATGACAAAAACTTCTGATGTACATGAGGATGAAATTATTTTGATGGCGGTTGGGACAGTGAAGGCAATCACATGTAAATGTTTCCTCCCCTAGATTTATAATTTCCAAACAAATTTAATAGTAAATGCTGTTTGTAAAAAAAAAAAAATCGAAAACATGCATATATACATATATCTATGAATCGGTTAGGTGGGAGAGATGGGGGGGGGGGGGTGGGGGGCGGGACTCGAACCGGGGTCAACACGAAGAAAGCGTGGAAGCTCTTGACCAAGAGGCCTCTGGCGATCGCGTGCCGGCCGGGAGAGGCTGCAGGCAATCTCTGCTGCAGCTGCTGTCCCATAGGGGGCAGCGCCGACCCATAGCGGCGCTGCGCGAGCCAGAGGCTCTCTCCCGTACCGCATCATCGGAGTCGCGTGCGAGTTCGCGAGGTGGAGGGAAGGGGGGGGGGAGGGGAGGGGCTTTCGTTGCTAACGAAGCCGTCGAGATTCCCACCGTGACGCTCCCGCGGGCCGCTCCTTCTGGCTCCGCGTTGCTCCTTGCCGTCGCGATGGAACCGCAATGCGGCGGCGGCGGCGACGTTCCGCTCGCGCAAAACGTCGCTCGCGCGCGTTCGCAAACGCCCGCGGTCGCCGTGTGGAGGGTGCGGTCGCACCCCCGGACACCCCTGAACGCGCGGGATACAGCAAAACGCGCACGCACTAGCGGGGACTCCCTCACGGGGTTTTTGTTGCGAATTCTGCGATCGAAAACGACCCGAGGGCCGTCGGCGGCTCGTGCGCAAAAAAAAATTACTCGGCACTTGTTGGCGCGGCAGTGAGAACTCGGGAGAAATTAAAGCAGCTTCAAACTCCTGCAAATAATAGGGCGGGATTCTGATTTTTACGGTGCTTCTTGAGCCAGACTGACGCTTGGACAAATGAGCACAGAGCAGTAATGTGATGGTGGGGGGGGGGGGGGGGGTGGGGGGGGGCGAGTTGGTTGTGTGAGCGTGCTTAGTTTACAACATAGTGATGCTTCATACATCTTGTGGGATAATGCTAAATAAAGGTTTAGTTTTCCGAAATATGGTTTTCTGATGACATAACAAAATTAATTTCTATGTATATGTTTATGTATATACGGTTTGGTATTTAGTAAATACACAAGAGGGGGGGGGGGGGGGGTAGGACAGTGAATGGCCTTGTGACAAACGCGTTCTCCTTGGTGGTGACGGCCAGTTTCAAAACTTGGCGGGCAATCGTCACGCCGCTCTGCCCGGGAATGATCACCGGAGCGTCGGGGCCGACTGCCGGATTCGACGAGGAGGAGCGAGCGAGTGGTGTTTGTCGAGGGACATCGTCGCGACTCGTGCGGTGCCTCAGGACCCACCCCTCTGTTCACCGTTGTGAATCTCTGGTTCCACGTCGTTCTTGCTGTTGCCACACGTCTCTCTCCCCCCTCCTCCCCCCCCCCCGTGGTCAATCCCTCGTGAGTCGTGTCCAGAACCCCCCCCCCCCGTTTGAACCCCCAGCGTCCTCTGTGCCCCCCCCCTCTCCTCCCGATCGTGTGATCCACGGCAATAACAAGACAGTGTCCCGTATTCTGTACGCTGTATGGTGAACAGGATTAGAGCCTTAATAAAATCTTTGTATTTTCCAATTGTTTCAAAAAAATAAAATTCTTTATTGCTTCTAATGCCGCTTCATGTGATGGAAGTCAAGGTGGCGGTGGGGGGCGTTGGTGGTGACGATGGGGAAAACGGGCGAGGGGTCCTATCGTGGACATGGCGGGCCCTCACTCGACCATGATCAGCCCTTGCACACTCCTTGAGAGTGGGGGTTGACTCGGGAGGTGGGAGGAGTCGCCACAGACGAGTGAGAAGGAAGCAGTCGTAGCAAGCAGTCCCCTACAATTTAGTTTAAAAAAAAATTGTTTTTTCGATTTAAAGATTTCGGGACTGCAAGGATTCATCTTCTTTGGTTCCTTCGGTAAAGTCACGTAGAATGAGAATAAAATAATAAAATAACACAATTAAATTCTCACGACGTTTCGGCCACAACGCAAGCGGCCGTCTTCATTGAAGCTCTGTCCCGACAGTTCTGTACCTTTCACCTGAAGACGGCCGCTTGCGTTGTGGCCGAAACGTCGTGAGAATTTTATTGTGTTATTTTATTATTTTATTCTCATTCTACGTGACTTTACCGAAAGAACCAAAGAAGAATATTATTGGTGTTGTGGACAATCCAAGTAAATAATTTATAAGCGGACTGTCTTGCACAGCCCAGCGGCCACGCTGCATTTTGGAAAGTGCATAATTTGCGCTGCGTTCAATAAATGCAAGTAAACTGGACTGTTTTTGTTTAGTGATTTCATCAGCAGTCAGGCTTCCTTGAATCAATGCTCGTGGACTACGTTATACGCAATGACCCCTTTTAGATATGGGTTTTGATTTCGTGAAAATGTATAATGATGCATAATTAAACGTAACCACTGGCATGGAAAACATTAATAAAATAGGCAGACAATGTCTGCTTTATAGGTCTCTAAAAACAAATCCAGGTAAGGCCCCCACTGAGCTATGTAGCTCTTTTTCAGACGCGACCTGGCCACAAATGATAGCTTACACGGAGTGGCTCATGTGGAAATGTATAGCAGTCAAATAGCATCAACGCATCTTGATTCTAGATGGGGAAGGGAAAACCCGGAGGACTAGGAGAAAAATCGACGCGACCACGAGGAGTGAGAGAACATTCGAACTCCAAATATACAGCAGGCATCAAAGGTTGGAATCGAACCCGCAACCTCCTGTATATCAGGCGAGGTAGTTAACATCTCGCCACCGTACAGTCTCTGCCGCATCAGCAGCATTGATTCAATACAAGCAAGCTGGGCTGGTTTTGACATACAGCGTCTCATCAGTAGTCAGACTTTGCGTGAATCAATGCTCGTAAAATGATGCACCCCAGAAGGCCGTGGGGCCAATGGTTTGTGTAAAAATTAGTTTTTTTTTCTGTAGTGAGAAGGGTAATACTTTATGTATTAAGATAGTTTCAGTCATGTGGGAGAATACCGGAGCCTCTGGAGAAAACCCCATTCGTACAGAGCGACAACAATCTCCCATGAAGATGGATCAGATGGAGGTCGAGTCCACTTTGTTTTTGCTGCACCACATTCTCCTGGCAAGTCAGGTGACACCTCGACGCCCACGGGAAAGGAGTCGCGCGACATCTGTGCGGTGATCCACCAACCCTGGCTGCTGCCTCCGCAGCCCCGGGTTACAGGCCACGTGGCAGCGTAGCCACCGCCAAAACAATCGTAAGACGACGATGATGGCGATGATGATGATGAATAAAATGAATGGCCGAGTTCCGCACTGCGTCCGGTGACACCGAACGATTCGGTCGGCAGTCACTCCGGCGCGATGGCGCACAATCGCTGATCCGGTGCTTTGAAATCGAGGGTTGGTGGATCACGGAGAGATCTGTGCAATTCTCATAGAAAAAAAGAACGACTGGCCGAGTCTATGCCCCCCACTCCCCACCCCTGCCCTCACCTGGATGTGCCTTTGTTGCATTGTGTACTCAAGAGGCCCATCACACACTCGCAGACAGCATAGATAAATCCCGCAAGTTCTAACATACACTGGCTCCGATAAACAAAGATCCCCCGTATAGCCTTAACAGACTTGGGGCAAGTGCTGCGAGCGAGCACTAATAGCACTTCCGGCCGCCTTTGTCTCCCCAGTGGCGATGTTTATACATTCATCGCACCGGGTACTCATTTGAGGCAGAGTCGACCTAGGAGAGGCTCAGGACCGATTCAGATAATCGTCACTGGTATTGGCCGTGAGCGGGAATCCAACTCGGGTGACGGGTTCGTAGTGCAGCGCGCTAACCGCTGCGCTACCGCTCCCCACAGTCCACACTCGCGACCACCTATGGGTGGCCTCTACAAACTGAGCAGCGTATTGAGATGCGGTAAGATTTAGACGCTAAATACATCCACGTTCCATTGCAGTAATGACTCGCCTGTCCACCCACGGACTCGCACGAGAGACCCCCCATTTCCTTACGAAGAGGACCCTCCGAACTCTCTGGAGACACATAGACTTAAGACACAGAGACGTTGTGACCGACTGCCTCGATGGACAACGTGGATACAAACCCACGGTCTCTGCACAGCACCCCAGAGATGCGGTCGCATTCAGACGGCGGGTAGATCCGCGCATCGCATTCGCAATTCCATTCACTCGTGCGTGCGTGCAGATCGCGCTGGGTGGTCAAGGGCGGAGGCTGCTTCGAGCTACGGGAGATGAAGTCGCACGCTTCCCGCGTGGAGCCTGCTCCAGGTGGAGGCGCTCAGTCCCCGCACTCCCACGCGCCCCCCCCACCCCGAGCACGGTGCGTGATCTGGCAAAGGGGCGAGAGGGCGGAGGAACGAAGCTTCCTGACCCCCCCGGCGTCTCCTCCCCCGTCTCCCGCCCCCTGGCTCCGTTCCCCTTCCTCCGCATGTATTCCCTCTCCTCCCCACTGACCACTCCCATTCATTCATTGAGCGCGGCTCCTCCGCGCTGCGCCGCGTCCCGCTGCCCCGACGCTGCGCCCCGCGCTCCCGATGCGTCCGCGCGTCACTTGGCGGTGCCGTCGCCACGGAGGAGGACGAGAAGCGCCGTGCGGCCTCGAGTGCGTCGAGCGGCGCCCCTCCTGTCGATAGCACGACCACAACCAACACCACAACCAACACCACCAACACCAGCAGGAGCAGCAGCAGCGCTATCAGGATGCCGTCCCCGCGGGCAACCCGGCTTCCCATTCCCCTCCTCCTCCTCGCCGTGGCCGCGCTGGGCGCGTCGGACGCGGCCGTTCCGCCGCCGCCGCTGCGCTTCTCCGTGGACGAGGAGAGCCCTCCCGGGACGGCGCTGGGCAACCTGGCCCGGGCAATGGGGCTGAGCGCCGCGGAGCTGCGGGCGAGGAGGCCCGACGTCATCTCGGCGTCCTTCCGCGTGGCCGCCGACAGCGGCGATCTGACGACGGCGTCGCGTTTCGACCGCGAGTCGCTGTGCCCGGGCCCCTACGGCGCCGACGACCTCGCGCCGTGCACGCTGGACGTGCCCGTGGTGCTGGAGGGGCCCTCCGAGGTGCGCCACGTGCGCGTGGAGGTGCTCGACGTCAACGACCACGCGCCCGAGTTCGCGTCCCCCTCGACGGTGCTCAACGTGTCCGAGGCGACGCCGCCGGGGACCGCGTTCCCCCTCGAGGCGGCGCGGGATCTCGACGCGGGCACCAACTCGGTGCGCGGCTACGAGCTCAGCGGCACGGACGCGTTCGGCCTCGAGGAGTCGGCGGCGTGGGGGGCGCCCGAAGGCCCGGCCTTCCCCGCGCTGCGCCTGCTGAGGCCTCTGGACCGCGAGGAGCGCGCGGTGCACGAGTTCACGCTCACGGCGCGTGACGGCGCCGCGCCGCCGCGGGTCGCCACGCAGCGCGTCGTCGTGCGCGTCCTCGACGCGAACGACAACGCGCCCCGTCTTCTCGCAGGTCGTTTACCACGCGCGCCTCCGCGAGGGTGCTCCCCGGGGCCTCCTGGTCGCGCGCCTCAACGCCACGGACGCCGACGAGGGCGACAACGGCCGCGTCGAGTACGCGCCGCGCGGCCGCTCGGACCCGCGCGCCCGCGACCTCTTCTCGGTGGAGCGCGCCACGGGCGAGGTGAGGCTGCGCGGCGCGCTGGACCGCGAGCAGGCGGCCACGCTGGAGCTGCGCGTCCAGGCCAGGGACCTGGGGCCCGACCCCATGACGGGCTACGCCAAGGTGCTCGTCACGGTGCTCGACGAGAACGACAACGCGCCGCTCATCGCCCTCGGCGTGGACGCAGAGGGCACGGCGCGCGTCCCCGAAGGCGAGGCCCCCGGCACCCTCGTGGCCTCCCTGGTCGTCAGCGACCCCGACGACGGAGACAACGGCCGCTACCGCTGCTGGCTGGAAGGAGGAGGCCCCTTCGAGCTGCTGCGCGGCGACGCGGGCTACTCCATCGTCACGTCCGCGGCGCTCGACCGCGAGACGACCGACGCCTACGAGCTGCTCGTGCGCGCCGAGGATCGGGGCTCGCCGCCGCTCGACGCCTCGGCGCCGCTGCGCGTCGTGGTGACGGACAGGAACGACAACGCGCCCGGATTCACGCGCGGCGCCTACGAGTTCTCCCTGCTCGAGAACAACGTCCCGGGCGCCTTCGTGGCGACGGTGGAGGCCACGGACCCGGACCTGGGCGACAACGGCCGCGTGGTATACTCCATCGCGCCAGGCGGCTCCCCGCCCGCGCTCTCCTACGTCTCCGTCGACGGCGTCAGCGGCAAGATCTACGCGCTGCGCTCGCTCGACAGGGAGTCCTTGCCGCGCCTGAGCTTCGCGGTGGAGGCGCGGGACCTGGGCGAGCCGCAGCTCAACAGCACCGCGCGGGTCACCATCGCGGTGCGCGACTCCAACGACAACGCGCCCGCGGTCGCGCTCCCGCGGCTGCGCAACGGGAACGCGACGCGCCGCGTGCTGCGACAAGCGGCGCGCGGCTCCCTCGTGCTGCGCCTGCAGGCCACGGACGCGGACGAGGGCGACAACGGCAGGGTGAGCTACTCCGTCATCGACAAGGAGCAGGAGCAGGGGGGCGAGGCGGTCGGATGGTTCGCGGTGGACGCGCGGAGCGGGGAGCTCACGAGCGCGCGGAGCTTCGCGCCCGGCGACCCGGGGAGGTTCGAGGTGACGGTGGAGGCGCGCGACCACGGCAGTCCTGCGCTGACGGCGCGCGCGACCATCACCGTGATCCTGGTGGACACCGTGGACGAGCTGAATCCCGGCGACGACGGCCACGACGACTTCGACGGCGCTGACGATGGCAGCAGCAGCAGCAGCGCTGGCGGCGTCGGCGGCGAGGGCGAGAGCGGGAGCAGCACCACGGGCGGCGAAGCGGGCCGCATGCCGCTCTCGCTGATCCTCATCATCGCGCTCGGGGGAGTTTGCTCGCTGCTCTTCGTCGCCATGGTGGTGATCGCCGTGGTGTGCAAGCGCGAGAACAAGGAGATCCGCACCTACAACTGCCGCACGGCCGAGGCCTACCTCTACCGCAAGCCGCACAAGGCCATCAGCAAGCGCGCCATCGTCGTGGTGCCGCCGAGCGAGGCGGCCGCGCGCCGGGGCCCGCGGCCGGCCGCGCTCGGGGAGTGCAGCGCGGAGGGGGCGCGGGAGCCGGGCCAGGGGGCGCCCCACGTGCCAGAGTCTCCCGAACAGCTCGCACAGGTGAGGGGTGGGGTGGGAGTGAGGGGTGGGGGTGGAGTGAGGGGTGGGGGGAGGCGTTTACTCGAGTTGGAGTACCGCTGAACTATTTGACCGCGGTGATGAGGACCATGAGTCTGGACCTTCCATGCGATGCATTGTTAACTTGACGATTACCGCGTCCTCATATTCCCGTCTCGTTTGTCTTCTTTATCGCCGGTGGTGTTGTTTACTGCTTGCTAGTTTAGCTTTGGGCCACTCCCGTCAGTCTAAATGGAACACATATTACGCAAACCTCGCATAATCCAGCCTCACGATTCTGGTGAATGACGCTTTGTCGGTACTCGACGACATCGGCATCGTCTCGCGATTGTTTTGCCATCACGAGTCCGCATCGCTTAGCCCAGTGTGGTTCTTCTCCTTCACATGGGGTGCACCCTGCACCTCCTGGGGGTGCGGAGGTGCCCTTTCGGGGTGGTGCGAGACATGTCCAGATTTCTTTTTGAAGGTGAATCATCGAAACACAAATTTAGCACGGGCACCAAACCTACGTATTTATGCACATTATCATTTTTTTAAACGCTTGAGAACCACTGGCCCAGAGGGAAGTTCTCTTCCCCACTAGCATCATCTCTCCATAAGACCAGCGATATGTGTTTAGTTACGCCACGACTTTGGTAATGAGCCCCGGCAGGGTGGAACCCCGGGACTAGAAGTCGGCGTGTCGAAATAAATGCGAGCGTCGAACACAGCCGTGCAGGGAACACTTGGAGAGGTCCGGTAGACTGAGACACAGCGAGGGTGTAAGTGTATCGGTAGTGTAGGGGTCGTGTAGGGGTAGCGTAGGGGTTAGTGCGCTGCGCTACGAACTCGGCGACCAGGCGCGGTGCTGGCCACCCACCCCATCGTGTGCCGTGTCGGCCTTCATAGGTATTCGTGAACAGCACTTGCCCCAACAGTCTGTGAAGGCTATACGGGGGGGGGGGGTGGGTCGTTGTCTTTGCGCGTGATTTATAAACCAGGATGTGGGTCACGGGGGACTGACTCTGTCCGACTCTGTGTTGATCACAAAGCGTCTTTGTACGGTAGCGGAGTCGGGTCCACCGAGAGGTCCCCATCGATCAGGAGGGAGAGAGTCCCCCCCCAACCCCCTACAATAACACACATCTTACTCATACACCTTACACATACACCTTACACATACACCTTACACATACACCTTACTCACACACCTTACTCACACACCTTACACATACACCTTACACATACACCTTACTCACACACCTTACACATACACCTTACACATACACCTTACTCACACACCTTACTCACACACCTTACACACACACCTTACTCACACACCTTACTCACACACCTTACACACACACCTTACTCATACACCTTACACATACACCTTACTCACACACCTTACTCATATACCTTACACATACATCTTACACATACACCTTACTCACACACCTTACACATACACCTTACTCACACACCTTACTCACACACCTTACTCACACACCTTACACATACACCTTACTCACACACCTTACTCACACACCTTACACATACACCTTACTCATACACCTTACTCACACACCTTACTCACACACCTTACTCATACACCTTACACATACACCTGACTCATACACCTTACTCACACCCCATACACATACACCTTACTCACACACCTTACTCACACACTTTACTCACACACCTTACTCATACACCTTACGCATACACCTTACTCACACACCTTACTCACACACCTTACACATACACCTTACTCACACACCTTACTCACACACCTTACACATACACCTTACTCACACACCTTACTCACACACCTTACTCACACACCTTACACACACACCTTACTCATACACCTTACACATACACCTTACTCACACACCTTACTCATATACCTTACACATACATCTTACACATACACCTTACTCACACACCTTACACATACACCTTACTCACACACCTTACTCACACACCTTACACATACACCTTACACATATACCTTACTCACACACCTTACTCACACACCTTACACATACACCTTACTCATACACCTTACTCACACACCTTACTCATACACCTTACTCATACACCTTACACATACACCTGACTCATACACCTTACTCACACACCATACACATACACCTTACTCACACACCTTACTCACACACTTTACTCACACACCTTACTCATACACCTTACTCACACACCTTACACATACACCTTACACATACACCTTACTCACACACCTTACTCATACACCTTACTCACACACCTTACACATACACCTTACACATACACCTTACTCACACACCTTACACATACACCTTACTCACACACCTTACTCATACACCTTACACACACACCTTACTCACACACCTTACTCACACACCTTACACATACACCTTACTCACACACCTTACACATACACCTTACACATACACCTTACTCATACACCTTACTCATACACCTTACGCATACACCTTACTCACACACCTCACACACACACCTTACACACACACCTTACTCATACACCTTACTCACACACCTTACTCACACACCTTACTCATACACCTTACTCACACACCTTACACATACACCTTACACATACACCTTACTCACACACCTTACACATACACCTTACTCATACACCTTACTCGCACACTTTACACATACACCTTACTCACACACCTTACACACATACCTTACACACACATCTTACACATACACCTTACATATACACCTTACACATACACCTTACACATACACGTTACTCACACACCTTACACATACACCTTACTCACACACCTTACACATACACCTTACTCACACATCTTACTCACACATCTTACACATACACCTTACACATACACGTTACTCACACACCTTACACATGCACGTTACTCACACACCTTACACATACACCTTACACATACACCTTACACATACACCTAACACATACACCTTACACACACACCTTACACATACACCTAACACATACACCTTACACATACACCTTACTCACACACCTTACACATACACCTTACTCACACACCTTACACATACACCTTACACACCTTACTCACACACCTTACATATACACCTTACACATACACGTTACTCACACACCTTACACATACACGTTACTCACACACCTTACACATACACCTTACACATACACCTTACACATACACCTAACACATACACCTTACACATACACCTTACACATACACCTAACACATACACCTTACTCACACACCTTACACAGGAGCGCTGAATTAGTTCAGTACGCCTGCCTGATTGATGATGACGCACATAATGGTGAAACTGATCCATAAGTTCACATGGTTAAACAAAGGATGCGGCTTAACATAACCTACAGCATAGACTATCATTGTTTAGATGATTCGATTAAAACACGGTTGCAGAGCATTATATTTTAAAAAAGCCAAGCGGCCAGCAATAAACAGCACCATTGAAGGTGTGGCAATAGACGTGAGTTCATGGGTGTATTGAATCGAGGCACGGGTTGTGAAGTTGAAATGGGCAGCGGAGAACGGAGAGAGGATGGACGGATTCGCACCCCTTGGTGGTATCTCCTCTAACGCGCACTCCGACGGCTGTGGCAACTTGAGGAGGTGGCGATGGCGATGATGATGATTGTGATGATTAGGGAGGAGATGTGGAGATTTGCGATGGTCTGCCTCTCGCCGCAGGTCGCCCGAAAGAGCCGGACGGATCTGCCTTGCAGCGGCGGCAGCAACGGCAGCAGGTACAGGCCACAGACGTGTTGTTGTCATTATTATTGTTGATACCATCACGAGTAGAGGTCCCGTTGTTGTTGTTGTTGTGGTGTCTCCGCTACGGAAGATAAAATCCAGCTGTGATGTCCACCCATCCTGTCAGAGTGCCCCTGCACTCGGAGTTACTGAAAGTAATCTATGCTTCTCTCTTAAATGTAATAGCACGATGCCGAGGTAATACGTATTGTAATATTGTATGTTCTCTACGATGTAGAGAATATTTGCGGCGCAAGATGTACATTTATTGGAGCACGCGTTGAAAAATTAGAGCGATTTTAAGTCAGAGTTCTGTATTCGCTTCTCCCACCTCTTTGTGTCTTTGTCTGTTATTATTATTGTTGTTGTTCCTGAACGTCTTCCTCTTTCGCCGTGCAGCCAGTTGCCTGGCTAGTTTCGGTGACGATGCGGGTCCACAGCAGCCACTAACAACAACAAACAACAACAAACAACAACACGATCGTGGCAAATCGCCCGATGATGCTGGATGTAATGACCAGCGAAATGTCACGGTGCTCAAATTGTGAACGTTGTGGATTTACTCTCCAACACACCGGTGGGCTGAAGTAGTAAACTAATTTACGTTTTGCTTACGTGCCAAATCCCTTACTAATTGGCTGTGTCGGGTGGTGGAGGGTTACGACACAACATTTATACTTACGCGATCTAACCCAAATAACTTTATTATGAGCAGAGTTATCGTTGGGGTGGTAAGGAGCCCGGACTTGCAGCCAGTCGGGAAACTCGAGGCGTAGATGATGTTTAAGCGTAGTATTAGACAATGCCAAGGGAAGCCTCACCGAGTCTCAAAGTTCCATTGTCCAGGCGGGTCATGCCAAGTTCCTGTCCACAACATGGGGGCGATGTTGCTGCTACGTGGCAACATTTTGAACGGAGTCATTTGTTGTTGATTTTTTTTTTGGTTTGCATTCGGTTGTTTTGTGGCCCGACATCAGTGGGTGCGTGGGGTTTGTCGCTCGCTGTGGGTGGGAGGGAGGAAGTCGGAGGAACCTCACTGCAGGACACAGGGGAAGAACGTGCGAACCCGACGCAGAACAACGCCCCGTTCGGGAATTGAACTCAGGTGGTTATTTGCTTTGAGGCGGCTGTGCGATGACCGCGCAGCCACCCTCGTAGCTCGATATCTAAAATAATGGTGATGAGAGTGATTATGGGACGCAACGGTTGAATGGCCGCTAAACAGAAGGGTTTCATAAGGCAATTGCGCTTGACAATTGGAGACGTGAGTCAGAGGAATACAGCCGGAGGAACAAGCAGCAGAGCGTGTGCGAACACAGCTACTGACAAGGTCAGTTACAAAATCATCTCAAACAATGAATGAAAAGTCTCAAATCAGCACGCAGAGAGACAGAGAGAGAGAGAGAAAGCTGCGCGCTCGGAAATAAATTGAGAGGCATACAGAGGAACACGGGCATTATGGGCGTCATCATAGTGACTGCTCAGACAAGCGAGTGGGCAGCTTAGGCGGGACACGTGGGTAGGAGGAACGATGGTCAATGATGATGACAGAGTGGCAGCCAAGGAATGGAACGCGTCCCAGCGGACGTTCACCGCAGAAGATGGAGCAATGAAATCAGCTTGCGTGTAGGCGCTGGGTGGACGGTTGCATAAAAGGGATAATTAAAGACGGCGACGCCTTGGGGAGCCCTTCATCCAGCAGTGGATTGAGCACGAGTGACGAGTGGTGACAAGACCTGCGGGGAAGTCACTTCGAGTCCTCGAGGCCCCCGCCCCAAGAGGGCCCTCGCTGTGGGATGTTTTGTCCAATTCTCACCACGAGAGTTTGCCTTCTCGTGTGGGAGAAAACCAGAAAACACCCACGGACACGCGCAGGGGAGAACGCCTCGCGTGGAGTTCACGAGCTCGCTTGCCGTACTACCGTGTCCTGGCCACCACGGGGGTTTTGTTGTTGTTGTTGTGTTTTAAAGCGTGACCCACAAACCTCCATGGCCTCCCTAAGCGATGGATCACAGGGGGGCGTGCGCCATTGTGATCGAGGCGGTGCAAGGGGCTTAGTTTCAGCCGGGTCCATGCGGGTCCAGCACCCGAGATGACACTTCGGGCACTTCCACATCCAGAAGAGCGCCTCGCGCTAGGGCTGTGCGTGTAGCCGCTGCTAACGCGCCACCTACTCGCCCCCCCCAGTCTTAGCGAGCGACACGGGGACGAATCCAGCGAGATTTGAAGCTTCGAGTGATCGCGGTCCCCACGAAGCCGGGCGAGCCGAGTGGGGTGCCCCGAGAGGAGACGGCGGCGTAGGGGGCGGGGTGAGGGCACCGTCGGGGTAGATCCTAGTGGGTCGTGCGTTTCCTGTGCAGCAGCAGCAGCTGCTGCGGAATCTGGCAGAAGTGAGTGGAAAGCTTTGGCAGCGAGGAGGAGGAGATGGCGGTAGCGTTGGTACCCAGAGCTGTAGCAAGATATTCTGGCGCTCGGGAACAAGATGACTTCCTCCCTCCTGATACGGCGCCGGCACCGCCCCACCAACAATGTGAACCACCAGCCCCGCCTCCACTTGTGTCCAACAATTCGGCTCACACGAACTTCTCATTGTGGGGGGGCGGGGGGGGCATTGCCGCTCCCCTCGGGGTGGGGGGCGCCCGAGGCAGCCGCCCCCCAACTCGCTCCGCTCGGCCTCGTTGACAACTGATGACTTTGGCCGCGGGCGAAATCTCGATCTTGTTTGGTCACCGCTCCGTTCTGACCACGGACTCGCCCCCCCTCCCCCCGCGCGTGTCTCTGAACGTCCGCGCTGCGTTGCAGGGAGTCGGGCGGGCTAGGAGTTGGGGCGAGGCGAGGCGGCGGCGGTGGTGGTGATGGCGGCGGTGGTGGTGATGATGATGGGAGACCACGCGCTGACCACAGGGTCAGATTCGCGTTCAGGATTAGACTTAGGGCGAGGAGCTTTCTCATGTGCAACAGAGCAGGTAACCCTCAACCCGCCCCTCCCACCCCACCCCCCAGGGTCTTGTGTCCCCCGCCCCCCTCGACTCATAAATCCTCTCGGTCGCGAAATTCTCCGCATCGCCCCCTGCCACGTGACTTGCCAGCGTGCGTGGTCCCGTGCGCGCTTCTTTCGCCTCCGTGTCAATGTCCACCCAATCGAACACCGACCAGCGTGGTGAAGTATGGCCAAATAATCTCCCCCCCCCCAAGCACCACCACGCCGCGTCACTGCTGGATGAGTGGCCCCCTTCGCCAGGCCTGCGGGTTTTGTGCGCGTGGCGTTTTTGGCCCCATCCGTCACCATGCCGGTCCGTGCGGGTTGATGAAGCAGGCTCCCAGCGATAGACGTTGGGGCACAGCAGTACAGGCTGCAGAAAAGTAACGCATACGCTGCTGTCCTTCCGCTGATGCCCACTACGTGTCCCTCACAGCAGCAGGAGCAAGCCTGTAGCACCTGCTTGTTGATATTCACGGTGGCCACGAATCCAACAACAACTATATCCGGGGCCCGCGCCCGCTTAGCTTCCGAGATCTGACGAGATCCGGGCGCTCTCTCTCTCTCCGGGTGATCTGATCACACGTAGTGATATCCGTCAAACATTCCCAACCAACACCATCACCACGAGGCCTTCAATCAACATGGGCACATTCATGCGTCGTGGGGATTGGTTTGTGGAGGAGAACTGGAGGCGGGCGGTGGGGGTGGTGGCACTTTCGCATCAAATACAGGGTAAAGGTGGAGCCCTGCAATCGCTGGCTCACGCCACTGCTGGCAGAATGCCCTTCACGCGAGAGAGAGAGAGCGCTCTTGGAGAGCTTCTTCAAGAGGGCATTGCGGCCGGCTCCACCACCCTAGCCACACTTTGCTTTGCTCTCTCTACTGCCAGCGCAAGAGCCTCCCCGAGAAGAGGCTCGAGATAAGGGTTAGCAGAGGCAGCGGTAGGGGCGGTGGGGAGTTGTGGAAACTTGTCCTTCGTTGTTTCAAGCCGCCGATCATTGACTACCATTAGTTACAATTAAATTATAAAGCAAGTTTTTGCCAGCTGGCTGGAGAGAAGGACGGACTGATGGTTACCCTCCAAAGGACGTGCGGACTGCTCATTACAATGAGCACAATTTACGGCCCTTTGTTAATCCACCGCTGGATGTACGAGTTTTTAAAACGTTTATTTATTTGATGAAGTTTCGCAAACCCCTGGGGCGTGCGCGGCCCACGCCCTTTCCGGCACGCGTCTCCCACTGCGCCCCCCCCACCCACCCATTCATTGTTCGAGCCAACACAATGGGCCCCCCCCCTCCTCCCCAGTACGTTTTTTTCTCTTAAATCGTTTGTCGTGGCCGCGATTCGCGTCGAGGAGCGACGCGCGACGGACGGCTCCTTCCCCGTTCCCTCCTCGTGCTTCCCGCGGTACATTTTAACGTTTATTGGCCACGCGCTCGTGAAGATCAAGCGAAAGCCCAGTTGGTTGTGCTTGAGTCAATAGCCGTCATTTTTCCTGGGCCCTGCGTTGGCAGCAGCAGTGCAGGTACGGGCCGGAGCAAACAAAATCGACATTAATCGTGAAGCCTACTCTACACTCCAGAGTCAGTGCCACCGATATAATCTGGGTTTGAACCTGGGTTTCGGCTGCCTATGATGAAGGATGTGTTCTCATGAGTTGATGTTTATTTTGTTAAACCAGGTGGTGAGAACTCAAGAGGCGAGCACGAGTCTCATTTGCAAGAGTGACCTGGGGCATTAGACTCGCCAGCAGCGGGCATTGATTGCTGCTGCTGTGTATAACCCTCAAATAGTAATTTGCGGTATAATTGTGGACCCTGACACCGGCACACAACGGCCTACTCTTGCGAATGACATGAGTCGGATCTTTAATATTCACTGTGAAGCAGATAGAGGGTACTGCTGTGGTTGGTACATCTGCAACGATTAACCACGGTCGCCGCTTGATTCGAATGGTGAACCTCTGTAACCACTCGGCCACATCACCAGCCTAGGTGTAGGGAGTTGATGGTCACAGCCCGTTCATCAATAATTGCGCGCACACACACGCAAAAGACGGATTAAAATTACGTGAATTTTTACTTAATCTATCAACATTCAAGCTCTAAGAACTAAACAATCAGCTTGACGTTGATGCAAAACACCCCACAGTAGTAAGTTTAACACGTCGTAGGCTTTCGCGACCAATATCATCCACAATAGAGGTGTTTTGGGTTAGATCGCGTAAATATATAAATGTGTCGTAAATACCGCCACCACCCGACACAGCCAACTAGTAAGGGTTGTCACGTAAACAGAACGTGGCCAATTAGTCACTAGTACAGCACACCGGTGTGTTGGAGAGCCAAGCCACAACATTTACAATCTCTGAGTACGACGTTTCGCCAGTAATTACAACTAGCTTCATCAGGCGGCAGCCAGATTTGTGGAGGAGTCCACCTGTTTCGTTCCTTAAATGTGTGCTGTATTTTTAATATTTTATTGTGATTTTTCTATCTACGTGACTTTACCGAAATAACTATAGAACGTGCTGTACGAATTGGCACGTTCTGTTTACGTGACAAACCTTACTAGTTGGCTGTGTCGGGTGGTGGCGGGTTTAACGACACATTTATATATTTACGCGATCTAACCCCCAAAAAAACCTGTATTAAGGACGTCATCACATCTACCCCTCTAAGGAACGAAACAGGAGCATTTATCCACAAATCTGGCTGTCGCCTGATGAAGCTGGTTGTAATTACTGGCGAAACGTTGTACTCGGAGTGTAAATGTTGTGGCGTTGCTCTCCAACGCACCGGTGTGCTGTACTCGTGACGAATTGGCCACGTTCTGTTTACGTGACAAACCTTACTAGTTGGCTGTGTCGGGTGGTGGCGGGTTTAACGACACATTTATATATTTACACGATCTAACCCACCCCAGACCCCCCCCCAAAAAATAAAACCCACCTGTATTACCCCACAGTAATGTGTGGCCAAGTGGGCCCTCTCGTGTGTGTGTGGAGGTGATCTGGAGGTTATCTCCACACACACACGCGCACTAGGGTGCCGTTCTCTGACACCTGGGGAGGGGGGTCGCTCTCTCCTGCGAGATGATTTCCGAACGGATTCTTTGTCTCGTGACGTGGCATTAACACCACATCGGGAATAAAACGAGAGAGAGAGAGAGAGAGGAATAGAAAGTTGTCGTTTTTTAAAAAAGTATCGGCTGATATTTCGGTGTTAGGGCCGTTTTGTTTTTTTCTCATCAGCCATGATCGATCCACTGCTAGACGAAGGCCTCCGCAAGCCAGCCCCTATCCTTCGCGGTCGGCACAATTTAATGTTGTTGGTGTAATTTTGATGTATAGTTTTATATATTTATACGCGTATTTAAGCCGAATTGTTAGATTTGCAATTGGAAACGAAACTTCGCAAGGCTCTGAGTTTGATGGACCCACGATCGGGTGGATGTGGGCGGGTGGGGGGGGGAGTCGGTCTAGAGGCTGCGTGCCCCCACCCCCTGTCCCCCCTCCTCGTGCCCCACCCCCCTCGTGCCCCCCCACTCCTCGTGCCCCCCCCCCTGCCCTGTCTCGCACTCTTCCCAGCGCCCTCACCAGCATCGTCCCCATTTATTTCTTGAGGCATAATCAGTTGGGGGGGGGGGCTCACACTTAAACCATAACGACCCCCCCCACTATTTTGTTGTTGTTTTTGTATTCGGTGGCAGCGTGGGAAGGGAAATGCTGCGAGATGAGATAAACAATGGGTGGGTGGGTGGGGGGGTTACAGAACGCGAGACCCCGGGGATATTTACACTTTGCGATGGTTCGCGAACACAACCACCAGTAGCGGCTACCCCCTGCACACGCACATCGCCCCCTCTCCCTCCTCCAACTCGTCCCGCGGGACCCCAATCTCACATCAGCAAGAGAACAAACACTCGACACGGAGGCCCTGGCGGCTTTGCCCTTCAACCAAGAGGCTTCGGAAAGTCTCTTGCCACGTCAGATTTTTTTCCCCCCTTGTTTGTTGTTGTTGTTGTTGCTGCTGTTGTTGGTTGTTTGCAAAACTTGGCGAGTTGACTAATCATGTTGAATTACAAAACGCGTGCGGGTGTGTGGGGCGGAGACGCATGCGTGGGACTTACAACCGGCTGGCAGAGAGACCAGCAGCCAGGTATCAGATAGATATATATATTTTTTGTAATTTATACCGCAGTAGGAATCCGAGGAGCTATGAAGATATTTTTTTCTGCAACAGACGTTCAGTAGAGACGGGTCTGAAAAGAAGTTACACCAACAACAAACGATACAACAACACGATAGGAGTTTCAAGGTATAGGGAAAAAAGAAATCGCTAAACGAATAAAAATGAAATTAGAACGCGCACGGTGCGCCCAGCGCAGAGACTCCCCGCGAGTGGAGCGGCAGGGGCACCGTCTTTGGCCTTCACGCAGCAGCGAACGGAGCATTACACCCACGCCAAAACGCACGGAGTCCCAAGCTAAATTTGTTTCATACCCAGGCGCAGTGCCGGATTAACGCAGTAGCACAAGTAGCTACACAATGCTACGTGCCCCGCACTTTCAAGGGCCTCGCGCTAAACGCTTTCAAGCTGTCAACTCCGGTTCGGTGATTCTGCACTTGCTCTATCACTATAGTACTATACCGCCTTCAACTTTTACGAACGACTGGGTGTTTAAGGATAACGATTTGTCGTATTATCTGGCTGTATAGCAAATGAAACAATACAATTACTTTACTGTGCAAGTAAAAAAAATTGTGTTTTAATATGTATGTTTTTTTTCATTTAAGGCCCCTTTATAACATCATGCTTACAGGCCCCGTACTCGCTTAATCCGGCACTGTCCGGGCGAGAACTCAAGAGAGGCCACAGGGATAGAGTCTCACCCGGGGTGGCGGGGAGGGTCACCCGAGTGACGGGAGCGAAACCAACCATTGTCGCAGCGGAGAGACAGAAATAACGTGGATTGGAGAGCAACGCGAGATAGACGTCATTGACGCCGTTGAAGAGCAGAGAAGTGGCCCTGCGCAGGCCGCGTGGTGGGCGAGAGGGGGCAGTGGTGCCGGTCGCCGACAAACGAATAACGCAGTAGGGGCAGCCAAGAGATGGAACGCATCCCCAGAGGTCGTTCGCCGCGGGAGATGTAGCGATGACATCTGGTGGATGGTTTGCATCTTTGAATCCGCGATTCCCAGACACCCGCGAGACGTCACCGTGAATGTTCCTGTGCCTCGCTCCCCCCCCCCCCCCCTGATCCTCTCTTCCTTTTCCCTCTGAACCCGACCCGGCCCGCACCCTTCCTGGCTTGTTCCCAGGGGGTCACGGTGCCCGGTGTAGCAGCAGCGGCGGCGGCGGCGGCAGCAGGGGTCGCGGATCCCCATGCAACATCAGCAGCAGCGGTGGCGGCCACGTGGATTACAGATGCAACGTGCACGCGCAGCCGGGACCCCAAGCACGTCCTTGTTCATTCCTCACCTTCGGGAAAGATGAACGCCAGCTCGCAGCGCAGCAGCAACAGCTGACGACGAAGAAGGAAGACGGCGGTGCAGTTGCTGTCGCTGGAGCCTGTAACGGTGACAGCAGCAACAGGAACAGCTGTAGCAGCAGCAGCAGCTGTAGTGACGCTGCCGAACTGAGCGCCTTTCTCGGGGAGTGCGTGGCGCGGTACTGCAGTCTCGAGTCCCAACCAGAGGCGCGCTGCAGCAAGAGCCACCGCCTGCTGCTGTCTTCGTCGTCATCTTCTTCTTCATCATCATCCTCATCATCAGCAGCAGCAGATTTGGAGTGCGGACTCGACTCGCTGTCGCTGTGCAGTCGAGATGAGGACGCGAGGGGAGAGGAGGATGAGGAGGATGGCAGGAGCGTGGGGTTCCTTAGAGTGCTGAGCGTCGATAGTGATGACGGTGGTGATGGCGGTAGCGGTGATGAGGACGATGGTGGTGGTGGTGGTTATGATGACGCCACGTGCTCGCACCACCACGTGCGGCGCGACGATGCCAGACTCGTGTTGGACGTCACGCTGGAGCAGGTCGACGGAGTCACCGTGTGATCTGTCCAAAATCCGGGCCACACCGCAGCGCCGGGCCCGCTTACACGCATCGAATCATTTGCGCCGCTCGCGTCATGTTAACCGCAACGGGACTCGAGCGGCAGTCCCACCCCCCCCCCAATTCCCCCCCCCCACCCCCCGCCCCCCCCCCAGCTCCCCCCACCCCCCGCTCCCCGTGTTTGTCCGAGGCTTGCTGGGCGACGCGGCGACTCCGTGAACTTTGTAGCTTCTGGGGCGTTCCCTTCGCGCGTCGCCCGTCCGATGTGGCGCTTGGGCGGGTTGGTGGGTCCCCAGTCGGCGCCGATGTTCTTCGATAGTGTCGCGAGCACGGCGACTGTCACCCTCAGCCTCTCATTGCCGAGTGCTGTCCGCACAGAACCCGCGTGGAACGGCCACCGAGACCACGTGGTGGCATGGGCGATTGTGGAGGGGGGGTGTAGAGGGCGGTGGCGCAGTGGTTAGCGCACTCCGCTATTTGAAACCTACAAGCCGAGTTCGATTCCCGGCCACGGCCAACATCAGTGGCGAGCGATATCTGAACCGGTAATGAATGCCCAGTGTCACTCCCCAAGACTTCACCAAATCTGCGCGCTGCTCAGCGTGGTGAAGTATGTTCAAATCAGTGGCGTAGTGTGGTTGGTGCCCTAAGACCGAAATATCAGCCGATAGTTCTTTAAAACTATTTTTTTCTTCTCGTTTCATTCCCACGTCCAATTCAAATCGCCCCCCAACCCCCTTTTTTAGCTTGGCGCCTGGGCCACGGTGCAGTTGCACCGCCTGCGCATTCTGCACCTTGAGAGCCGCTGGGGTCAAACAGCCACCCACAGCCAACGCGACACGGGGAGGGCTTGAACTGTTAAAGCAGCAGTGTGGTTTGATGTCTGGACATTACGATATTATATAGAGCAGCTATAGTTTACAAAATGTGCAGTGTATATGCAAGGACAATCAACAGTGTGCATGCGCGTTACCGCTCGAACCGCCCTGGATGTAAATATTCTCGTCGAGTATTTATCTCGCACGTAATTCCGATTGGGGCATGCCCGTTGAATAATAATAATAACAATAAATGTGTGCGCGAGCGCGCGCGTCTCTGTGAGCTCTCGTCGGCGTTGTGATGAATGAATGGGGCTGAGAAGCGCACACAACAACACCACGGGCAGAGGACGCCGCCGTCTCCTGGGGCACACGGCCAAGCGGGGCGACTGCCCCGGGCCTTTCGCTTGCCCCCCCCGCGTCGACGTCACGGTGTCAGACGTAATACTTCTGGTTTAGTTTGAAGACGTCGGGGGGGGGGGGGGGGGGCATACGATTGGGGGGGGGGGGAATACGATGGGGGAGGGGGGGCATACGATGAGTTGCCCCGGGTTTCCGCAATCCACCTCATCCACGTGCAGAATACGACACGTGGTCTTTTATAGGTGAGTAAGGGCAGCAGCGGGAGAAGGAGCGACCTCCCACTGAGCAACACTTACTGCTACGAGTAGTGAGAGGAGAGTTAGGTGGTATGTGAGATTCGAGATGTAGGAGAGTGCGTGGAGGGGACTGTAGTGGGATGAGAGGGGCGAGGTAGCAGAGCACGTGGGAGCAGTGGTGAGACGGAGGCATTCAGAATACGCTCGTGCACAGCTCCCTAAACTCCAATCCTCGCGGCCCAGGGCCACGCTCCGTCTTTCCGCGTTCACCAATTTACACCTCCGCATTCAAGTTGAAATCAACTTGTTGCGCGCTGCACGCGCCCGATGACTGTTAAACGCGTCCCACGTGACGGGCTAAGCGATTGACACTGCGTCACGTGGAACACGTTCACACACGGGACACGTGCAGTAGACACGCGGACACCGAGGTCGTAATCTTAATCGGCTCTCCATTAACGCGGCTCGCGTTAATTGCTTAACGCGGCACGTGGGACGTTTAACAATCATCGGGCGCGTGCAGCGTGGAATGGGGTTAATTTGTTTCAAAAGCGGGACTAAATTGGTAAACGCGGAAAGACGTCGTGGTGCGTCGCCAGGACTGGAGTTTGAGGAATTGTGCGCGAGCGTCTTCTGAATGCCGGCGTTTAAAGCACTGGAGCCTCCGTCTCACGACTCCTCCCACGTGCTCTGCTACCTCGCCCCTCTCATCACACTACAGTCCCCTCCATCTCCACTTTCAACTCCCACCAACTCTCCTCTCACTACTCGCAGCAGTGAGTGTTGCTCAGTGGGAGGTTGCTCCTTCTCCGCTGCTGCCCTTACGGTCTGGAACTCCCCTTTCCCCATCCGCAAGTTGTCTACTCCGTCCTTGCTCTGCTCCGGGTTCAACACTTTCCTCGATCTCTGCCTATTACTCTCGAATGGTCCCCCCCCCCCCCCCCCCCCTACCGATTCTAGTGGTTAATATGCACACATCCTTTGTTGCTCGCGATGATGCGGATATCGTAGATGCATTGGAAGAGTCGAGTATCTTTTGATTTCTACCACGAGATTAAATAGACTCACTGAGAGCCCCGAGCCAGCCGTGCCTCTTCTTGCACGGGGCGCTGTAAATTGACAGCGTGATTCCATTAACTCTGGAGGCCGAAATTCTGATAAATGTCAAGTGGGTGTACCGTGCCCAAATGGGGTAACCACGGGCGTGTGCGTATAAAGGTGATAATGTAGAACGGGAATGGAGAGAAATAAAAACATTCTGATTCCATGCTAGATCCCATGCTCAAACCCACACTCGCACAAGAAGACACTTCGAACCCCATCATGATCGACCATAGGCTCAAACCCGTAAAAACTCGACATCATGCTGTTCAAGAATCAACGTTTTCCACTCCGGGCGACTCTCCGGATTTTTTTAAAATCTCACACAGCTGTGCTATTTTAAAATATCGAATAACCGCACTCGCGTGAAAAAGGCAAAATGACATCTCACCACATTAGGCAAAAAAAACAACTCAAAACTCCTGCCACGTATATTTTTTCAGTCACTTTACTCCCATCACAAAAAAAAATACATCCGTGGTAGACAGATCTAACACAGCCACTGCATAGATTTATTCACATCGGTCCCTGGGGCCTGGCTTCACCAAATGTCCACCACGACCCCCTTGCCGGCCTCTCCGTGTTCGTGCGAGTGACCGCCAGGTCCATTGCCGGCAATCTGCGAGGCGCGGGCTCGCCGAGCCCTGTAGCGACAACAGTCTTTGTTTTCACAACAGTTCGGCCCGGATAATACCCCATGCATGGCGGAAGGTGGTGGATGTTAGTAGTGTAAAGAGCTCGGGCAAACGCAACAGATAGCATCTCTAAAAGTCAACCACAGCTGGCATGCATCGTCGGTGGTTCGTCAGCCACGTGGACGCAAGACGGGGGGGTCACCTTGAGACAGGGTGGTGTCGCCATGACCTTAGCGGTGTCTGTTCACGCCGAGACCGTGACACGGGGCAAGGTTGAGGTGGTGTGGGCACGCACGCACACAAATACAAAGACTCCCCGTGTAGCCTGAACAGACTTTTGGGGTAAGTGCCGTTCGCAAGCACCTATGAAGGTCGGCGCAGCACACGAGGGGGTGGGTGGCCAACACCACGCCCGGCAGCCTTTGTCTCCCGAGTGGCGATGTTTACACACCGCACCAGGTACTCATTTGAGGCCGAGTCGACCTAGGGGAGGCCCAGGACCGGTTCAGATAATCGTCACCGGTGTTGGCCTTGAGCGGGGATCGAACTCGGGTCGCCGGGTTCGTAGCGCAGCGCGCACACACCCACCCACGTTGTTATAGCATCGCAAGTCAAGGCGATGGGAGAGGGAGATTGGTTGCGGCTGTGGTGTCATGCCGAGCAACACCGGGGAGGAGCTGCAATCCCAGAGGTCGCCGCTTCGATTCGATCTCCCGGTTAGGCAGCTGAAATGGCGATGTAAACCCGCCCCAAAAAATCTCCCCCGCCTCTGCCCATGAATGTGAGTATATGCACAGACACGTTAATGTCCGTGGAGGATTATTATTATTATCAAAAGGTGCTATCTGATGTCAAATAAACATTGCAGATGCCATCACATCACGCGTAAGCGCATGCCACTGCACGCTCATGTCAGCGCCAAATATACCGCGACTCAAAACTTAGCAGTAGCTAAAATAATAATATAGTAACCCTTTACACTCTTAGGAAAACGTCAGCCTGCATTCAGCACACACACGTGATTTTCGTTTGTCGCAAAACCGGTTTCCAGGCAAAAAGGGACGCTAGCTTATCGGGATTTCAGCAAGAGCTTATTTCGCTGGACAGGTCAACCCCACGTACACCACACGCCCGCCTTTCTCTTGGCCAGCAGCCTCACAGCAGGTGACGTTTTACGATGCCAGAGCCACAGGTAACTCTTTGCCTACATTTTCCACTGCACATCCGAGCCGTGCCGCGGGCAGCCCGGTGCGGGTCGCGAAGCCCCAGTGGCCGTTTTTCCACTGCAGAAACCGAGCCGTGCACGCTGACGTCACAAGCACCGGAGTGGGGACGCGCGTAGGCGCCGCGCGACGCCGTGTCCTCGCGGCGGCGCTGATGTCGCAGACACTGAACGCGTGAGAACTTCCACTCCTGGTCCCGTCAGGCTCAAGAGACAGATTCAGATGTCTTGTGACAACCACCGTATCACGGTTTGATTTTGGCTCGGCTCGGCTCAGCAGCGAATAGCCAGTGGAAAACCACCCCTTACCGTGACGGCCCCGTCCTGGGTCGGCTGTGGCCAGTGGAAAAAGAGGCTGGCCCAGACTTTCCCCAGCACTGCTCTGCACACCCTCTGCTGCTGTACAATCGGCACTCATGTCTAGGACGTATTTACAACTATGCATCACTACGTGTCACATACTCGGTATATAGCCCTAGTGAATAAACTTAACAATGAACGATTAAAAAAGAACAAATTCTATTTATATATCTTATATATCCCGATACTAATCCACCACATCGTTCGATCGCGTGCGTTAATTGGCCCTCCAGTGAAGGACGATTATAATTAGTGAACGTACACACGTGTCTATAGCGGTGGCTGTCCCGTGGCGTTTGCGACGAACGGCGATGCTACACACGTGGGTCGTGCGCGAGCGCGTCTTGCTGGGCCGCACGCACGCACGCGCGCTCTACTCCGTGTAATACTGCGCGGGTATTTATAGACAAACGTATAAAACGCAAATGCAGGCAGTTTCAGCGGTCGGTCTCCCGCAAGAAGCGCGGCTGCGTCGGGTTCGTCCCCGAAAGGGGCCGATTCAGGTAGCGTTAAACGCGCGCGCGCATCTCTGCGGCGAACACGCTTTTTGTCTTGGGCAAGACGACCCCCCGGGGATTCGATTCGCTCATCGCAGGCGGAGCAGAGGTGACGCGTTCCCCGCTGGCGAGTCCGACACGCTTGACAGCGGAATTCTAGAAGCACCAAAAATCCGACGGGAAAAAAAAATAGCCACGCGTAGTAACCGCTCGCTGCACGTTCAAGTTGATTGTTTAGTAAGACTCGCACGCGACACGAGTGATTATTGCTGATGCAGAAGTGACGACGTTTAAAATCAGTCGTTTTGATTTTTACAGCGGCGCAAAACACTTGCTTTGACGACGCCGAGCGATCGGAAACACTCCGCTTGGGCAGGTGCACGCGCGTAAACAGAAGTGCTGACGGCCGATTTGGCGGCGGCGGTGGCGGCGGGCTGGAGGAGGGCGCCGACGCCGTGGCCCGTCGTGGTGCCGTGCTCGGCCTGGAAAACCAACGGCGGTGGCGGTGGGTGGCAGGGTGAGAGCGGCGGCGGTAGCAAATTTAATAATGGGGGAGCGGTTACGGTCAAGGGAGGGGACAGGCCCGAGAGGAGATCCACGGCGTAGGCCGCACCGTCACGAGGTCGTTTCGTGTGCGGCCGCTCGGCGGACCGTCGCGCCGCAGGACCGCGAGAGACGGCGGCAGGATTGCGGAGTCCTTCATCCAGCAGTGGATTGACCGTGGCCGATATATGACGATGTCGGAGATGGGTATAAATACACGGCGGCGTGCTGCCACGCGGCGGTCACAACGCTCTCAGCCGAGCCATGAGGGCATCCGCGTCCCTGTCCTCCGCGCCACCGCCTCCGCCGTGCCCCCTCGGTCGCCCGCCCGGCGCCTTCCTCCGCTCCTCCGTGACGCCGTTGTTCCCCGGCTCGTCGAAGTTGAGCTCTTTGGCCGCGTGGGGTCGTGAGGAGGAGGCTGCTGCGGCCATGGTGACGTTGTGTCGCGAGCGCGAGCGTTCCAGCGGGGCACGCTTGCTCTCTGCGCACGGATTAATGCACACACACACACACAGGCACACGCACACACACACACAGGCACGCGCACACACACACGCGCACGGTCCCACGAGTTCGTTTGCCGCGTCACAGGGAAGATGGGACGATTCGTCCGTCAGTTCGGCGGATCGACCGAACGTTCCAATCGAATCCTTGTTTTAGGCCCATCACTCAGGCCACTTGTAAACCGGGAAACCCCCTTACAAGTCCATGATGCCATCAATGTCAGCAAGCCCCGCCCACCAATTTCCCATCCAGCGGCACACGGGGCAATACAGGTGAGACTTTTGTTCTATCTTGAATTATTCGATTACATTAGTGGAGTATTCACACCGACAATCAGTCGAATGATGGGATAATTTAAATAAACGGATATCCTAGCTCAACGCTGCAGCGCCCACACGTACGGCGGTGCCCTGCCGTTAAGCTGCTGCTAGATGATGGCCGCCCCACGGCACGCAGACCGTGGGCGCTGTGTGACCGACTGTACGTCATCACAATGCTTAGTGAGGCCTGGTGAAGCTGAGGAGCGCAGATGCAGAAGATCGACCGCTCGGCCACTGAGAGCGGGACGGAGATCGGAGCGAGGGAGACACCGACCGCTCGGCCACTGAGAGCGGGACGGAGATCGGAGCGAGCGACACATCGACCGCTCCGCCACGGACAGCGGGACGGAGATCGGAGCGAGCGACATATCGACCGCTCCGCCACGGAGAGCGGCATGAACGACGCTCGGTGGAATAACCTGCGTTGCTCGCGACGTGCGGGTGTCTTGCAACCGAAAACGCCTCTGGTGCTAACGGATCACTCCAAACGGAAAAAAAAAAAATGACTCACAAACGCATGGCCACAATGCACAATGCAATCGCACAGAGAATCCAACACGGAGAGGCAGCAGCGGCAGCAGCTGGCGGCAACGAAGAGCGATCAAAACGAGCCGTGCACACGGCAAATCATGAAAGCGCAACTCAAATAGCAATGTTACACGTTTGTTTTCCGACGCGGAATCATTCTCGCGAAGGCATGCGCGACACGGCAAAAGCACGCGGCTAGAGCAAACGGACAGAAACCAAGCGAACGTTCAAAATGGTCAACCAAGCCAAGCGCCGGGTAGGGGTGGATTTACCAGACGTCGATAGGCAGCGAGTGGCAGGAATGGGCACCTGGGACGAGTGACATGGACCCATCAGACCGAGCACACAACGCACACAAATGATTTGTCAGGAATAATAAAATAAACCGCCGAGCGTCGATTCATTAAAAGAGCCCACGGCGGCGCAGAAAACCAAAAGCCATTTCCGGGTCGCGTTGTTCCGGTCACGCAGTGACGTGGGGGGAGGGGGCTTGGGGGGGGGGGGAATGTTAAAATCAAACTCACAGATTTCCATTTCCAAACAGCGACCATCAGATTTCAAACAATGCTATCGCTTTAAGCGGTAAGTCTGCAGGACATTTTAAACCTTTTTTAACTGGATCATGTCAATTTTCAAAGATCATCACGTGGTCTCATAAGATGTTTGGCAGACACCAAAGGTGGATGCTTCGTTTGTTCCTCTGAAAATGGGTTATGCCGTAGAAGAGTTAAAAAACTAATCTGCAGACGACCGCTTGAATCGGTAGCGTGGGCTCAAGTGGTTAGGGTTAGTGCGAGCAGCAGCAGCAGCATCGAAATCCAGAAGCCCTGTCACAAAGAAGCAGGATTCAATGCCCAGATTAGCGTTTCCAGAGTTTCTTATAATACCCCTTTTCCACTGGAGCATCTGAGCCGAGCCAACACGGAGGGGGGGGGGGGGGGGCCCGGGCAGGGTGGATTTCCACTGGCTATTTTCCGTGCCGAGCCAGAACCAAACCGCGGTATTCGCTGGCCTCGGAAGACACCTGAATCTGTGAATCTGGCTCGGTGGCAGGCAGGGCCTGGGGCGGGCCTCTTTGACGCGTTCGTTGCGTGCGACGACGTACACAGCTTCACCGCGTCGTCTATCAGTATGTTCAACTTCCTTTTCACCGCACGTAGCCAACCGATTTAATCCGAGGTGCGGAATGCGTCGCAACCCGTCAAACCGTGCGTAATTACAGCGGCACGGCTCGGGTCCTGCAGTGCTGGCTTGGCACGGTTCCGGCGTGGCTCAGTTGTTCAGTGGAAAAGAGATAAATATTGGGGGGGGGGGGGGGGGGGGGGAAATAAAGCGTAGTTCGTAAGTTTAAAAAAAAATCATGCGGCTCGAGTCGCAGGACGAGCGCAAAGGGAGACGGCGGAAAAGCTGCGGGCAAGCCGGACCTCCCAAGAGCGAGCCATCTCCTCGAGCACAGACACATGGCGGAGGGGACTCCCATTGCATTGTTTTTTTGTTTTTACCGAGTGTTCCAAACCTATCGATGGATCGCCGGGCCTGGCCAGGCAGGTTCACACACTCCTCTGTTAAAACACAATAAAAACACAAGCATAGGAAAATCACGGACACGCACGTGGACATTCGTCGCTGAAAACTTTACAATGTCTCCTCCCCCCCCCCCTCCTGTGAAAACAAAATAGATGTTTACACAAAACACTGGTTCGCAATTAACGAGTCAATTGGTGTTGCCGCTGCATTGGCAGTTGCGCACAAGCGCAATTAACAACAACAACAAAAACTCACATTCATCAATAATTCTGTGGCTTTAAAAGATCAAATAACAGGTGACATTTTGAGCAATGGCTCTTCTCTCCTTGTTGCGCTATGAGGAAGGACCATTGCCTAAAATTTAACCTATTTCATATACAGGAGACTCTCGATTATCCGCGTGCGGTTTGTCCGATTTGCGGATTAACCGTGCTCCCGAGATTTTGACACGAATAAATAACTCAAAGATTTCGCTTAAGCCCAAAATAATATATATTTTTTAAATCTTCGAAATGTCATGTGCTTAATCCGAACAAATATGCGTGTGTTAATCGGAAATCCACGTTAATTGCCTCAACAGCAGTGGGCCACCGAGTCTCCTGCGTGGGAGGAGGAAAGTGTTATCACTGAGCACACGCATCGATTGGTCGGTCGATCATTAAATCGAAAGAGTAGCAATCGAAATCGCCAGTTGTGCTTCATTTCGAGTGATTTATCCGATCATTTATTTTGTGAGTTTTAATTTATGAAACTTAACTCCAAATTTTGGTTTTATTTATTAACAAACTCAATTTTCGTAACCTAAACATAAATTATACCGATACGCGTGGTTTTCGGCATAAATCTCCGCGGAAAATGGATATTTATGGATTATCCGCGATTTGCATTTATCCGCGGCCGTCCTCCCCGTCATTAGCGCGGATAATCGAGAGTCCACTGGACATCTTTTGGTTTCCAATGAGTGCTGTGTTTTAAAACTGAATTCTATTCTTCCGTTTGGCGGCAATAGGTTCAGGAGCTCGGTGCCAAGATCGAGGTCTGCTGGCCACGACGAGAGGGCTTCAAGCGGGCGTTCGTCTAGTTTTGCTCTTCCTCCATTGAAGGAGCACAAACTACGGTGGTTCACTGTGTCCGTCTTTAGTGTGGGTTGCCTGGCCACAGTCGCACCACTGCGGCTTATCTTCAATTCTACATTCGTGAAAGAGATGTGCACGTCAGCCTGCTGATGTTCTGATGCGGTTGACGGTCACACCATCAATAGGCGCTGTTTATGCAAGAAAAGCACCTTTGGGAAATGTATTGGGAGAGCAGAAAATGTATTTACGTGGCTTTGTCAACCAATCCCATGCCGGATCAATGTCCGCCAAGGTGAAGGTCGCCGACGCTACGCTGATCGCGGGCGGGAGGGGGTCGTCCCACCACGCAGGTGAGGACAGGTTGGTGAAGGGACATCACTCACCACTGATGTTAGCCATGGCCAGGAACTGAACTCGGGTTTGCCAGGTTCACACCATTGAACCCCCCCCCCCCCTCCTCTACCACCAAAATGTTTTTATTATACCGCATACACAACAATCTATCCCGCTTGAGATGAGGACGTGGTCATAAGCCCGGATTTTTTAGCAGATGCATTTCGGATGCCCCGGACAAGGAGGAGAATTGTACGTTTTTGGGTTCGTGCAAGCGTCACGTCGTTATTTCCCCGACTCGTAACCGGACACCCTGCGGTGGGCCGAGTGAAGACATCGCCTCGAGTCTCACAGCGTATGTGAACAAGCACCGCAAACACCAGGCGTGTAGACGTGCAAATGCCTGTGCCTGCAATGTGCGTGCACACAAGTGATTGGGCAGGAGTGTGTGTATAAGTGACTGCACACAGCTCAGTGTGTGCATGTGCACACTGCAATATGTGTGTCTTGTGTTATGCACACAGGTGAGTGTGTGTGTGAGCAGGTGAGCAGGTGAGCATGTGTGCGTACAAGCGAGCGTGCACACATACAGGAGTCAGGTGAGCGTGTGCGTCAGTGCGCGCGCGCGTGCGTTTACCTGTGGCTCTGGGCGTTCGTTTCCTGCGCTCCCTGAAGGCCGCGCCCGACTGCAGGGCTTCGAGCAGCGAGTCCATGACGCCCGTCTCATCCCCTTCTGCCGGGCCCACACACGTGACCGCAGCCACCAGATCCCCACACACACGAACATACATGCACGCACCGCATGTGCACGCACACACGCGCACACACACGCAGCTCAACACAGCCGTTTCCTCGTTTGTAAGCTCGCGTTCCACCGCCTGCGAAAGCAAACGCGCGAGGCTATTACTCGGACAAAAACAAACCGCAACGTGAAAACAAACCTGCAGCTAAATCCCAGAGCGTTATTTGTCAGTGCTGTCTGTAAGCAGCAGTCACCGACACGACTAAAGAAGACCCGGTACAATTTAGCTATTGAGTTTGTTATTTGTGCTCGAGTGAAACTGCTGCAGGTTGATTGTGTTTGTTGTTCTATGACCAGGCTTGAAACTCTGGCGCACGCCGGCGCAGCATCCGTGTGCGCGAGTGGAGAGAATGTGAACTGGGACTGAAAGAGAGAGGCAACGAGAGGAGCTGTCGGTGCAGGGTCGGGCGGAGAGAGCTCCGATTGCAGCAAGTTGAGTTTATATTCTTGGTTCTTTCGGTAAAGTCACGTAGAAAGGGAAACAATAAAATAATAAAAAGAATATTCTCACATCGTGGGAATTTTATTTTCTATTTTTATTATTTTATTGTTTCCCTTCTACGTGACTTTACCGAAAGAACCAAGAATATGAATCCCTGCAGTCACGAAAGCTTTACATCAAAAGTTGAGTTTTTTTGTCCATCGAGGCAAGCCCTCAAGAGACCGGCTTGCAAGCAGCTCACGGGAAAGGTTAAAGGCAAGAGGATCACAATGTACTTCTTCGGGAACTAGTGATGGTTTTTTGTAGAATGCACAGAGGCTGTGTGGTTTTTGAAAATACAATTTTGGGGATTGTCTTAAACTTAGGGCCTTAACAGTGCAGAGCTAAACTTAGGTCTGCACTGTTATTCTGTTATGATGGGTTTTTATCATCATTCACCATATGTTTTTATGAAGAGTCTCATTTGCACGTTATCTGCGTCACAAAATGGCAGATGCAAAGAAAAGTGAAGCAATAATGCAGGCAGAAATCAGAGCAAAGCCAACAGTGCTACGCGTGTAACAGAAAATAATGCATCAACATTAATTGACGCGAAATCATAATTTCCCTGTCGCGCAAGTTGGCTCGTGCAGATGACAATTATACTGATTAGAGCATACTTACATAATTAAGTTACAGAAACATTAAACAGATATAGGGCGAGTATTGCACCGAGATGTAAACAGACAAGGAACTATACGTCAAATGCAACTCAAGACATTGTCCAGTGCTGTTGGAAGATTTAAGGGAGGAGGAGGTAAGTCTGACTTGGAACATTTCAGAGAGTGCAGGAGATGTGGATTGGGCAATCTGTCAGGGCGGGAGGCTTTGGTGAGGGAAGCTCTTCGGGTCAATGATGGGGAAGAAGGGAAGAGAGTTAGAAGGATGAAGCTGCTGCTCGACACTTTGAAGGACGTGGGTGTCTGTACGCTGCAAAGAAGACGACACCACAAGGCTGGAGCGGGGTTGGAGGGAACTTGAACCGCAAACATCACATTAGGCAGCTACGCCAATAGAGAGGCGAGGGGAGAGAAAGAGATAGAGAGATATGGACACTTATACGTTCATAGCGTGCGTTCGGAGAGCAGTACTGTCGCACACACTGCACGTTCCGGTTCATTGAATCTGCACCCACCACCCCCCTTGCCCCGAGACACAGAACGATTATTGGAATCGTGAATTGGAGTTGTCGCTCGCAGCTGGGCGGGGGTTCGGCTTACCGATCAAAACAAACACGAGCACAGACAATTACCCTGAGCCGTGATTAAACGAGGAGGAGAGTCGTCCAACCCACAACGGTGGCGACGACGCTCCATTGTGCTCGGGGCGTGCCATCAAAGCGGGACGGCCTGCATCGATTAGCATACAGCTGCTCTGGCAGTTGACAGGTGGCAGATATGAAGTTTCACGGGGCGAGCGGAGTCGTCTCAACAACAACGACTACAACCTCTGGGCGGGAAATTTGAAACAAGACGACAACACTGGGTTCTATTTTAGTTGTTGGTTTACAAACTCGCAGGTTTTGTTTGTGAGCTTATCAACTCATCAGATCTGCATGTGCTACTGGTCACACCTGCCCTCACAGTGCCCCGGGCATCTGAGCGGCACGCAAAGCGGCTCAAAGCGACCAGGCAGGCGCAGCGGTTCAGAAACCGTGTGCATATTTATTTAATAGATCGAGAGAGACCCGAGTCTAAGGGTCACTGCGTGAGTATTGGTCTTTCGGTGAGTATGTGCATCTCTGTGCAAGTATTTACGTCTCTGTGCGAGTCTGTTAGTCTTCATGTAAGTCTGGTGTGCATCTTTAATTTAGAGAGAGACAAAGACACCAACAGAAGAAGGCAGAGTTTAAAAAAAGGATGGTCTTGAGCGATTGTTATTTATAAACGTGTTGGCAGAATGAATAAAGACATCTGAACGGGAACCACGGCAGTCACGGCATTTTGCCAATCGCAACGATGCGACTATCTCGTGGACCCGATGTCGTACGACGCATCGTAGTACCGCCACGTCGTAGTACCGCCACGTCGTGACGACCACACGCGGTCGGGTCGTGAGAGCCGGTTGCCCCGCGTGCGATACCGCCGCGCTTTGCCGCAGCCGGCCACGCTAGGCACCCTCCTCCCCGCTCCGGCTGACGTTGGCGCGGCGCTGCCGGGTCGGGCTAACCTGCGCGGTTGATGTCGGCCAGGTGCTTCCTGCGCTGCTGCTTCTCCTGCTTGTCGCGCTCGGCGCGCTCCTTGGCCAGCTTGGCTCGCCGCATTTTCTCCTCCGTCTCCCGGCGCTTCACGTTCTCCTTCACGGCTTGCTGATGAGCACGCAAGGCGGACGGCACGGGGAGGGAGGAGGGACGACGACGAAGGGAAGAGAGGGGGGGAAACAAATAAACGACGAGGTCATCGGCAGCGGTGGGAGCTTCATTTCTCACGGAGTTTTTCTCCCCCCCCCCCGGTCGCTGGTAGACGGGAGTATGCGGCACGTGATGAGCAGTGGCCGCGGCCCATAGTGAGAGGCGTACAACTGCATTGTGGGTGTGCTGGGTTCAGAAATATTTGACGGGTTGCTGATCCGGACAAAACCGACTGGCACACTGAATATCCTGGACAGCTGCGTACGACTCGCAAAAACCAGCTGCGCGTTAAGACGGACCAAGTGAGATGAGTTATGGCCGTTCCGTCAAAATGTGCATCATGCCAGCGTTCCTCCTAGCTGTGACGTGCCCTGCCCACATCCGGTGGGGGTGGTGAGGGGGGCGGTGATGGCACTCACCAGGAACATGGTGCGGAAGCTGCTAACGTCCCCGAAGAATTCCTCGGCCGCCACCTTCTTGGGGTCAAAGACGAAGTACTCCCCCAGGCCGAGGAACTGCTTTTGCATGCTCTCATGCATGAGCGCCAGCATGTCGTACGTCTCGCGCGAGGCGCGCGCAAAGCCGTGCATCGCGAGCGCCGGTCAAGGAACGCAAACGCTCGCCCGATGAGACCGACGAATATTTCCCAGCTTGCTGCTGGACTGCAGTAGGTTGCACGTGGCAAGTAGCCACGGCCACAGACAGAGGGATTTCCGATGCGGTGTTCCTGGGCAGGTAAATGTTACGGGTCGCTGACTCAAGACAAACCGCTATCTCTCATGGCCATGGATCACATCAAACATACGCCAGAAAAAAACTAAAGGAAAATCTGCGAAGCTCTAAAACAGGTCACTCATCTTTATCTTTGTGGCCCCAGAATGGACCTCGCAAGGCACAAGCGCTGCGGTGACATCACCGACACTTAGTGGCGAATGGCGGCTAGCTGTTGCTGTTGTTGTTGTGATGCAAATGATTGCCCTTGTAAAAAAATGCCTCGCGTTGCTTCGTTGAGATTATTCCAAAAACAAGGGCGAGCCAGCTGAGGCCGGCGTGGGTGCTGGGGCCATCCTGTTGGGAGGGCACGCGGTGGGGGTGGGGGATCGGGGGCATCTTGACCCCACTTCTGTGGGAGCGGCGGTCCGCGATCGCGTGGCCGGGACCGATGCAGCGATTAGCTGGGAGGAGGAACGCTAACAGCAAATTCCTGCCCGTGCCCGATAAGCGATGCCCAACGTCCCCAGTGATGAACCACGCAACACACAGATACGTAACGACTATTTAATGCTCTTGTCCACCGCTTGTTATATTTGCTAAAATATTTCCGTAGAGTTTTTTCTTCTTCCCCCCCCACCCTCCCCCGAGTGTTTATTTTTAAAAGCGCAAATAGCACGCGTACAGTTAAAAGTGGAACCCGTAAGTAACTACGCAATCGCCTGTGGATCACGCAACTGTGGTGAAATCCCCTTCCGATGGGTGTTGAGGAGGTGCCATGACCTGCTTTGCCAAGAGAATGCGGTACAGCAAAATGTGGACTCATCTCCACCTGCTTTCATCTGCTTGGAATCGAGCGTTGCCCCCCCCCCACCCCTCGCACGTGTGGATTTTGTTCCGTCCTCCGGTTTCCTTCCGCATGTAAACACTCATTAATTGGCTGAAAAAAGCCTTCATATATAGAGGACCGCAGAGCTTCGGGCAACCGTTGTGGCATCGGCTCGCCGCGTGGCTGCTGCCGTTCCCGCTCGTCTGAGTTTACTCCTCGTGCTTCTCGGTCGCTCGCTCTCTCTCCGAGAGCTCTCTCTCCGAGCGCGAGTGAATACTGTGTGCCGTGTGCGGTGCGCGTTACAATTCGAGTACAACTCCTATTACATTTCAGAGAAATGGAAATTGACGATGAAAGTGGAAGCAGTGTGAAAATAAGCGCGGAATGATGTGCGCTTGTGCGTTACACTGAAGGTCACATATCGGAACGTGTGGATTCACAGGCGAACAGCGCAATATGTAGATAAATAATATTGACTCTAAGAAGTGCGTGGGATTGGGCAAGAGACGTCTGAGATAGATGACTGGTGGTTGAGACTGGTGAATGACAGTCAAAGGGGGGGGAAACAAGTCCCAGATTAAAACCACCACAGCACGGCGGAGGAATAGCGACAGCATTGGGGGGGGGGGGGGGGGGGAAAGGCCTTTATCTGGCAGCGGCTAGTCCATAGCTGCTGCTGCTGCTACTCGTGCTGCTGATCGCGATGATAATAATAGCGCATGGGGCACCGCGTCGGAATGCGACACGCGACGGTGACTCGAGCTGAATGAATCAACGCCGCCACTCCCAAGGCGGGCGGGCGGGGGCGGGGGGGGCGCACGTTTGTGCGCCTGACTTCCTGGACCAAAGGAAGGAAGACGCCAGGAAGCCTATCCTGACGCCACAGCTTCTGGCTGCTGTGCCTCTCTCGCTGGGGCCACGGGGATGGCCGGGGGCAGGGGGTGTGCAAGTCGGAGGGGGTGGGGGGGGGAATCAGGACTGAGGATTGTGTCATTCCCCAGTGCCTCCACTCCCAGCGGCCCCCCCCCCCCCCCCCCCCGGGTTTGTTCTCCGGCCAAGGTGAGCGCGGTCGCGTCCTTGGCCTCCTTGGTGGCGTCACCTTGTGTTCGAATGGGAGCCGCGGTGTGCATTGTGGGAAGCGAGGTCGGTCGTTGGGAAGTCTATTTTATTTCTCTCGCTCTCCTTAAGATGCTGCCAGGTATTGTAAAAATCTGTTAACAAAAAGTAATGTCGTCTTTTCTCGTAACCAAGGGCTTAATTTCTCACGGAATTTTTTTACCGGTTGCCGGAGGCTGGAGTCTGTGGCACTTGACCAACATCCAAGGCCACAGCGAGCGGTGGACTGGATGTGGCGTGCCGGGGATTTGAACGCACGAGTCTCATTGGGGCTTAATTTATCGGTGAAAATGTTTTACGGGTCGCCGGTAAACTGCGGTTGGCAGCACGTGACGAGTAGTCGCCCAAAGCCCTGGAGCTGCTACGGTAATATTTTCTGCGTGACCGACCCGAACAAACCCAGTCGATATCATCGACCGCCGTTTTTCCCACCACGCTTTCTCCGCCGCCAAGGATATGGTCATCTTCTCGACAAACTTGTCGGTGTCGTCGTCGGTGGTGGAGAAGGCCCTGAGGTCTCCCTCCAGCTGCTGCACCTGCTTCTCCATCTGCTTGAGGCTCTTCTGCAGGTTCTCGGCCGCCACTGCAGCACAAGGTGGACAGAGGGAGGGCCGCTTCAGCACGGGGCGAACCCAACGAGCGTCACCAAAACCGAGAACGATCCGCGGTGCGCGAGAAACTCGCCGCGTGCGATTCCTACAAAATGCAAGACGTCCAATTTCCGCAACGTTTAAACGGTTTAGCCAGCGCGGTGAAGCACGGGCCAGACCATCCCCATGACCCACACAGAGTCGGGAGGCGGTGGATTGAGGGCACGTAGGAAAGCGAGCCTCCTCGTGCGTGGATTAAACAAGGTCACTTGAAGGGAGATGCACGGATTGTTACACCTGAAGACTGTTAGAGATGGCGATGGCTTGGGGAGGAATTCATCCAGCAGCGGATTGATAATGGCTGATGACGATGATGATGGTACAACACATTTGGTGCTCTTATTATAATAACAATTTTTTTGCTTGTAAATCCAGAAGAGCCACACTGAGTCCAATGACTCTTTTTCAGGTGGGTCCTGCATTTTTATTTTATTTTAAGATTTTTATGCTAAGTAATGAGTGTTTATTATACATGTGGGAGGAAACAACCGGGGCACCCAGAGAAAACCCTCGCACGCAACGGGAAAAGCACTATTCCCGCCGTACAGATGGAAACAGATGTAGATTCAACCGCACTTTGCTGTATTGCCTTTCCCTGGCGAGCCAAGGTACGGCACACCTCCTCGACTCCCACGGGAAGGGAGTTTCACAACATCTGTGGATGATCCCACCAATTCTCACTGCTGCCTCCATAGCGCTGCATTGCTGGCAACATGCAGCGCAGCCACTACTACCACCCGACTTCGTTGCAGTTTGATTCAAACAAATACATCCGCGATGCGATACCAGAAACGACGACGCTGGGCCCAACGTGGACAACGGCCGATTTGTCAAGACTGCCTTTGCGACCCAAACAATAAAGGGCACCTGCGTCATCAGCCTTGATCAATCCATTGCTGCACGGATTCCCCCAAGCTACCGCCATCTCTCACGACCCCCGCGACGGGACGATGCATCTGGCAACGACAACGGCACGCGGAGGAGAGAGCCAGGCAGGGGGCCCCGACCGATCGTCGACGCCGCGGCCGTGCTGCACCGTGGGGGGCCCTCACTGTTAAGTGGCCAACGACCGTGGCCGGGGACGGAACGTGGCGATGTTCTGCTGACGTGCAAGGGGAAGTCTGGGACAACGACTCCGGAAATCCTGAACAGAACCGGCTGATCCGGCACAATGAAAAGAGGACCGGGGAGCCCCTCCACTGTGGCCGAGGTGATGGGGGGGGGGGGAAGATGGGTGGAGGCGTTTAAAGTCAGCGCAGACAATGGCTTTGCTATGAATAAGCAACTGGGTGTAACGCCCTTGTGATCACAAAAAAAGAGTAATGCACTCTTGCATCAAACAATAGATAAATGCGGCAGTTCGCCTACGATTGTTTGTTGATAGAATTTCCGTCGACTTCCCGAATAAATTCCATCCAATTTTTCAAACGTGTGGACGTGTAGCGAGGCTGTATAACAAGCGGGGGTAGGGTTGTACTGGAATAATTCAATAACCCACGAAAAGTTCCTTTGTTCGTAAAAGTTGGGGTTTGCTGATAGTATCTGGGGACGAAGTGAATAGTTAGGTTGGTTGTGTGGCCATCTGTGGGCCCAGAAAATAACACGTGTGTCAACGAAACCAAGGTAAGTTCAATATCAGCATCATCAGCCATTCGCAATCTATGCTGATTGAAGATCTCACCCCAAGCCATCAACATCTCTTATGGCCCTGGATTGTAGAAATCTACCACGCTCCTGCGAACAAGCTGATGTTATCACTCCATCTCTGCATGAGGTGCATTCCCTTCTCTGGCTGCCACTCCCACTTTTGTCTGGACCATTGGCCATTATCTCTCTCCCCGTGGTCGCATGGATTTTCCTCCGGGTCCTCTGTTTTTTCTCTCCACATTTAGAATCAACGTGCGTTTATAGTATTTGGCTAATATACATTTCCACAAGATGAGCCACTTTGTTGAGCTATCATTTGTGATAACAAGGTGGCTTCTGAAAAATAGCTACATAGCTAGTGGGCCTTACCTTGTTTCTAAAGGCCTTAACTTTGCCGTTACCCCACGCACAATTCCAGTGGATGAGATAATTGCTGAGGTAGAATCAGCAGTAAGACTCCTTCCACATAATGAGGCAGAGATGACTAGACACGAGGTTGCCAAAATAATTGAGAATAGCAAAGTTCCAAAAGTAAATATTAGCTCCAACGAAGCAAAAGCCTTAAGAGAGCTCCGTGTAAATAAAGATATCCAAATCCTGGCAGCTGATAAAGGCCGCACTACTGTAGTGATGTCACGAGCCGATTATGATAATAAAATTAGAAATTTACTAGAGGAAAGTACCTACATTAAAATTAAACGAGATCCAACTAATACTTTAGAACGTAAGACTACTGCAATAATTGCAAATTAATTAATCCCTAAGAATGAGCAACACCAAATTAAGCCAAGGGCCTCAAAACCACCTAGACTGTATGGGCTACCAAAGATTCATAAAATCGGCATCCCATTACGACCCATAGTCAGTACAATTGGCTCTGCCACTTATAAATTAGCAAAATATATAACTAAACAAATACAGCCCTACATCGGTAGGCCATCTTCATTCATAAGAAATTCAGAACATCTTGTGAATGTGATTAAAGATATTAAACTTAATCCTAATGATATTCTGGTAAGTTTTGATGTGATTTCTCTATTCACTAAGGTTCCAGTGAACGAATCGCTTAAATTACTTGATACACTAGTAAAGAATACAGGTTTACCAAAAGATATTCCGAAACTTGCTGAACATTGTTTAAATAACACTTACTTCTTATGGAGAGGGGATTTCTTTAAACAAAAGGAAGGAGCAGCAATGGGCTCTCCTTGATCTCCTGCTATAGCAAATCTGTACATGGAAAACTTTGAAATAAGAGCACTTGCCTCGAGCACATTAAAACCATCTTTTTGGTTTAGATATGTGGATGACACTTTGCTTGTCTGGCCACATGGTAAAGATACACTTAATGATTTTCTAAATCATCTCAATACACAAAACCCGGCCATCCAGTTCACCATGGAAATGGAGGTGAATAACACACTCCCGTTCCTAGATATTTTGCTTGGACATGGCCTAAACGGTAAAATAACACAGCGTTTACAGAAAGCAAACGCACACTGATGCCTATCTGAATGCAGATTTGCATCATCATCCAGCTCAGAAATCCTCTCTTATCAAGACGCTCATACATCGGGCTAAAACAGTGTCAGATGGTGAAAGTCTAGTGAGAGAGATCAAACACGTTAAAGAAGCATTACGACAGAATGGCTACAATAATACTCAAATTAACAGAGCACTGAATGCCAAATCACGATCGCAAAGCAACACTGCTGAAAGTGATCAGATTCTTAAAACAATTAAAATTCCATATATCTCAGGAGTAACTAACAAATTAGCCCGTGTTTTGCAAAAGCAAAACATTACAGTAAGATTTGGTACAGTACACAAAATAAAAAAAAACAAGTATCTTGCACTAAAGACGAATTACCTAAATTATCGTAACATCAGCATAAGACTAAAAGAACACCAAAGAAATATTAAATTATCTCAAACACAACTGTCCACAGTGGCAGAACATGCTTGTCAACAAGGACACTCAATTGATTTTGATAACGTTGAAGTGTTGTGTAAAACTAATTATTACTGGCAAAGACTAATTAGAGAATCGATTGAAATTGAGAGAAACAGAAATAACTTTAATCATTCTGATAGCTATAGGCTTAGTGCGGCTTGGAAGCGTATTATTAAATAATACATATTACAATTCCTTATAGGGGAAACACATACTAATTAACGGATTACAAATGTAGCATATAATCACAATAACACACATTACAACTAATTACTAATCTACAACTCATTACTAATCACAGCCATTGACTGATTACCAATCGATTATATAATTACTGCACCTGAATGAGTTAAATGATGACGTCACCCTGCTGCTCTATTTAAGACCGGGAGCAAGCGAGGGCTTTACCATTCTGGCGAATTGCCCGATGATGCTGGATGTAATTACCAGCGAAACGTCGTATTCAAACTGTAAATGTTGTGGATTCACTCTTCAACACACCGGTGGGCTAAAGTAGTGAACTATTTGTCTTTTGTCAACGTGGCACTTTCTTTTTTTTGCTGATTGGCCGTGTCGGGTGGTGGAGGGTTACAACACATTTATAAATAACGCGATCTAACCCAAAAAACTTTATTATGAAATTAAAAAGCACCTGCTTATATTCATTTGGTATTATTTTCTTTTAAATGTTTTATTTACATTTGACTTAATTTTGTTGTTTTCTGTCGACGTGACTTTACCGAAAGAACCAAAGAACATGAATTCCTGCAGTCACGAAAGTTTTAAATCAAAATCGAACCTGCTCATGTTTTCTAATCCATGTCTTCCTATTTCTGTCTCGTAGCGTTAATTCCAAGCGTGCATCGCTCCACGCTTATTTGCGCTCTTTTCAGTAAATATGTATTTTTTTCTTCTCGTGAATGACCGAGCCTCTGAACTCTGTCACAGCAGGTGGCACGCACTCATTGATCGTACAGATGTGTCTCATCATAGAAATGATGATGGCAGACGGGACGTAACATCAGCGTAAGACTAAAAGAACACCAAAGAAATATTAAATTATCTCAAACACAACTGTCCACAGTGGCAGAACATGCTTGTCAACAAGGACACTCAATTGATTTTGATAACGTTGAAGTGTTGTGTAAAACTAATTATTACTGGCAAAGACTAATTAGAGAATCGATTGAAATTGAGAGAAACAGAAATAACTTTAATCATTCTGATAGCTATAGGCTTAGTGCGGCTTGGAAGCGTATTATTAAATAATACATATTACAATTCCTTATAGGGGAAACACATACTAATTAACGGATTACAAATGTAGCATATAATCACAATAACACACATTACAACTAATTACTAATCTACAACTCATTACTAATCACAGCCATTGACTGATTACCAATCGATTATATAATTACTGCACCTGAAATGAGTTAAATGATGACGTCACCCTGCTGCTCTATTTAAGACCGGGAGCAAGTGAGGGCTTTACCATTCTGGCGAACTGCGCGATGATGCTGGATGTAATTACCAGCGAAACGTCGTATTCAAACTGTAAATGTTGTGGATTCACTCTTCAACACACCGGTGGGCTAAAGTAGTGAACTATTTGTCTTTTGTCAACGTGGCACTTTCTTTTTTTTGCTGATTGGCCGTGTCGGGTGGTGGAGGGTTACAACACATTTATAAATAACGCGATCTAACCCAAAAAACTTTATTATGAAATTAAAAAGCACCTGCTTATATTCATTTGGTATTATTTTCTTTTAAATGTTTTATTTACATTTGACTTAATTTTGTTGTTTTCTGTCGACGTGACTTTACCGAAAGAACCAAAGAACATGAATTCCTGCAGTCACGAAAGTTTTAAATCAAAATCGAACCTGCTCATGTTTTCTAATCCATGTCTTCCTATTTCTGTCTCGTAGCGTTAATTCCAAGCGTGCATCGCTCCACGCTTATTTGCGCTCTTTTCAGTAAATATGTATTTTTTTCTTCTCGTGAATGACCGAGCCTCTGAACTCTGTCACAGCAGGTGGCACGCACTCATTGATCGTACAGATGTGTCTCATCATAGAAATGATGATGAACCCAGGACACACGTAGCTGCTACATCACACGATCGCTCTGCGTCATCTACCACTACGAACAGAAATGCTGAAAGAGGTGACGGAAGAAATGTGAATTTTTAAAACATTTTTTTAACAATGTGTATGTGTATTTACCCAAGAAAGCCTCACCAAGTCAAAATATTTTATCAGGAGGGTCCTGCCGAGTTTTTGTTCCAGTATGGGGCAATGATTTTACGTGTAATCTCAATTTGAGTATATTACAGGTACATTTTCTACAGTGGAATGTTTTTTGGCCAATACCAGTTGCATTTTAACTAACAGAATAAAAATATGTATTTATACCGGAGAACCTATGGAAACCCATTCAGAACAAGGGGAGAGCGTACAAACGCCACACAGAAAGGACTCGAACTCAGTCCCCTTTTTGCGGCGAGGTTCAAGCGTTAACCACGGTGCCACCGTCCTGCTGCTGCCCAAAAGCTCAGAATTATCATGAGAATAAATACACGAAGATCCAGAATCTCAGCGCGAGCTGTGCGGCGTGAACTCAGTCGCTCAGCGCGGGCCTTGGCACTCCACTTACCACGGACGCAGGAAGTGACTCGCTCGCCGCTCGCCACCGTGGCTCTCAATGGGAGGAAATCACGAGCGGGGGGGGGGGACTGCTGCACTACGCCGCACAGGCCGCTTGCGCATTTGACAACGAAAAGGACGATCTTCTGCCCTCTGCCAGGCCGGTAAAACAGGCGGTAAAAGAGGACAAAAGCCACCCTCTCACCACCCCTTCCTTTCTACACAAGTGTTTGTGTTGCAAACACCACGCGCGCATGGGAACTACGTGCGTGCGCGTCAATGAAAGCGTGCGTTTCGTGGAGCGAAAACACTCCATCCACAAAGCGGCAAGTCGTTTTAAAAACAAGGAAGAAGAATCGTGCACACGCACCAACTCTGTCGAGCTTTACCAACACGCCCTTCTATTTATTAGCAATGCGGTCGCAGATGGGTAGCTGTCAGGGCAAAACGCGTCTGAATATTTGCAAACAGTCCGACTTGTCCGGTTTGCAACAGGGTACACGTTCCCAACAGCAACTAAGCTTTACAAAAAAGTTGCATTCACATAGGGTTATTGTTTCCTCGAGTTATCGTGCGGCCACGTTAGTAAAAGCGCTGACACCCCCACAACGCGACACGTTCTCAAGCCGCCCGAGTTGTCACTTTCACCTCTCCTCTTTCTCGCCACGCCCTGCGCTTCCTCTTGGCCAATGAGCACGCAATGTCATGCGCGGGGAGGGAGAAGCGTTTGACCCAGGACCGGCAAAAAGCTCCTCGTAGATGGGGGGAGTGGGGGGGGGGGTGTGGCAGTCCAGCTGTAGTGTAGGGGGCCACCATAACAGTGATGTACTGCACGCACCCATGCACGCACCGACGCACGAACGCACGCACCCATAGACGCACATACCCACCCACCCATGCACACACCCACCCACCCACGCACACACCCACCCACCCACGCACATACCCACCCACCCACGTACACACCCACCCACCCACCTTTGGAGGCCTTCTCAACGTGCGTGAGCTCCTCGGTGAAGCGCAGGACGTCCGGATGCTTCTCCTCACACATTTGCGCCAGGAAGTGCAGCAGAGTCAACTTCTGGTCGTTGGACTTGGTGTCCTTCAGCTGCGACGGCAAAGCAGGGAGCAACCGCCAGGACGATTTCATATGAGTTTGCCGAACGCTTCCAAACCAGCAACCACCGTGTCCGTGCAAGGCTCTTGCCTACAACGCCTGGCAACCCAGCATCGTTTTGTTATTGGGCCACTCTCTGTCGATGAGACATCATTCAAAACGTCGCCGATTAGATTTATTTTGTTTTAAGACCACAGTTTTGTTGACGAGTGCGTTGGGTTGTTTTTTGTTCGCTGTGCTTGTGCACCACTGCCAATGCAGCAGCAGCAGGAGCAGCATCGCCAAAGACCAATTTGTCTAACGCACAGAGTGATCCACTGCTCAGCGAGAGTTCCCATCACGAAGAGCGCGACTGCACGACGGGAACCAAATCACAACAACAACACACGCAACAAACTAAACCGTCATCGTCGTCATCGTTGTCGGTAATGCTCAGGCACGGCAAGTCGGTGCTCGCGAGGTTAGCCGAACGCGGGCGGGCGGGCGGACCAACCTTGCACAGGAATCCCATCTGGAAGCCGAAGGTCTGCGCATTGCGCGAGCCGGCGTTCATGTAGTTCCCCATGAGCAGCACGAGCTCCAGCAGCTTGGAGAAGCTGTCGCTGCGGCGGATCTCCTCGCAGGCGGCGCTCACTGCCACGATGTCCGGCTTCAGGTTGGCAACCTGCTCGTCGAACTGCAGCCGGAAGAGGATTGCGTTGAGCCGTGGCCGTAGCCTCTTCACCGAGCTGATCTGCAAAAAGGAATGGGTGGGGTGGGGGGGAGGCGACGACAGAGGTTAAAACAAAATATTTGTTTTCTTTTACTGTCGGTTGTTATATTTTTTTGCGCAGTGAAATTTGTTTGTACGGTCAGGGGATAATGACGGAGTGGGGCAGCCAAGGAAAGGAACACGTCCGGCGGACACCAAGGAGATGGAGCGAATAAATCGGCTCGTGCGCAGGTGGATTGTTGCATTGCAGGACGGTGGTGGCTTGGGGAAGCCTTCATCCAGCCGTGGATTGACCAAGGGCTGATGATGGCGACGATGAATTTTGTTTGGTTCTGCACTTAACTTGGCTAATATCCAGAAATGAGAAAGGAAAGTACGTTGGTGTGACCGTCACGTGGCGAACGCTACCCTCGGTGGTAGGGCGAGTTGACCACCTGGGTTTGAATCCAGGTTTCGGCCGCCTGTGTTTAAACCGGATTTTGAAGTGTAGCAAGTGGATGGTCACAAACCGGTCACCGAATGACTGCACGAAAAAAAGCAATCGCATTACATTTGGTTCTGCACGCCCGCACTCAATTTGACTATAATTTCAGCCTCGATAATTAATAATATCAGTTTGACAGTCATGAAATCGTCATTACTCTCTGTAGCGTGGCGGGTGGAAAAGTACTGCCCGCTGCTGTGTAGATCAGAGGCCACTTAAAGGGATTTCAGAAGTGGCTCTGTGATACCCACTTCCACGGATTGCACTGCTCTGCGAGGTTTCCGTATGGATGCTTCGTCTCGTGAAGTGACGCGATATCGATAGCAAATTTGGGATGGATTGGGAACAAAAAAAACCAAGACTTTTTTTTTGTCCTGAATAACCTAAACAAACACTTGACAAATGAAACGTTCTTTGCAAGTAGAAAGACCCTGGCACCACCGGCCGGCCTGCAGGTTCACAGCAGAGACACGCAATGTAAATAGCGCTATCTCTGGCTGGATAACAATGTCAAATAACAATGTCCAGCACAACCTTTAAGCGTATGTTGTTTATCCGCCCCAACGCATTCCTAATGCGTGTCTCCACTGATGCTGCGCAAGCGCGTACTGTGCGAGTCAAAGCCCGCGCGGAAAATAACAGACGTCCCAAACGCACGGCCTACACACACGCGCTCGATACGCGATCGCGTCGCCTGCCGCCACGGCAAGGAGGTGGGCTTGGGCACGGCGCGTCGCTGGAAGGAATTCTTTGCCGGGGGGGTTCAGACCAATGCTTGGGTGGCAGCCGAAAGAGAGATCCAGTGGCTTAGCGATTGAGCAACCTTGACACGTGGGGTACTTACGACAACGCCGAACTGCTCCGGTTCGCACAAGTCCTCATACTCGTTCTTCAGGCTGGCCAGGGCACTGAGCTGTTCCGGTTCGGGCAGCTGATTAATCAGACTCTGCAGTGATTAGAAGACACGCAATTAGCGGAAGCCCCCAACAAGCCCTCTGTTCAATCGCCCCTCTCAAAGGCATCCCCGATTTTGAGGGTCACCAGAGGCAGCGTGGAACTGACCCAACTTTGAAAAGACCTTCAATTACAACTCAACCACTCCTTAGAGTAAAATAAGTCATTTACATCCTTCATCCAGCAGTGGATTGATCATGGCTGATTATGATGACCATGCCAATCCCATACAATACAATGGGATATAGGCGGCGTCCAAAAGACGCCCGTGCCTCAAGATGCTGTACAGAAACTACCCGGAGGCCTCCCCAAAACCCCCGCGTCGGTCATCGGGATTGTTTGACCATACTTCACCACGCTGGTCAGTGCAGGTTTGGTGAAAGGGGAAGCCCAGGACTGGTTGGGATATCACTCGCCACCGACGCTAGCCCTGGCGCCCCGGGGACTGACTTCAGCTCGCTCGGGTCGCCGCTTTCGCGGTCACGGCCGCTTCGCCACACTCGGCTGTTGTAGCAAAATGTAAACACGGCTACGGAGGAGGGGGGCGCATTGTCCAGACTTGTGAATACACTGCGGAAGTGTTTGTGTAATTATTGTTTATTTGATTACAGCGCCTGGGGGCGGTGTTATTTCACAGCTCCGTGTTTGTTGTGTTACACAGACCCGAGAACAAAACAAAGCAAGCGACGGGTGGCGAGTCTCACCAACGCCACTATTATTTTTCGTCGAATTTTTTGTTACGGTCGTTCACGAGAAAAAAACGAAACAACATGTGAAAAGCGCACAAGGAAGCAATATATATGTGTGTGTGTGTGCGCGCGCTTGGAATTACAATGATAGACGGAAAGGGAAACACGTGGATCAGAGAACGTACGCGGGATAATGACATCATTCAAACTGGTTGCAAGAGCAGCGAGCGGGGCTCGGGGGTCAGGCCGCGTCACGACAGGTTCGTGAACAATAACGGAGCGCCATCCAAGGAATTGAACGCAATCCGAGATTGAGGTCGACCGGTGGGGGGGAGATGGAGCTAAGGAATCGGCTCAAGTGCAGGCGCCAAGTGGATTGTTACGTCGCAGGTTTGTGAGAGATGGCGACGGACATGGCTGATGATGATGAGTTACTAGTCCACTGTGCAAGTGAATCAGAATATTTAGTTATACTGGAGGAATCTGATGAGCTATAAAGATCTCCGACACAGATGTCCAGTAGTGTGAGGAGAATGGAGGAGAGGGGTGGGGCGCTGACCTGGATCATGGACTCTGTTATTCGCTCCTCGTCCACGGACAGGATGATGCTCTTGATCTCTTGGTAGTCCATTCGGAAAGAGCCCAGGAAGATCGCTGCCATGCACACGCACACACGCACGCACACACACACGCACACACACACACACGCACACACACACGCACACACACACGCACGCACACGCACACACACACACACACAGGGGCACACGCACACACACAGGGGCACACGCACACACACAGGCACACGCACACACACAGGCACGCACAAACGCACACGCATACAGGCACACACGCATACAGGCACACACGCATGCGCACACGCACACACACGCGCACGTGCACGCCATCACGTCGAGCCCTACAATGGTCACTTAAACACACAGAGTTACGGCCGTGTCTTATTAGTATTATTATAAGTCTGCTTGTTTACCCAGGAAGGCCTCACTAAGTCTCAAGACTTTGTCAGAAGGGTCCTGCCAAGCTTTCTAACAAGAGGGGGGAAATGCTGCTACCGTGTGATCCCAATTGAGTAATTTGTAAGTTTTCAGCATTGAGATGTTTGGCCAACACCAGCGACACGGTATGTTTTCTTAATGTACAGATAGAGAAGATGTAAATTCCACGCAAAAAAAACAGCCGAGTCGGGAATAGAACCCAAGCGTTAACACTGCGCCACCACCTTGCCGAAATGTTATTTACTACACATTTGGCCATGAATCGATAAATATCAATACCTATACATCCGTTGACAAAGGAAGACAACTCTGTGTATTTTTTGTGCAGCACCTTTGTCAATCCACTATGGGATGAGGGCTACCCCACTTCTAGCGATCGCTTGGGGAAGCCTTCATCCAGCAGCGGACTGCTCACGGCCGATGACAATGATTATACCGTATCGATTTTACGTAATAGGTTCATGCGACCATTACAGCCACTGGAGGCGCCCATCCGCCACATCGTTAACAGAAGAACTGATTCCAGAGTCGGATCGCGAACCCGAATCGGCAATTTTTTTGTTTGTTACAAAACCATTGCATGCAGAGCATCGGTCTTGTGAAACAAAATGGGCACGGAGGTGGCGGGTTGGCAGCGTTGTGCCACATAGTATGTGGTGGTGACGCTGCATCAGCAATGGTGCACAAGCACAGATCACAAAAAAATACCTCAATACATTCGTCGATTAACACTGCCTCAAAAAGTTTATAATGGGCGATGGTTTGGGCGATGGTTTGGGCAATGGCCCTTCTTCTTCACAGTACAAAGAGATGGCATCGTCTCCCTCTCTAGCCTCTGAGAGAAGAGAGGCCCAGAAAAAAAAAACAGAGATGAGAGAGATGAAGAGCTGGTGTTGTAAGTTGCTCAGCTTGTTGATTATAAGGATATTGTTCACCACAATTTAGTTTATACATCCGGGATCCCTTGGATTGCTTGGGGCTCTAAACTTTTGCTCATCTTGCTTATCTAAACTAAACTACTTTTTACTTTACTAGGTAAGGCCTACTGAACTATATAGCTCTCTTTCGGAAGCGACCTGGCCACCAATGATAGCTCAACGAAGTGGCTTATAACGTGGAAATTTATAGCAACCAAATACTCTAAATGCACATTTCTAAATGTGCAGAGAAGAACCGGAGGACCTGGAGAAAAATCCACATGACCACGGGGAGAGAGACACCGCAAACTCCAATATACAGCAGGCGTCAGAGTCGGGATGTATACCAGGCGAGGTAGTTGACATCTAGCCAACGAGACCTTCTTATGCCAAGCACCGCCACTGGTGACCGGCCAAGGACGTGGGGGAAGGCTCCGGGCCGAGGGCCCTGCCCGGAGGTGGTCCCGACACGGCGAAGCCACTCACACAGGTTTTGCGCCGTCTTGGGGTCGAGCACCTTCAGCTCCTTGACCTTCTTCTTGTGCGCCAGCGACTTCTTCTCGTCCACCTCGTCCTCTTCCTTCTTAGCTGCGGACGAGCGCAAAGTGAACGGCCGCACGCAACGCAGCGCTCGCAAAAAACATCCACTGCTTGACAAAAGCTATCGGTAGTCGCCGTGCTTTCTGAACATCGGCGCTAGAGTAGACACACGATGTGGTGGTTTTGAGACAACCACGTGCTTTATGAGAAGCAATAAAAATCGCTCCAAGTAAAACCGCAAAAAAAAGCACAACTCGGAGAGTCAAAGTCAAAGGACGGAACTACCTAATTCTGTGAAATCGGTGTCATGGGAAATGCCTGGAGGCATCGGGGGAGGGGCGGGGGGGTGGAGGAGGAAAAGGAGGCTCTGGAGATCACGTTGCGGGAAAAAATGTAAAAACCACACGGTGTTCCACCACTCACTGGGCTCTTCCTCCAGCGAGCTAGCATCCGAGGCTTCGTGAGAGCAGAGGGACACAAGCAAACATTCGTCTCGCGTCAGTACACCTAGGCGCAGCGCCCCCGGCGGGGTCGGAAAAGCGGCCGGCGCGCGTGAGCGAGACGCCCCGTGGCCCCTAGAAGCGACACGGGGGCGTTACATCTCTCTATTGTCCGGGAATCTACAGAGTGCCAAGCCAAGTGGGGTGCTTTGACAAAAAAATGAGGCAATGGGGCAGCCCTGAAACTGCTTGCATCAACGCCACTCCTGGCTGGCGGAAGGGTCTCCTTCACTTGAGGGAGCTCTGAAGAGCTCCAACTCTTTTTCAGGCCGGACTGACATCTTGATCGAGGCGGGAGTACCCACGCTTTGCTCGCCACACGCGATCTGCCGATCGACTTTACTGTAGTGGACCCATTTATAGCGCTGGGTGGACAGAAGTGAGGGCGGGGGGGTTGGATTTAAGAAACTTGCACCGTTGTTTCAACCGCCGTGCCAGGAGAACGAGTTGAACCCGCGACCTTTGGATCACAAGTGCGGTGCGCAGGATCTCTGCCAATTCTCTAGGAAGAGGGACTGTAAAGCCACGTGGTGCTCGAAAGACAAGCGCAAAAACCCCTCCCCGAAACGCAAATAAACGCTTCTCTCTACCCGCCATACACACGACTTAACACACTGGAAAATTACGAGAAAAATAAACCCGCCAAGGTTTTACACGCTATGCGTAACTTCCCAGGCCGATCCCGCGTCGTCCCAGGAGGGCGCCGCGTGCGGCCGAGATGCATCCAGCAGTGGACAGGAGGCCCCCGGGGGAATGGCGCGATCCCATTTGTGTCTCGTTGACCTTTGGCCCAGCGGCAGACTCCGTGAATCCGTCAAGCCGGAGGAGCAGCGGCGGAATACCGCGCCCCTCCCCCCCTTCCCCCGCCGCCACCCCCACCCAACACTCGCCGTGTTATCCGTCCCAACTTTCCATATGTGCACAAGCCGTAAATAACAAAATGTCTACATTGTAAGGTGGATTGTTACGTCGTAGGGTTGAGAGATTTTTTTACAAACAATTACAAAAAAATGTTTTTTAAAACTACAACAAAAAAATTACTATTTTACCAGGTAAGGCCCACTGAGCTATCGAGCTCTTTTTCAGTAGCTACCTGGCCACAAATGATAGCCCAACGAAGTGGTTTATCTCGTGGTCATTTATCACAGCCAAATACTCTAAACGCATGTTTCTAACTGTAGAGGGAAAACCCGGAGGACCCGGAGAGAAAAATCCACGCGATCATGGGCTAAAACGTGCAAAAATCCCAATATACAACAGGCATTAGGATCGGGATTGAACCCACGACCTCCTACATACCAGGTGAGGGAGTTAACATCTCGCCACCATGGCACCCCTAGGTGGGGATGGCTTTGCGAAGCCATCATCCAGCAGTGGATTGACCATAGCTGTTGATGGTGGTAATGATGCGAACCAAACCACCCTGAAAGTATCCGACTTTAGTTACACCTTGGAAGCTAAGCAGGGTCGCTCCTGATGAGCGACTGGGTGGGTGGCCAGATGTTGTAGCTTTGGGCTGCGAGGTAGGCCCGTTCGACGGCAGTACAGAAATGGATTCTTGAATCTAGCTGTGGATCTTTCGAGTGTTAGCCCCTAGTCTTGCAGAGCGTATATTTTTTTTCCTGGGTTCACCGCTTTCCTCCCGCATGAAGCAAAAAATGCTCGTGAATTTAATTCGTGGCTGACAAAATTCCAACGTTGCAGGGACCCCCCCTCCTGAAAGAGGAGCCTTGAGACTCGGGCGAGGGAAGCTCTTCTCTGTTGGCCCGTGTGAAAACTGCTATCGAGCGACGATCGTGAAACCAGCAGCGCGGGGACCCTTAAGTCATAGCTGACAGAACTAAAATCGGGGCAGTGTAATTACAAGAAGAGAAGAGGAAATTACTGTGGGTGTAATTACTCTGATGAGTGGGGTGGGGACGGGACGGGGAGGGGGGCGGTGCATCAGTGAGGAAGGCACACGGTAGTTAAGCAAGAGCCAGTGGACATAGCAGTGTTAGGGCATTTAGCCAACGGTGAGATTGTCAAAACACAGAGAGGATCAAGAGGATGGAACAGCAAGCTAAAACTGCGCTACTTTCGTGTTGAACAGTACCATTTCGGTCAAAGCGATTATCATCCTTTGTCAATCCACTGCTGGATGAAGGCCTCCTCCCCCAAGGCACGTTGGTCATGGGGTTTAATCGACGATAAGTCACCCAAGCTGCTCAATGCGGGTTGCTAAAGTGGGTGGAGGGGCTAAATCGGTTCTCGGATGTCACCAGCCACTGATGTCAGCCGTGGTCGGGAATCGAACTCGGGGCTGCCGCGTTCCCAGCGCGAGCGCGCTAAACCGCGGCGGTGCCACCGCTCCAGAATGTAAGGGTTAATCAACAATGAAGAGACGTGGGTCGCTTTCGCAAGGACAAAAAACAACTTCATGTTCACGTCCATCGACCGACCGGCCGTCTGAGCCAATTGCTTTCCAGCGGCGTGCTTTTGGTGGCTTAATAAAGCCACTGTTGTTCGCTCGATTAAACATCACTCCCAAAGACTCAACGAAGCCGCAAATGCGCATTTTTGTAACTTGTACATGGGGTACAGTCCCCCAATAGTCCAATACAAGTCACTAACTTGAAACTAAAATTACAAAGCGATTTAATTTCCAACCGTAAAGGATATAGTGTGTAGCACAGTTTTAGCAAGTGTCTACACAACACACACAGCTGGGGTCAATTATAATAACTACTCAAATGTTGTTATCTGAAACGATTAGAACTACTCAAGTGTTGTTATACAAAACTATAATTACCATTACAGCAGCGCCAGTCAGCTCATTACAATGAGACTACGAGTGAAATTCACCGACGGAGTTGGTCAAACATCCCAAAAAAGATAGGACCACAGAGCTTGAGTAATTGTTGGCACCGGTTGTGGCCGCCTGCCCCCCACTTTGTAATTTCCCGCGTGTTCGTGCGAAGTCCGCTCGCATTACAAAGTCCACAGCTCTGCGAGATTCAATGTGCAGGGATGACGCAATATAAAAGCATTATCATTAATTATTATGATTAACTGCAATAGAAATTACAATTGTAATTGAGCCCATGTGTTTAACTACCAAAGTGTTAAACTAGAAGCCATGAGCCTCCAGCACAGCAGATCCCCCACACTGTGCAAACGACACAAGCAGCACTGACCTTTCCCCGTCACTGCAGAGGGTAGTAGCGGAAGGGACGTGGGGGTTGTGGGTCGGGGGTCGGCGGGGGTGGAAGGGAGGTAGGGGACGGGGGGGGTGTAAGGGCCCAATGCAGGCATGGGGCACGGGCACACGAACACATGGTGCAGGAGACACGGGGGGTCAGGTGGAATGGTTAATTACACAACAACACAGGCACTCATTAGTTCCGTCACCACGTAACGCTCAAGCATGTGTTTAACGCACAATCGGCATATTTTAAATAAACAGAGGGGGGCTCTCAGGAATGTTTTAACAGATGCGACATAATTGCTTTAATTAATATCTACGATAACGATGAATTGTTTGTGCAAGTACAGCCATCTACGTTCTCGATCAAGGGCCGCGATTATAAATCGCTGGGGCTGTGAGTTATAGATCTGAGCGCAATTTAGGGAAACTGATATGTATACGGAAACAACAACAAAAAATCCTTTCGGTCAAAGTTCTTATTTTTTTCTCCGTTTAAAACAATGAGGAGGCGAAGCAAGCCAGGAGAAGGACCGTCCTGCTTCCCGTCCCCGCCCGTAACGCACACAAGCAGGCTTCCTTCCTGCCTCGACATTCAGAGAAACGGCAAACGCCGCGGCCCGCAGCCTGCTGGGCTCAGCAGCCGCCGTTCACCACTCGGCGGTGGTGGAAGTCAGAGGGGCGCTCGTGCCAATGCTAGGTGCACGTCGAGGCTCGCTGGCGGGAGGTTACAGGAGAGACCCATGTCTTACGAGTTAACGGACGAAAAACACACACGGGTAACATCAGTGACACAATGCGTGGGGTCTTTTCCGCTAATGCTATAAGTTTCCCAGCTTGCGTCAAGGTACACTCACGACAAAGGCAAAAAAAAAACTCTCACGTGCGAGTTTTTAATGAGCTGTGCTGCTGAGAAGGGCAAGTTTCAAGTTTGACTCTGTTTAAACCAGGTGAGAACTCAAACGACCGGCACGAGTCTCATTTGCAAGAGCGACCTGGGAATTTAGTCCACCAGTAGGGGGCGATAATTGCGGCTGTGCGTAATCCCTATTGAGTATTTTGCAGTGCCGATTAAAACTTTGATGTGAACCCTGAAGCTGGCACACAGTGGCGGACTCTTGCTAATGACGTCGGGGGATCATTCACGTCCATCGCGAAGCAGACGATGCTTAGTGTTGTTATGGTTATTACACCCACCCACAGTAAAACACCAGGGTGGGCCACCGGACTCGAACCGTGAACCTCTGCAAAAGCGGCGAGCGCCCTGCCGATGGGCCGCATCACCGCAGAGATCACAGTGATGAACACGACAGGCGTACGTGGGTTTCTCCGGAGTCTCGCCGGATACAACGTTCTTTCTGCGCGCGCCAGCTTACTATGCATTCGACGACAAATCCATTGCAACTGGCGTGTAATTCCTGCGTAACGCGATCGTTATCACCCTCGGGAGATGCTACCTCTGCCGCGCAGCAGGGGCAGGGAACCTCCGGCCTTGTGGGCCGAATGCGGCTCATGGCGGCTTAATCTCACAACGCTGTCACCACGTGAGGCCTATCTGTGTGTTTGTGCGTACACAGGTGTGGGTGTGTGTGTGTGCACACAAGTGTGGGCGCTCATGTGAGTGAAGCGGCTTACGCCTCGTCTGGGAGGAGAAGCTGAGCGCCAGCTTCGCGAAGAGGTCAGGGCTCTCGAACTTGTCCTCCTTCACGCGCGTCCAGAAGCAGCTCTCCCCCATCTCCTGCGGGCGGATCTGCACGGCAAGACGGCACGACGTCGACCGGCTTGCGCATCGACGGCTGGAACCGACGCCACAAAACATTTGCCGCTTTCCTCCGTCACCCACAAACAATCACGACCTACCACCCCCCCACCACCACCACTCTGCTCCCGTCAATCCCAGTTATCCGCATCACTTCTCAACTTCAACTTGGAACGCTGTGCTGCCACCGCCGCACACCATTCGTTCCTCGCTCCCGAAGGGATAGAACGACCTGGAGGCGCGAGGAGGAACCACAGACGAGCGTTTGCATTTGGAATCCGGAGCAACTGGAGTAAACCCACACGTGCGAGGGGGAAACACTCTATCCCACAATGACAGAACAGGTGGAGTCCACATTATTGCTATACTGCCTTCTCCTGGCAAGCCAGGGTATGGCTCCCCAACGCCCCACGGGAAGGGTGTTTCACAACACTTGTGCAGTGATCCACCAATCACAGATGCGCACCATCAGCGCCCGGCTTCTGAACACACTCACGGCTCCACACTCTGTCCACACAAACGCTCCTAGATACTTACTACACCACTCAAGCAACTCCAGCTCCCTGCTAAACAATCCCCAGCTTCCCCCGCCTAATTTCTAATCGCGCCCAGCTCGGCACTCTGCTCTCAAAACAACTCCAGCTCTCCATTCCAAATCACAAACACTCTGACCAGCTCCGCCACGTGACTTCTAAAGGCTCGTGGCTACCCCACTCTATTCCCAAACAACCCTGGGATGAGTGGCACTGAACCGGTGCGCTCAAAACCCCCGATGGTCAGTTGGCACGGCACCCTTCCTGCTTCTCCCGGGATTTAGCCAGGTAAAATATTCAAATAATTAATTGGAAAACACACACACACACCGCCTAGCATGTGCCACAATGCTGTAATGTAAGTCTGCTGTGTACACGAGCGTAACTGGAACATGATGGTCCTGTTTGTAAAGTAACGTAGTTGTCTCAAGTGAAACATGTACCCCCAGGGATGAAGGTGTCAGCTGTAAAAAATGTACAACAATGGACAAATAGCCACAATTCTATTTACTTGTAACTGAATTGTCTAATGTGTGTGCATGTCAATATTTGATATCTCACTGTATCCCGATTGTGCTACCAGCACCACTCACAAGACGAAGAATCCATTTGGAACTCTAGCAACCATTTGTGTTCGAGAGCGGGGTCCACAGAAGCAGATATCACAGAACTACTCCCCAGATCCCTTCAAGTTGACCCTAAATGCACACAGTAAGGAGGCAGCGATTTCCAAACTATCCTGCTACACGGTAATGTTGATCGCGTTGAGAGTCAAACTTAAATTTATGTTATTCGAAAGAGCAGGAATTTTGGACCAGATTAAGTGCAGAACCAAATGTAATGCGATGGGTATTTGGTGGCCGGGGTTTGACCATCCACTCGCTACGTATGTATGCTGATTTTTTTTAGCACTGTACGTAACCAACCGTGCTAATCGGAGGTGCGGACACTGGAGAAAAGCCGATTAATTCATAGGCGGCCGAAATCCGGACTTCAAACCCTGGTGGTCAGCTCATAAAGGCCCGGTCACCAATCAGGTCGAGAGACAGAGAATCTATTTGGAACTCTCGCAGAGGTACTGAAAACTCTCCATGTTAGAAAACGGCCCACAGAAGCAGATATCACAAAACCACCCCCGAGTTCGTTTCAGGTCACCACTGTTCTACGCGATGTGGCAGCACTTTCCAAACCCCGCCCTGATAACGTTTATCGTACGACAGTCACACGGATATTTTAAAATCTCAAAGGAGCTGGAATTTAGCCACATTAAGTGCAGAAGTAAATACGTTGCGATGCTAGTTTTGTGCAGTCATTGCTGAGACCATCTTACTCGCTCACACTTGTGAACGCAGTGTTAACACAAGCAGCCGAAACCTGGAGTCAAACCCAGGACCAGAGTGGTGCAGGCACAACGCTTTGACCTCCGAGCCACCGGGCCACTTTCTACCACTTAAATATATTTTAACAGAGGAACTGTACAAACCATAATAACAGCCTTTTAAATATATAAACACGTACGAAAATGCCTCCCGCCCCACCGACTGTTGAACACCCAACGGTAATAGCTCACACTTGACAAATCACGTACAAATTGAGGAAAACATTAACGGTGTTTTGAGCTGAGTGAGAGCCAAACTCCAGTCACCACACGCCGGCAAAAATCTCGGCGCTTCCTGATATTATTAGTTCAGGCTGTTCCTTCCCTGAGCGAGCGAGCGAGCGAGTGCGGGGCTTTTGTGAGAGAGTGCACAATGAGCAATCAACATTGTGTTAGAGCGTGCGGGCGAGTGCCCGCACGCTCGCCCGCACGCACACGCACACAGGCGCGCATACATACACGCACGCGCGCAAACACACACAACGCGACTTTTCCCACTTGTCAGTGTTTGTTGCTGCCCGCGCGACTGCTGCCCGCCCATCGCTCTGCCCGCTTCGTGCGTCTGCGAAAAAATTGGCTGTTAAGATCGCATTCGCGGTTACAAGTCCCCCTGTTTCAAGGCACAGCGACCGCAACATATCGTTGCTACGAAGAAGGAGCATTGCCCGAAACGTAGCCGAATTAAAAAAAAACGTTTCTTCATCTTAAGACCACGCAGTGTTATTGACCAATGTGCAGAGTTTATCGTAGGCAGGGCTTAATTTCCCCACTGATTATAATTTGCCGGGTCGAAGGTTGACTGGAGTAAGCACGTGACTGGTAGCAACAGCGCATAGTGAGAGGTATACTGGATGTGGTATGCCGGGTGCATTAATATTGTCCGGGTCGCCGAATCGGAGAGACCCACCGAACATTAAAGACGGATTGTAAATGCACTTACGACCAAAACTGATATCCGTGGCGGTCACCAATGATTGCACAAAAATATACCCCGAGATTAAATTTGGTTACTGCACCTAAATCTCAATAGATTTCAGCACGGATGATTAAACTATTGCTTTGACCCTCATGCCATGAACATTACTCTCTGTAGCAGAGTGGGTGGGAAAGCCCTGCCCCCTTACCGTGTGCATCAGTGGTCACCGGAAGAGATGCGTCATAGTTCTGTGAAATCCACTTATGTGGGCTGTTCTCTAGTATGGGAGCGGGGGTTCCGCTTGTTTTACAGTGATCCGAATGGATTCGTCTCATTGCACGACACTGGCAGCGCAATCAGGACACAAATCGGAACTTTTTTTTGTTAAACTTACGACATTTAAATAATGAACCGAGGGCCCCTCTCACCTTGGCCCAGTTGGCCCTCTTCATGGCCACCTCCGGCTTGTACTCCTTCTTGGGCTTCAGGCCGTGAGGGAGCTGGGCCCCTGGAAGAGACGGCGGCGACGGCGCCATCCCTCCCATGGGGGGCGCTCTGCCAAAGGGGGGCGGCGGAGGAGGGGGCCCGGGTGGGCCGCAACCAGGTGGAGGCGGCGGCGGAGGAGGAGGAGGAGGCCCTCCCATGCCAGGCAAGGGAGGAGGTGGGGGAATGCCTCCGGGTAAAGGTGGCGGGGGTGGCACGGCGCCACCGGGGAGGGGAGGCGGAGGCGGTGGCATGGGACCGCCCGGGATGCCCTGGCCCTGCTGATCGGGACAGAATAACGCGCGTCCCGTGAGACTTGCACGCGTGTGTGAGTGTACGATCACGACCCAAACATCGCACCTCCTCCCTTTGACATGCCTTCTCGAAGACACCGGAGCTGGCCAGCAAAAGAGCATCAGCAGGCCGATGCACAAATCTCATTCATGAACGGGAAGTTAAAGATCCAAACCACAGTGGCGCGATTGTGACTATGCAACCCAAACTATAGACCACATAGTAAAGCACTTTGGTTTGCACTCCTTCAATGTAGGAACAACAAAACTACACAAACTCTCTCCTGTAGCCCTCTCGTTGTGACCAGCAGACTTCAACATTGGCATCTAGCTCTTGAACCGTATTTCTGCCGTACGCAAGAATAGATTGTACAGCCACTTTGCCAATCCACAGAAGTACGGTGCAATAATGTCTTTAACTGCACCTGCCCTCTGACATCCACACGCGTATTCCCGCAGCCTGCAACACCTCATGTATGGTGGTCGCCCATATGAGCACTTTCTAGGCTCAAAGATGCTTAACTTCCGAGAGCTGGCGAGGTCGGTGATTTGGTCCTCGGCAAAGAGATATGTAACAGGCAATGGCTCGCGTCCCATTAAACGATGTGCGTACGTTTGTAAGTTGTCTCAAGGCGTTCCCGCTTCAGCATCTATCACACTTTGCTTCCGCTCGCGAGATATTTTCACTGGAGCTACGACCGTGACAGCCCCAAGCATGCGCTCCTCCGTGCTTCCTCCAGCGTCTGTTCCATTTTCATTGTCAAAGTCCACGCAGCCCACAAACGTGGCCACCCCGGCAACTTTCACGGTGGGGGAGGGGGCACATCAGCGGTGGCCGCACCACCCCGCGGGCCACCGGTCACTTTGCAACCGTGGCGCCGGCGGTCGTGCCGCCCGTCATCCCGTCACCTGCTGGCGCAGCCGCTGGTTCTCGGCCTCCAGCTCTCGCAGGCGCGCCTCGAAGTCGGCCTCGCGCCTCTGCAGCGTCACCTGCGCCTCCTGCCGCGCCATCAGCTCCGCGTCGAGCTGCGCACGGCACACGCGGGAACCGCGCGACGCGTTACTACTCTCGCCCCGACCGCGCGCACACGTGTCCGCCGGCTAGGCGGCCGCTGATTTAGAGAACTTGCCAAGTCGAAACTGCCGCGCGGGGTTGTTTCCCTGCTTAAATAAATGCCACGTGGCAAGCAAGGCACTGATGGGGAGGACCAAAGCAATGGGCCTCTCGCCGTCTTGAAATCACGTTTTGAGTGTAACATTGCGCGTGCAGTATTATCATTCTTTGGGTAGCAGTTGGTTAATGACCAGTTTCACGAGTTGTTTCATGAGTTATTTGGCCATACTTCACGACGGTTCGAGCGGGAGATGTGGGGGGGGGGGGCAGGTAAGTATAGTACAATGGTATTTGTCACACTGCCCTTTGCTGGCCAGCACGTAGTCCAGCAGATTTGCTTGAACATCATTTATGAATGGTGGTTGTCCATCCAAGCACGATCCAAGGCTCAAACCTGCTGAGCTATATTTCATGTTGGACAGCATAGCAGTATCTTTATATACTGTAGATATAAACTCGCACTGCCCGTACATTTGCGCGAGATACACTTCCGAGGTGGAGGGTGACGTCACCACCACGGGGCACTTGCCTGCCCGCGTGTCAGCCAGCCAGCAAATCTTTTTTCCAACACAATATAACGGAAAACCTTTGTTTTAATATGCAACGTTACTCTCGCCGAGCGATTCAACTCAGGGGCTAAGCGAGCAGTTGCTCTCTCCCACCTGTTTGGCCAACTCGGCAGCCTTGCTCTCGCTCTCGTCCACCTTCGCCTTGTCCACCAGCACATCTGGAAGAGGCACGCGGTCCAGCGGTTCACACCCGACGTGGGGGCGGGTCACACAAACGCGGGCGAATGATTTTTGTCTGCCCATTGCGCGACGGCGAGGCACGGGCGCCGTTCACGGGTGCCCTCAGGCCTGGTCCCCGGGCCGGTTCGCGCGAGTCACTCCAAACCAAGCGGCAGCCGGAGTGGAGATTATTTGTCTGCTACCAATTTCCATGTAATGATAAGCCACTTCATTGGGCTATCACTTGTGACAAGGTCGCTTCTGAAAAAGAGCTATGTGGCTCAGTGGGCCTTAACTGGTAGAAGACAAACAGTTAGTTAGATGGAGTGATGACATCGGCTTAGATGGATTGATACATTATCGACCGTGAAAGATGGACGTGGATTGGGAAGGTTTTCGTCCGGCAGTGGATAGAATTTGGTTGCTGATGATGATGACGGTTGGTGGCATTGGCTGGGCGGTGAGTGGTGCTTGGTGAGCTGATAAGTGACATGGCGTGGATGCATGGTGACTGGTGAGTGGCACAGATTTGATTTTTTTCTCGTGGTTGTTTGGTTAACAACTTCACCCCTTACACCAGGCCAAAGCCACATTTTTGCCACTCTGGTCGATGTGTCGATGAGAGCAATCAGCTGAGGACACCACGAGGAGATTCGGGTTAGTTCTGCCAGACTTTTGACACTGCACATCTTGCCACAGTGCACCTAGACGGCCACAAGTGCCGCGGCGATTTGACCGTCACCTTGTGGCGAGCACGTCAGTCGTCGTGAGGAGTGATGCGGGATGAGTAGCACACAGCGAGCGGTGAGCAGAACACAATGAGCGGTGGGTGGAGCGCAGTGGGGCGGTGAGTGGGCCACACAGGGTGGATGAACAGGAGACCGCCCGCGGGAGGCGCTGGGGACCCACCGACGAGGTGCTCCACTTCCAGCTGGAAGCGCTTTCCGTGCCGGAAGTCGGGGTCCACTCCGTTCCGGTGCAGGATGATTTGCGAGACGCATTCCTCGATGAGCTTGTAGTACTGGGGCCTGCAAAAGTCGGGCGATGGGACGTGCATACGCATCGTTTTGTTATCTTATCACTTATAAAAACCATGTCGCTGCTTCCACTGCCATTACCGCCAGGGGCAGACCGCCGCAGTGAGCATTGGGCGACCGTACTGTGCTGACGAGCCTTGTGGAGGACGAAACCGCTCCACGGTTGTCGATCGTCGCCAGTCTGTCACAGTTGTTGAGGCATATTTTGATGGTGACCTCGTACAAGAGCACCACAATACACTTGTTCAGCAAAAATGTGGATGTTTTTTGCATAATGTACAGAGGCTGTGTGCTTTTTACACATTTTTGTGTCTTGTTGGAAACGTTAATCAGCTTCAAAACTATACCGGCGGGTGAGATGGCAGTGTCCTTGAGGAGGGCCGTTATTCAGCACTGGATAAATCACCGCTGCTCTTCTCCTTGCACGTGGCAAAATGTTGAGGCTTGATGCCAATGTCGAGAACTGCTGGCTACGACGAGAGGGCTTCAGGAGAGAGCTTGTGTAGTTTTGCCGTTCCATCTCCATTCAAGGAGCGCAGACTTCAGCAGTTTTACGCGAACGGTCGAACAGTGTGGGTTGCATGGCCACAGCCGCACCACCTTGGTTTGCCTTTAATGCATCACGACGAGTCTCTATGCATCTCTATGGGTCCATATGGGTTTACTGTGTGGTCCGTAGTTTGGGTTGCATCGTCGCCATCGCTCTACCGTGGCGTGTCTTTCATTGTTCATTTCTGAAGGTGGTGCGCGGCATCGGCCTGCTGATGTTGTTAAGCGGTTGATGGTCACATCACCGTCAAATGAGGTGTTCATGACGATCGAAAACAAAAATGGGAGATCAAGAAAGACAACAACAACAACAACAACAATAATAATACTAACCTGACAAAGTAGTCGTTTCTGATCAGCAGCAGGTGCTGGAGGATGGACAGGAAGTATGGCTCGGCCAACGTGTCCTTCACAATGTTGGACACGATCTGGAAGACCTCCTGCACGTCAGTGAGCCGGGCAGTCAAGGGGAATGCCGCACAAATGTCCTTCAAGTAACGTCAACCTGTAACGCGTCATCGCCCATTAGTTGTGCATCCTCGACGAGAGACAGTGTGGGGACTAATGCCCTCACTCCACAGCGTGGAGACTAATGCCCTCACTCCACAGCGTGGGACTAATGCCCTCACTCCACAGCGTGGGACTAATGTCCTCACTCCATGGCATGGGACTAATGCCCTCACTCCACAGCGTGGGGACTAATGCCCTCACTCCACAGTGTAGGACTAATGCCCTCACTCCATGGCATGGGACTAATGCCCTCACTCCACAGCGTGGGACTAATGTCCTCACTCCATGGCATGGGACTAATGCCCTCACTCCACAGCGTGGGGACTAATGCCCTCACTCCACAGTGTAGGACTAATGCCCTCACTCCATGGCATGGGACTAATGCCCTCACTCCACAGCGTGGGACTAATGTCCTCACTCCATGGCATGGGACTAATGCCCTCACTCCACAGCGTGGGGACTAATGCCCTCACTCCATGGCATGGGACTAATGCCCTCACTCCACAGCGTGGGGACTAATGCCCTCACTCCATGGCATGGGACTAATGCCCTCACTCCACAGAGTAGGACTAATGCCTTCACTCCACAGCGTGAGACTAATGCCCTCACTCTACAGCGTGGCACTAATGCCCTCACTCCATGGCGTGGAGACTAATGCCCTCACTCCACAGCGTGGGACTAATGCCCTCACTCCATGGCGTGGCACTAATGCCCTCACTCCACAGTGTGGGACTAATGCCCTCACTCCATGGCGTGGGGACTAATGCCCTCACTCCACAGTGTGGGACTAATGCCCTCACTCTATGGCGTGGAGACTAATGCCCTCACTCCACAGAATGGGACTAATGCCCTCACTCCACAGTGTGTAGACTAATGCCCTCACTCCACAGAGTGTAGACTAATGCCCTCACTCCACAGAGTGTAGACTAATGCCCTCACTCCACAGAGTGTAGACTAATGCCCTCACTCCACAGAGTGTAGACTAATGCCCTCACCCCACAGAGTGTAGACTAATGCCCTCACTCCACAGCATGAGACTGATGCCCTCACTTCACAGTGTGTAGACTAATGCCCTCACCCCACAGAGTGTAGACTAATGCCCTCACTCCAAAGTGTGTAGACTAATGCCCTCACTCCACAACGTGGGACTAATGCCCTCACCACACAGAGTGTAGACTAATGCCCTCACTCCAAAGTGTGTAGACGAATGCCCGCACACCACAGTCTGGTGACTATTATGATTGGTACCCGATTCTTGCTAAGATGCTTGCAGCAAGCGGAAAAAATATTTTTTGCGGCCGTTTCAAAGCGGAAGGCCTCGTGTGGGTGACCGGGGTCGTGAGAGACGAAGCCGTGGGCCGGTTCGGCCCCGCGGGCTGCAGGCCACTATGCCCCCCGTGTGTGTGGGATGGACGTGCGCGCTGCGGTGGACTCGGGGAAAGGATATTCCAGCTCGAAGCGGATGTCCTCGTAGCGGTGAGAGAGCTCCACAAAGTCATCCTCGCGGTTCTCCTCAAACACTCGCAGCTGCACGTCCAGCTCCTCGTTCTCCAGGTCCCTCAGCTCCTGCTCACAAAGCGCGGACAAAGACAAAGATCCCCCGCATAACCTTCAATAGACTGTTGGGGCAAGTGCTGTTGGCGAGCGCCTACGGAGGCCGGCACGGCGCACGAGAGCGTGGGTGGTCAACATTCGCTGCGGCTCATCATTGGAAACGATTAAATCCCAAATTAACGCTTACGCGCCATTTGGCGATTAGCAGGCGTCCAATCGTCTGCTCGGATCGTTGGCCGGTGGCGACGTTTGAGACATTCACCACGAGGCTAATCCTGAAGCCATCCACCAGCTCGTACGATCACCCACCCCGACATGAACGTCGAAACGTCGGCCATCAGCGGTACACCGACGACACCACGCCACATGAACTTCGCTCAGACTCCCTGGAGGATGAGGAAGAGGAAGGCGGAGGGAGGAGGCTCACCTGCAGAATGTCGACGAGGCCACAGCGCATGAACTCGTTGCGCAGGTGTAACCGAAAGTCGAGCTCGTCCACGGAGGTGAGGAGGGCGTTGATGAGCTGCATGCAGCCGACCTGCGCGGGGATACGGGACGCGGCGTCAAAACCGGGAAGCAGTCCAACCTCGTGGATTCCTAATTCCGTCTCGCTCAACCTTGTCCCTATGATGTTGGACGTCCTTTCATACGAAATGTCGCATGTCTGACCGATACGTTTCATTGTGAGAATTGTTGCTCCACTACTGGTTCGCTTAACGATTAAGAATTGGTGCATTAAATAACACCTGTATAGCAGAAATCCGATAAGCCGTGCTGATGTGAATCCTGGAATCGCTGGCGCAAATCTGCCATATGGGTCTATGTTAAAGGGTTTTTGTATTTTTGCATTCTTGATGTTTAAGTAAAAAAATATGCAAATACATTTCTCCTAGAACCGCTGAAGCAAAAACGCTCTCAGTGTTTCTCTCTGCTCTTGCAGCTCTGTGTTAGCCCTGCCCACCTCTACGGATCGCGGTTTGCGGTTCGTGACGCGTTTTCAATTCGCCGCCTCGTGCTGCGCAGTATGGTAAGCAGGAGCAAACCGCCAACAGATCCGCGATTTACAAGGACTGGCGAATCATTGTATTTCTGCTGTACACGTCACAATTACATTTCTTTGGCTCCATCGGGTGGCGAAGGGTCTTAACAACACAGACTTGGTCAGATCATCGCGTGACCCCACCCGTTGAGAAACATCGGCTGCGTAACACACACGCGCACGGCTTTACCAAACAGCGGTCAAGTGGTGGCGCGTCGGGACAAGTTAACCGCGTCACGCATGCCGCGCAGCTACCTTGAGCTGCAGGCCCTGCCGCTGGCCCAGGCCCTTGACGATGGTGCTGAAGCGCTCGCGGTTCTCCTGCTCGCCGCACTGCGTCAGCGCCTCAAGGATCCGCTCGTGACTGCGCGCGGTGGTAAAGCAGAGCGCACGGCAAACACCGCAGGGGCGAGAGGCGAGATGTCGCGCGTCACGGGCCCGCTCCGAAAACCCACGCCGCCAAACGAATTTAACACGGAGACGTTTTTTTACTCGTTTGGTCGAATTCTTTTTAAAAATAATCAGCCTCATCAAGTGTCTCGGTTAAGTGTTTGGCTCGTGCGCGGTGGCCGGGTGGTGGCTCAAGAGGTCACGGCGCTCGGCTGGCACCGTTGAGATACAGGGTTACAACCCAGGCAACTGCCTCTGCCTCAACCAGGTGTTCAAGTGTTGCGAGTCAATAATGGTCTCAGCCCGGTGACCAATGCGCAAAATAACAATCACATGGAATTTAATTCTGCAATTAATGCGCCTAAATTCCAGTTCCGAGAATTAAAAATATGGGGGTGACGATCGTACGAATAAACATTATGCTGCCGCATAATAATGCATAACAGAGGTCACCTGAAACGCCCTCAAGAGGCGGTTCTGTGATATCTGCTTTTGTGGGCCGTTTTCTCACATGAACAGTTGCGGTGATGGATTCTCCGCCTCTTCCCGTGCGGCCCCCCTAGGTTGTGGAATTCACGTCCACCAGATGCTCGGTCCGTCTCGAGTCTCTCGGCTGCTTAAAATCCTGCCTGAATGTCCACATCTGTTCTTAAGGCCCTTTTGACTTCCTTTAGATATTTTTTTTTACCATTAGGGTTTTGACTTTACTTGGTGGTGTGTTCTTATCCCTCGCCGAGTGCACTTTTATTTGGTTTTCTTTTAGTTCTGTACGGCACTTTGCGACATTCCGGGTGAAAGGTGCTTTCAAAGTGTAAATTATTATTATTACAAAGAGACCGACAGCACAATTGAGATAAAATTGTGGGCATATATAATACATTATTTCATTTTTCACGAGAATGTCGAGTGTCGAGCACGTGCGCAGGGCGCGCGGGGGCCCTCCCGGCGTGGCCGGCCACGTGCGGTGCCGCGCGTGACGTGGTGGCAGCCGGTGCACGACTCACGTCCTCTCCTCCTCCAGGATGCAGAGCGCCGACAGCAGCTTGACGGCATCGGCCATCATGGGGGGGTACGCGGGCTCGATGGCACGCGCCAGTAGGAGGATGCCCTGCTCCTCGCTCAGCATGCGCATCAGCCCATACTGCTCGCGGCAACACGCACGCACGCACGCACAAAGACAAACACACGTGCGCGGGCGCACACACGCGGCCTTTAGGATACCAGCTCCAGTGCAAACGCGAACCGATTGGGTGAAGCAACCGCAGAAAACTCAAGCGTTGGGCAAACACACGCATGTATCTAGGCCTATTTATTTTATCGGTTAGTGACAACCAAAAGGTTTAAATAAGTAATTTCGGCGGTTGAGGTGGATCACATTATCATCTTGGTATTGTTATTATTCGCAATTAAGTTTGTTTATCCGAGAAAGTCTCACCGAGTCTCAAGACTCTTTTTCAGGAGGATTCTGGAAAGCTTTTTGCAGTAAGGGGTGGTCTTGCTGCCGCCGCTGCGTGATTCCAATTGAGTAATTTGCATATACATTTTCAGCATGAAGATGTTTTGGCTAATAGCCGGTTATCTATGGGTGGAAACCGGAGAATCCAGAAGAAACATCCAGACTCCACACATAAAGCGCACCCAAGTTGGGATTCGAACCCAGATCCTTATTGCTGTCAGTCACAAGTGTCACCACTGTGCCACCCCACAATGCGTGCATTGCATCGCGTGTTTAAGAATCGGGAGCCCTTTCACTGTGTGTGCGTTGTACGCAATCAGTTCACGCGGGGGTGGAGTGGCAGCGCAGGGGAGACGTCACCTTGTTGTTCATGAAGGCCTTGAGGCACCGCACGATCTCATGCTGGTTCTTCCTCGTGATGTTCTCAGGTCTGTCGGCGCAAGTAGCACACAGGCAGAGCCGTGAGCCACGCTTGTGGCCGGTGCGGCTAAGAGGAGGGCTGCCGCGTAGTCCATCGGACAACTACGAGTTACTGTTTGTAGAGTTTTTTTTAAGTTTTTAACCAAATCGCCCTGACTCATCACATCTCGGGCGCTAAGCGGGGTTGAGTCTGGACAGCGCACGGATGGCAGGATACCGCCGTGCACGACAAGTCCTGCAGGCCGCGGGGCTACAAGGCGGGGAGGCAGATGTCGGTGCGGCGATATCTTTATTTGTATCGTGCTGCTGTGCTTCCGCGTCCGTGCTGCCTGCCTTCGCTGACCCACGCTGACCGGCGTGGTGAAGTATGGCCAAATAAACCCGCATGATCCGCCGCACGGTGTGGGAGAGGCACTCATCCAGCAGTGGATCGACAAAGGGTGGCCCAAGTGTGTGTATAATACAAAAAAAAACATCGTAGGAACATTTGGTGGAGAAGACTATTATAAATCCCAGTGAAGGTCCTTCACCAGCAATCTCCCAGTAATCACACCGACGTTGGGCGAACGTTGGAAAGTGGTTGGAACCGTTAACCTAAGGTTGGCCAGACATTCCGTGTTAACTGGGCAATCAGGACACCAACCCACTTGGCTAGTTTCTTGTGAACATGATCTGAGTCGGAACTCACAATCATCGAGTGCACTCATGATTGCCGAATCATCATCATCACGCCGCAAGTGTTTTTTGAACAGAGGTGCTGCCCGCGTACTTGTGCGAGTTCTGCAAGCTGTTGAGCATGTCGAGGAGCAGTCCAAGGCCTTCGTGCCCGAAATTTTCCACCCAGCTGCAAAACAGAACGACTGTTCATTCACGACATTTCATGGGAAACATCAAAACAACTCACATTTTCATCAAAGACACCGTGGCCTTAAGAGGAAAAAACAGGTAACGTTTCGGGCAATGGCGCATCTTCACAGGTTCTGAACGACAGAGCGCATGGGGCACACGAATGTAAGGTAATTTTCCCCAGTCCTGCTGTACAACACTACCAGAGGGTGTAAGCATCACCCATGTGGATCATCACATACAGGGCACGTGTACATTACTATCACTAGTGGAAGTGCCCGTCGTTTCTGCCTACTCCCAACACCCCCAGCTCCCTACCCCTGGATGTGCGTGGGCTGTGAGTCCCAGGTCACGGGCCGTGGGGCTGCAGGCCACGGCCACCTGACAGGTTTGGCCCACGGGCCGTGGGGCTGCAGGTCACGGCTACCTGACAGGTTTGGCCCATGGGCCGTGGGGCTGCAGGCCACGGCTACCTGACAGGTTTGGCCCACGGGCCGTGGGGCTGCAGGCCACGGCTACCTGACAGGTTTGGCCCATGGGCCGTGGGGCTGCAGGCCACGGCTACCTGACAGGTTTGGCCCATGGGCCGTGGGGCTGCAGGCCACGGCTACCTGACAGGTTTGGCCCACGGGCCGTGGGGCTGCAGGCCACGGCTACCTGACAGGTTTGGCCCATGGGCCGTGGGGCTGCAGGCCACGGCTACCTGACAGGGTTGCTGTTGAGCGAGACGCGCAGAGACTCGAGGCAGCCGAGTAGCCGCTCGTCCTGGATGCCGGCACGCAGCTCGTGGATGTACTCCTGCGACGAGGTGAGGGCATGGTCGCTCCGGCTCTTTAAGCCCTGCTCGCCGTCGTGGCGGTGGCAATATCACGCGGCGGGGACGGGGCGAGAGAGAGACAGAACGGGTTAGACCGTAGCCTCGAAGGCGTGCGCCGCGGGTGGCTTTGGTGATAAGTCACACGGGCGAAGGCAAAACGACTTCCTAAGGGAGCCGACAGCTAGACTTTACAAAGTTAGAGTAGCACGTATGGAATCGGTTAATGTTACGATTCATAAATTATATTTGGGTAGGCCATACAACGATTTGACGACATCTGTGTCGTGATGACCCTCCACCACCCGACACAGCCAACCAAATCTAAACGTCACGTGTTGCACGGGCGTTTAACAATGCGCCGACTATAAATGCTTCAGCTCGTTGGTCAGTCGAGGAATAATCCTCACAACCGAAAGTGCCAAGTGAATTAACATCACGTTATTTATTGCTTGTTGGGGGGAAAACGGTGAGCTCGTGGTTTGCGCACCGCGCTCTGAACCCGGCGGCAACCTGGATTGTTGCCACAGCCATGGGTGACATCGGTAGTGCGTGGCACCCAAACAGAAGTCCTAGGCACGCACCGCCTCCCCACCCTTCACCGACTACTCAATGGCCAACACGGCGACATATTGTCAAATAACCCCGAAGACTGGCATGGCATTGGGAGGCCTTCATCTATAAGCTTAATGACAGAGGGCTGTAGATCATCCTTCATATTTATATCTCGTTTCACAGTAGTTCAGCAGAGGTATTATCGATGCGTTTTTTTAAGTCCGTCCCACCACCAGCAGGGAGAGGGAGCAACCTGGGAACGGTAGGAATTTGAACACTGCGCCCGAGTTCGAACGTCGAAGAATTGACCCACAACGGGCGACCACCCCACCCCCCCTTGCGAAGACGGCTGGGGCAGCTTTCGTGCTTTGCCAGCAGGCAGACGGAACAGCGTGGTGACCGAGAAACACCTCTCGGTGTGAATTTCTAACAAATCATCCGGCGTGCCGACGCGGCGGCAGCGGCCATGGCGGGGGGGCCTGGGAACGTGTTGCCCCCAGCGTGGGACTACTCCGCCACTGTGCGTGTTCGCCACGTTCGCGGAGGCGAGCGACAAAACAAAAACACCGACGGCCGCGTGCAACGCGATGATTTGCCACAAAAAGCCACTCTGCTGCGTTCTTCGTGGACAATGTTGACGTCGAAAGCGCCAGGAAAAACATTTTTACATGCAAAGTCTTTTCCGTTTTCAAAATGCCCCCCCCCCCCGTCAGCCGGTATCTGACCTTCTGTTTCCTGTCATTCTGTCTGTCTGGATGCGAATGTGAAATCATCGTGTTTTGGTTGCGGTTTGCGATTTACTACGATTTTGGTCGAGCGGAGCACAATGTTTTCGTTGGCACGACGAGGAGCCGTAATCACCCCTGGCAGAATTCAGGAGAACAGCGCAGTCAGTCCACCTAATTGACAATGCACAGCCTCCTGGAAGACGTACCGGAAGGCCTTACTCTTTACACGGCTATCGAACTTTTCCTCCCTCCCCCCTCAGGGCACTTTTTCCTCCTTTTGTTTCTATCCATGTGTATTTAGTTTCCCCTTTCGCCGCCACCTTCCTGTTCAGCAAGCAGACAAAACTGTCCGCGATGGCCCTACGCAAGCGGCACGCACGCACAGCGATGACGGCATCGGCGGAAAATTGAGTGATATTAGCACGCCGTGAGTTTTCACGGTTGTGCCAGACAAGCGCTCTCCACAATGTGCATGCGCGTTGTACGGCACGACATTCCGCAGTTCGCACCCCGTGCCGACAACTTTCCCGAAGTGGCTCCCGGGCACGCGGAGCGTCGCGCCTTGTGCCGAACGAACAAACCCGAGAGCTCACGGGAAATTAGCATCGGGCGCGGTGACGTCGCAACGGGCGACTGCGTTTATCCGGAATGCGTGCGTTGCCGTTCATCGCCCTGCAGAAGCTGGGCGTTAGCCTCGACAGGGCACCACCGCTAATGCAGGGGGCTTGGGATAACCACAGTTAATCACTCAGCATCAGGGCTTAATTTAAGCCGGGTCTGTCTGGGTTGGGGGGGACCTGGAAAAGACGAACGCACCCGGTACACCATATCTAGCATGCCTCTCGCGATGACTGGTCACGCACCACCTATTCCCGTCCACCAGCGACCCGGAAAATATTCAATGAGAAATGAAGCCGTGCTTAGCATCGTGTAGGTAATTATAACTGTTTACTGCTGCTGGCTCCTGCACTGCACACTGGCCGATGCTGTTAATAAAATAGTACATCAGCCACGTGTAAAAGTGATGTTTTGCCCGGTACACGGTGATCATATCAGAGTGGAGCGGCTTAGCTCCCGAGAGGCACGGAGGCTATTTACAGATTGTGCGGAGCTGACTAAATACATCTTCCATGTGTCATCACGAAACTCGCATTGGGACGCAAGGGCAGATTATTTGGGGGCCAGCGAGCGTAGATTTTGTTTGCTTGTCGCTTGCGGGAACTCGCGGAACCCCTCAATCCGGGAAAGCGTGCCCACACACGCACCCACGGCATTCGCCAGCGGGCAATTGGGAGGAACAGCAGCGAGGACGTGCTGACAGCACCACCTGCCGTCAGAAATCCCAACCAAAAATCCCGCGCCCGTTAAAGTGACGTTATTAACGTGCACCCGGTGACCTTTTCATTTTGAGTACCACTATGTGGGGAAAATCAACAGTGGTTGCGTCCTATGGAGAGACTGGCCAGCGCCATAGGAACGTGGAATTAACCACCACTTGGACCAATACATTTTTTTATACTCCAATTATATCCCACCGGTTGACCTTATTAATAAAACTCCTGAACTATTCAATCATTTCAAGCTGGAGATTTTTTTTTTTAAATAAAAGCACCGACATGCGTTGATCATTCAGCGGGAGGTGCGCGAGGTCTACAGAGGACAACGGCCGGCGTTACTCGCCGACGACGCATGCTGTGAGTGGCCAACACAACACCCACAGGCAGCCAGTGAGTACACAGTCAAGGCAGGGCATTACAAATATACACTAAAACAGACTCCATCAAAGACTCACGTGGCGCACACCTTCAACACACAAAAGAGACAAAGACCCCCCCCCCCCCCACTGTATAGCCTCAACAGATTGTTGGGGAAAGTACTATTAGCGATAACCTATGAAGGCCGGCACGGCACACAAGGAGGTGGGTGGCCAGCACCACGCCCGGATACCCCCCAGTGACGATGTTTGCACACCGCACCAGGTAATCATTTGAGGCTGAGTTGACCTCGGGGATGCCCGGGACCGGTGCAGATATTCGCCACCGGTTTTGGCCGTGAGCGGCAATCAAACTCGGGTCACCGGGTTTGTAGCGCGACACGCTAACCGCTGCACTGCAGCTCCCCGCAGAGAAAAAGGGGGATCTTTGCCTTTCCCTTCACGCACGGACACGCATGCACACATGGTTGCAAATGCACAACATTGCACAAATTGATTTGGAAATCACGAAAGCGCGCGCACGCATGATTAGCAATCACGAGGAATCGCAGGCTAAAGGAGCTGCATCCTGGCATGCGGTGCTGCCAACCCTCGCGAGCCGTCGAGCAGGTGGGCGCGCGTTCGCAGCTTGTTATGGAGGTTCGCGGTTTCGAACTTCGCGGCTGCCCCCGGTTAATACCGGCGGGCGCAATCCACTTCGCGGTGGACGTCCCCAAATCCCGTGTCGTTATTTGGCAAAAAGAGGGGTGGGCACCGGCGTCACGGACCAAACATTTCTGACCAAAATTTGAAAAATGACACGCCGCAAATCGGGAAGTGACATCGCCAACCGACTGCAAAACGACTGCAGGCCGTGCCTGCGGAACGCAGCTCTGCACCGTGACAAACGGGGGCGGCACGCAGGGCGAGGGCAGCACCATTGCCCAAGAGTCAGCAGCGTGCAGAGGCATGGAGGGAAGAGCCAGGATGGGTTCGGACAGGGGAGGGGGGCGGTGGGGGACACTTACCATGACCTTGCTTCCACAAAAGGGGGGTGGACACACAGGGGACAGGGTGCACAGAGTAGACACACGTTCAGAGAGACAGAAATCAGGACCCTGGCTTCGCACATGGCCTCAATGGAGCGCTGTAAAAAAAAAAAACCGTTACAACTATTCTTTCTTTCGACAATTTCAGAAAAAAGTCAAAACAGGAAAAGAGACAATGTCCGTTAGAATTATGCACGAGACGTGCGAACGTCGGCAAGCAGCGACCGCTCACTCTGGTGAAAGAGAAAACAAATGACGAAAAAATGATTTTGTCCCATTTTGAAAGATTTTCAGCGAAATATTTTCGAAATAGAATCCCGGGGAGCATTTTGCTGCAGTTGCTTGTGCGCACACTGCGGAAAAGGGCTGGGCAACCTGTTTACGGGCCGCGGTGCGCTCGCACGGCGCTCTCCCTAGCGCGGTGCGAGCGTGCCGCGTGACCGCCTCGAGTCGCCGCCGGCTTCCTGTCTACTCCCTCGGCGAAAAACGCAAAAACAATGGCCTTTTTTGTTTGTTTTCGCCCCGCAAAATTCATCCCCCTGCGCGATGCCGCTGCCGCTGCCCCCCCCACTCCCAACCCACCCTCCCACCCCCCACCCCGAATCCGCGACCGTAGCGCGCCGCTCGGGACCCCTACGCGCCGACGCGTCGCGTTCCCAGGGACCCGCGTCGCCCCCCACCCCCACGCTCTGCGCAGGTGATTCCTGTGCGGAGGCCCCCCCCCCCCCCCCCACCCCGCCGCCCCCCCTACGGCGTGGCATTCTAGCAACCCAAAGCCGTCATACAGGACGAAAATAGCTTGGCAGGGTCGTAAGCAAACCAAACTAACGAGGCAGCGTTGTAAAGCAAAGCTAGCGCCCCGTATTAATAATAATAATAATAATGAGGTTTTCATGGGCCATGTGGCTCAGCAGTAGAGCGAGCGGCTCGCGATCGCAAGGTTCTGATTTCAAGTCCAGATTGAGCGGGGTTTAATCAGCCCATCATCGCTCCGGGGTCGATAAAACAATTACGAATGGCAGTTGTCCTATCGATATATTCGCCCCTTCCATAGGAATAGGGAATTTCCACCACTGGTTCAGGGCTGTAAACAAGGAGAGGAGCACGAACGCCAGAATGCTCATTTGAGCAGGAAATCACCACTGGACCTTATCTTTGAATCCTCTATCTTTTTAACGTGGCTTGTTTCCGCATTACGTTTAATGTGGATGAGCTGCAATGTCTGTTTTTCATTTTTATTGAACAATTTAGTTTACGGGGAAGACGCGTGCGTGCGTGCACACGAGTGCGTGCGTACACGTGCACGCGGACCATCACGCGCATTGCCACGAGTTTTAAAACCCCTTTTTACGCGCCACAATGAAAAGCAACGCCGCGTGGGGATGCGTTGCAAGCGGTTTCCACATCGGACGGAGACGCAGCCGTGAAATTGCATTAACATTTACGATACGCGCACTCCATGTAAAACTAGACAGACCGAGGATGATAAAACTTTCAGAAACCCACGCGTTTGGTTGTTAAATTATAGTTTATACGAAGCCGAGAGTTTATTGCAAACGTCTATGAAGTTATTTAGAATTATACGGCCTTTCAGTTTGTGAATTTTTCATTGTGCAAAAAAAAAAAAAGGCTGCTACGATTTTATGTACTCGGCAACTGAACGTGAAATTAATAGTAATGATATTATTATTGTATTGTTTCCCTTCTACGTGACTTTACCGAAAGAACCAAGACTATAATAGTAATGATACCGTGCACCCCGCGTTTATAGTTTGAAGACGATTGCTGGCCGCGATCTTTTTGGACTAGATGACAAACGGTGTGAGACCCTTTCACAGGAACATTAGATCCCGACGACTCCAATATCGATAAGCACATAATAGGTGACATTTTGGTTAGGTGCCCTCCCTCATTGTACAGTGGCCCTTCCGTATTCGTAGAAATTGGCAACAACATCACCTCTTACATGACATTTACTTTTAGGGCCACGGTAACATTGACGAGTGTTTGTTATTTGTGATTAGACACCACTGCCAATGCAGCAGCAGCAGCAGCATCACAGCTAAATTTGTCCGATATGGACAGGAGCGATATCTAAACGGTTTCACAGCTGCCTTGCCACACAGGCGAGTTACAGACCAATGTGGAGTGGTCCAGCTTGCTGAGTTCAGATAATGAGTGCGCGACATCCAAGGTCTTGTTGACCAGCTTGGTTTTTGGTCAATTTGTGCTGTGTCTCAAGCTCACGCATATATGAACGGGCCTCATGCGGCAGGCTCGCCGATGGGACGCCTACTGATCAACACTGATACGCACGGCGATGCTGTTTTGCTCGTCGGCATGATCGCCGTTGAGCGGCGTGGCACAATTACCGTAAATCCGATTAAGGTTTTTCACGTTTGCACTGCACAGCTCTTGGAAGCGTTTACGCGTTTAATCACGTGTCGTTCAGCGTGATGTCCGATGCTTCGTTCCGCGTGCTGGCAATAACTGCAGGAAGTGAAAATTCAGTTTGATTCGTGGTGCAACCTGAAAACACACACGGGAGCTACGCAATTATGGTGTGTGCGTGTTGCTGTTATGTGTGGACGGTTGTTTCCACGGAGCCCACCGCCTCAAAGGACCCGGGGTGAGCGGAGAGGTCACTACTCACAGACTTCGCTGCAGCGTTGATGTACTGCATCACCATCTCACGCTTGATCACCAGATCCTTCTGCCGCAGCGGCGCCTTGTGAGTCTCGTTCAGGTTCATGTCCTCCTGCCGATCGAGGTCAAGATCAAGAGGTCATCGGGGTCAAAACCGCCGACGACACCGACACCTCGCCGATGCAGTCTCCCTCGGCCAGAGCCCGCGGCCGCTGCACGGCAAACGCGGTGAGCGCATTGGGCAGTGACGCGGCCCAGCGGTAGGAAAGCCTCGCCGAGTCTCGCCGAGTCTCGGCGAGGCTTTCCTCCGTAAAACAAGCACAGTATCAATAATAAGATCTGACCCGGACGGTGTTTCTCCATCTGCCGAGGGCTGACAAAACCCTTGTGATCAGTGTGAATCGCCATCTACTACCTGGGGGGGGGCGCACACGAGCTGGGCCAGTAGGGCCCAAGAGAAATCTCACCATCATCTTCTCGAAGAGCGCCAGCACCTCCTTCTCCGACAAGACGCTGGGCTGGAAGGGGTTCGGCGAGGGCGGAGGTTGCTCGTGGCCGAGGCTGGGCTGGTGCCGGGAGGAAGGCACGGCCGGGCGGTCTCGCTTGCTGCCCGCGATCCGGATGCTGGAGAAACGGTCCAACTTGGCGGAGCGATGGGGGGAGGGGGCGGTGGAGGTTGCCGAGAGGCGAAGGGGCACGGGGAGGGACACCGGGTCAATGACCGGGCCGGAGGGCACGAGTCGAGCAATGCCAGAAATCCAATTCGTACGACTTGTTTGCAGTCGTTCACAGGCCTTTCCCAATCCGTTGCTGGATGGAGGCCGCCCCACGCTGCGTAAGCCGTGTGTGTTGCCGGACCGTACGCGTCACCACGTTGGTCAGTGTGGGTTGGTGAAGGGCTTCAGATGTCAGGACCAGTTTAGATATTGCTCGCCACTGATGTTAGCCGTTGCGAGGAATCAAACTCAGGTCACTGGGTTCACAGAGCAGCATGCTAACTACCGTGCCACCACTCCACCCCAGTACAACAATGAAATAATATATGTAATCATTGTTAAGAGAACGATCATAGCCATTTAGCCTCACATTTTGATAACTCGAAATGTTATGGACAAACGGCCAATGTTATGGGTTTAAAAGTTTTACGTGAAAGGACGCGGTTAGTGGTTAGTGATGTTGGCGCAAAACATTAAAACTGCTCGAGTTTGCATCAAAGTGCACACGCACCGATTTAATCACGAACCGAACCCGGTGACGCACACGCGCTCGCCATCGCGACCATGCTGCCGCGCTCGCGGTAACAAGGCCAGAGCCGTCGAGCGCTTCCACGGAACGATCACGATGTTAAGACGCGAGGTCAGGCTGTGGGGAGCATGCGGAGCTCGCAGAGTCACAAGAGTCCGGTGGGGTTTACGGACGTCGCTCGGATCCGTCGCGATGCACAAACAACAACGACAACAAGCGTTTGGTTGAACAAATGAGCACACGTTCGGTCGTTATGCATGCAACAAGTCGGGGTGAGGTCATGCAGGTGCGCGCGTCTCATCGCGCGTCAAATGTTTGAGCATTTCCACGCATGGTCAGAGACGGGCGGCCGATCCGCCGTGAACGTGCAGGGTCCAGCCGGCCGTGAGCAGACATGCGCGAGGAATTCCACAAATGTGAATGGCGCAGCCGCCACTGCCGCCACCGCTGCCCGGTGCTGCGCGTGTGCAAGGCGGGTGGCAGGGCAGCTGCGGGTGATGACGGGACGGGAGGAGAGCGGTTGGACACGCCGTGCACTGCGCTTGCTACGAGCGCACGTAAACTCTGGCGAGGACACGCGGCGGGCGATTTCATCGCCGAAAGCTCACGACAACTTCTTCGCTCAACTCTCGCATGCACCGCGTCCACCGCGGTGGACGTTCATATCATTATCATACGGCTGCGATGAAACCGTGTTAAACATATTCAAGACAACTTTGCGGAGACGCCTACAACTCCAGCGATCGCATTAAACCAATTATTTTTTGGTTGGTTCTGATTTAGAATCATTCATGCATGAGCGTTGCTTTCTGTCAGATTTTACTTTTCCATTTGGACAATTGTAAATTTGAAGGTGCCTGTTTGGAACGGTGCCTGGGCAGGTATGAATTTGATTTCAAACTTATCTCTGTGCCGTGCTTTGCAGTTCAAAAGGAAAGGTTTTCACACCATCCATTTTGTTAATAACCCCCTCTTCCATTGCTAATATTAACTCCATAGAAAGATACTGTACGGATAAAATTGTTTATGGGGTTACAAGAGTCACGCAGTCAAATAAAATAAAACAAGGCGTCATGTTTTAACTTTCGTACTATTTTCAGAGGAGGTTGCAAACGTTCCTTTTTGAGCAGCAGTACCCCCGCCAAGGAGTTGTGCGGAGCGGTACGGAGCGACGGTTGACGCCTCCGACCGACCACAACTGATAAGCGGCAAGATTGGGGGTTGACGGTTTCGATTCGAGAACCAAATTCTTTGGTGTGTCCCGTCTGTGTCGTCGGCATCGCCAATTTCGTTCGCCTCCGAGCGCTTGGCGACCGACGGTTCGCACGGACGGCTCTCACGCATGCCGACGCGCGCGAGGGGTCATCTGCGGTGGTGGTCGTCGCATGCTTAGCAGTAACCGCGCAAACCGGCACAGATCCATTTGCACGGCCGCGTGCATCGCACACCTTACCAGCGACATATCGTCTGTCATGAGTTTCTTTATGTTCTGCTGAGGGACACGGAGGTCAGAGGGAGAAGAGAAAATGAAAACATTGAGAAAGCGTGGGGGGGGGGGGGGAGGAAAAAAAACACCAACACCAGCGGAAAACAGAATATTGCAAAAACAAACCAACAGATAACCAGCGAGCCACCGCGCAGAGTAATTTATTGATATCAACTCTACAAATACCCACAATTCAGAGTCACGATTGGTTCGGGACTTTGACCGCCCGAACGAATCGTGACACTGAATCGTGCGTAATAATTAAATATTCAATTTATATTCGAGTTTCCGAGTGGAAACTCAAATATAGGGATGGAGTCCAATAGTACTTTATCTGGAGCGTGTCGGCGACACTGACAGCGGACACCCTGGACTGCCCTCTTGCAAACGAAGATATTCCATCTCATGCGACTATCCATGTGAAATATTTTAATTGAAATTAAATGAAGAAATCAGTATTAATTGACGAATTCGCTCCATCCCGAGCTGCAACCAATGAAGTTGAAATGCATTTTCAAGGCAATGTCGGTGAATGATTTAACACTCGAGTTACTCGTGAACGTTTGAAAGCAGAGCAGAGCCAAGCAAATTACCACCGAGAGAGAGATAGAGGTGCATCAACTCACTTCTTTGGTAAGCATACTTGGTGGTTCCCCACCTCAATATACATATATAAAAACTTCCAGCAAATTGAAAGTGATAGAGATCTTCATTTGAACATGCTTGGTCTATGATCTCATCACCTGGCAGAATGCACATGCTATCATCTGGTAATGGAAGCTAAGCTGGTGTTGAGCCTGGATAGCGCTTGGATGGGGAACCACCGGGTTGTCATTGGCGACTGTGGGGGGGTTGATTGCTGCGTGGTAGTTGGCAGAGGGCGGTGAAGGAAACATTCATTTGTTGTACTGTGACCCTATGCTCCCACGTCTACGCTCACTGCCTTCACTAAACCCGCGGCGATGACCAGCTTGGTGAAGTATTGTCAAATAACTCTCGCAAACCACACCTCGTGCAGCAGCGGACTGACAAAAGGGCCGAGTGGCAGTGCGTTTGCCGCTTGCTACAGCTGTTTGCGGTTCGAGCCCCACCGGCCGCCCTGGTTAATACCGCGGACCACAATTCACCAGTAAACGCGACCACACGGCGGACGTCAAAGGTCCCGTGACGCCATTCGAAAAAGAGTCGGCCGTGTGTGCCGGTGTCACTTTCCAAATTTGCCCCCGAAAAAAGAAAAATCGCTAATTACCCACTTGGGGTAAAAACCACACAGCCAGCAGCATCGCCCGCGACTGGCAGACTACGCTCGTCTGTGATGCAAAGCCCCCCTTCGTGATTGCCCGGTGCTAGGAGTAAGTACAACGCCAACACCAAATGTGCTCAACTGTCCTTGTAATTATGCAAAGGGGCTGTACGTGCACATGTATCCGAGAACCATGACGGTGACCCTGATGACACCGCTAGCACGCTCAATGTCCTGCACCTGGCCACTCCCACCGAGCCGGTGGCCAGGTGTGGGGGAGCAGTCAGCTCTCGGGGAATCGGGTTACAGACACACACAAAGCCTCGTTTTAATTAACCGTCGCACACGCACAACATGCATACATAGACAAAGAGCCCCCACCCCCCCCCCCCCCCCCCCCCCCCCCGATATAGCCTATAACAGACTGTTGGAGCAAGTGCTGTTGGCGAGCACATACGAAGGCCGGCACGGCGCACGAGGGGGTGGGTGGTCAACACCACGCCCGGCCGCCTTTGTCGCCCCAGTTCTGATGTCTACGCGCCGTACCAGGTACTCATTTGAGGCTGGGCTGACCTAGGGGAGGCCCAGGACCCGTTAAGGTTATACGTCAACGATGTTGGTCCGTGAGCGGGAATCGAACTCGGGCCGCCGGGTTCGGCGCGCAGCGTGCTAACCACTGCGCCACCACTCCCCAGCACTAATGATTGGACTATCGCGAGCACGCACGCATGCGCGCAAGCGCGTAATGCATAGCAACAACCGTCGCACGCAAAACACCATGCGGCATCAGTTTCAGGTTTGGCGGGGTTTCTAACGTTGGGTTTAATAATTCACTGCCAAGAATATGGGATTCACCGTCACACTCCGCGGGTTACCAACCATGCGTGACGTAATGCGATCAAAAGACCCCCCCCTCCCACCATGTGTCAGCTGGTGTCCCATTAATCAGGGGTGTAACAATTTATCTCAGCCCCTTCGTCACGTTTTGCGACTAGGGGATCCGTCGCTTGAGTCATGTCGTCATTGTCATTATTTAAGAATTGTGGTGCACTCTAGCGCCTCTAGTGGCTGGAGGGCCACACGAACGTTTTGTTTTACGTAGAGTCCTTTGTCCACTGCTAGATGAAGGCCTTCCGAAGGCCGTGTCGGTCGTGGCAGTTGCAAGGCCGTAATTTTCCACACGCTGCTCGGTGTGGCTTTGGGGTAAGAGGTCGCCCCTGGACAGGCTCAGACATCACTCGATGCTAGCCGTGGCCGGGAATCGAACCCACGTCGCGGGGTTTATCGAGCAGCACGCAACCCACTGCGCTGCCAATCTAATGGCGTACAACGTACACACAGCGAAAACACTCCCGACTCTTACACACGCGATGCAATGCATGCACCGTGAGCATTTGGGCGGCAGGGTGGCGCAGTGGTGACACTTGTGCCTCACAGCAAGAAGTTCCTGAGTTCGATCACTCACTCAGGTGCCTTTTCTGTGTGGAGTTTTGTATGCCCTGGCCCCGTTCTGCATGTGTGTCTTCCGACTTCTCCGGTATTCTCCCATAGATAAGAACACAGTGTAACTTTGTAATGGCCGAATGTATTTGGCCAAATATCCCAATGCAAAAGATTGCTTTCAAAATTACTCAATTGGGAATACACGTCCCCTCCTTCTGAAAACTCGGCAGGACCCTCCTGAAAACGAGTCTTGAGACTGAGGGAGGCTTTCCTGGGTAACCAAGCAGAAGCATATTAATACATTTTAATCAATGGATATTATGCATCCTATGACTGATGGTGGTTAGCTGACCTAACCGTTCGATTCCTGAGAAGGCTTGCGTTTGCCTTATAATGAAAGACACTCAAAAACAGAGAGTAAACATTCCCCTGGCCAGTAACGGGAGAAAAAAATTACGTTAGATTTTAAAAATAATTTAGTCATTTACGCAGAGTCACTGGGACCCAAAGCAATGAGGGGCAGCCAAAAACACTGTGAATCCAAGGGCTAGCGTGCAGGCATCTGTATATAAGAATGTTTGAATTCCTCAGTTTTATCCCAATTGTGTTATCTGTGCAATGCCTCGAGATGTAAAATCCATTCGGAATTCTTGGGAGTAAGCGATGCAACCCTGCCATGGTAGTAGAGAATGGTCCGCAGAAGCAGATATCACAGAGCTCCCTCTGAGAGATCCTTGAAGGTGACCTCTGATTCACACCTGCCCAAACTTCCCAACCAGCCCCGACACTGATCATCATGTTTATTAATGATCAGAGCTCGAGTGTAGCAAACTGTAGCCAAATCAAGTACAAAAAACTAAGTAACGTGATATTTTTTTGTACAGTCATTGGTGATTAACTCGCTACACTTGAAAACCCGGTTTAATTGCGGGCGTCTGAAAGCCAGTTTTGAACCGAGCACCTCAGCCGTGCCAGCTCGGCTCTCCGACCTCTGAGCCAACTCACCACCTCAACCATCTGGAAATGTACAAATGACGAGTCACCGCCCGCAATGCCGCCGCTGGAAGTCGCACGTGCACCGACCGGACCCCTAAGCTTAAAAAAAAACAGCGCTCGTAATTCACCAACAACAAAACAATGGTTAGTTTCAGAAGCCTTTGGAAAAAAAAAATCGTTTTCAGTCTTGGTTGGGAGTCTCCTTCCCCGTTCGCGGAAGTCACGATAAACCAAAATCCGGCCACAAACGTTGCCGGGCAGCCCGCGCCTTGCCCGCAGCCGCTGCCGACGTAAACAGCTGAATGGGACGGCTACCACTGCGCCGGCGTATGCGAGGTCTGGACCGCATCGTTAACCAAGGGCTATGTGTTGAAGCCAAGAACGCAACACTTGTGGAGCACCGTTCCGAGTGGGTCCCGATACGCTGCACCCGATTCCTTAAATGCCCATGTCGAACCGTCTCAGCTGATCCTTACCGCTAAACTAATGAAACTTTAAATTGCTCAACAGGTCTCAAATGGACCGACACTCTCTCTCTCTCTGCGTTCGAATTTCTAGGGCTTTCGAGCCCTTCGAACTATTTCACCAATCAGAGCCTCCATCTCACGGCATACCAATCGAATGTGCGCACGCGGGTAGCCAAGCGTGCAAAGCTCGTTTATGAACTTGTCAGCCTACAGCTGACTATGGCTGCAGGGTTTGGTGGTACATGTTGTTTACGTCGTTTATTGTGAAAATTCGGTCACAGTTCCTATGATCAACTGTTTTCATTGCTTTTACGGCTTGATTTTGGTGATTTCGAAAAGTTTTTTGGTTTGGCCATGTTTGTTTTGTTGTAGTACGGCGTTAAGACTGATGGCCTTAATCTAAGTTTTATTGTGGTTGTTGTTGTTGTTGTTTGACTTGCATCCCACTGGGATTTTTGCACACAGTGTTGGTGTACGGTGCTTTTTCTGCAATATTTTGCTGTCTTTTCTTGGATTTTCTGTTTGCAGTCACACATAGTCACTTTAAGATGTTTTCTTGTTCATGTTTTTGTTTTTTGTTTGTTGCGGTTGCACCCGATTCAAGAGCCGAATGGCTCACAGGGCTATACCTAATAAATTAACTTGAACTTGAACTTGACCAAGGTGTAATCGCAGCGAGCCTGATTACAAGTTCTGGCAGTTGTGGTTGTGCGGATCTCTGACGTACGTATGTTTAACTTCTTTCGCACCATACGTTCTCGGGTCGTACCGCGCGTTGTTCGGCGCGACATCCGACGTTCTGCTCTTCACGTGAAGGGGACGAAACGTCGGATGTCGCGCCGAGCAGCAACGGCGCG